ATCAAATGGCTTTTGAGTTCATAGCTCATCATATGTTGTGGCAGCATGTGCATGGTCTCACTGATTGCTGAAGTTGCCTTTGAGTTGATCAAAGATCTGATTTATGCAGTTCACCATGTATTCATGCTCAGAATCATATGGGGCTTGCCAAACATGTTTCCTGCAATTGGGAGACATGAATTTGGGGTCATTCAGGGGTCTGATCAAATGGGCTTCATCACTCCATTTTGGGTAGAGGAGGTAGTTGCAGTCCAGTGATCTGGACATATCTGGTTGGTCATGATGAACAACCCCACCTCCAGTGGGGTGTGTCAGGCCAATATTCCCACAGCTATTTTCAGGTCTTAGAGACCATTGCGCAGCACTACAGACCCTCACTATGCAGGACAACACACCCCAGCAATGAGTGTCAACTCCCACGGATATTTGGCATGACAACTATTAGGTTTCCACAGGTGACAGGACCACCCAGGTATTTGGCATGATGACAACAGGTCTCCTCTGCAACAGGGATCGACCCACATGGATATTTGGCATGCCAATGCCTGCCTTAGAGAGGTATCCAGAGACTGGTTTAGTATAGAGTACAGTTTAGATTAGCTAGTATAAGTAGTTTCCAGAAACTCCTGTATCTAGCTTATTCTGCCCCTTATCTGTTAGCATTATATGGATCCAATTATTGGTATACTGGCAGACTGGACTTGACTTAGCAGATTTTTGACTTGACTTATTGTGACTGGACTAGACGGACACCAAGCTCCAATTATTGTATACCAACTTTTGATAGCTCAGCTACAGGCTGACTCTGGTATTCCTACTGACTTTCCCCATCTCTCCCCTCTTTCCCTAGCAAGTTCTCACTCACCACCCATCAGACTGATATTTCGGACACCTTTTGGGTTGGATCAGCAATAGAGACAAGCTAAGGCAGAAGATCCTTCCCAAAGTGCTGGGAATAGCAAGCCAATATGGTGGGAGCAGAGATGAAAGAGCTCCCCCTGCATGGTCGCTACTTGGGTAATGATGTCAAGTTGGCATTGGGTAGGCAGCTTGCTGAATTTGTGGTCAAGGTGCAGTCCAGGTATGTATTCCATGAGGATCCATGGATGACCCAGTTCATTGTTGGTTGATAAGGACCAAAGATAGATCTCCAGAATACAAATGCTTGTTTTTTCTGGAATGGGCATCAGCATATGGCAGATCAAAGATGTCGGTTGAACTACATACCTCTTATCATACCCATGGTCATAATCTCAGACTCAGTTTTGAGAGAGACTCCAGGCACAGGTTTAAGCACCTTGGCAATCACAACTTGCTTCCAATCACTGGATTTCACGGTATATTTGACAATGACACCAAATGAGCCATCACCAACCAAATTGTGAGTCAGTGCAGTGGGAATTGATGCATCTGCTTTTTTCCAAGTCATTGACCATTGAAGAACAATGTTGTCCAGATACTGCAAGGGAATGTCAAGCACTGCATATGCCTGCTGGGTGCTGGTGATTGGCAATTCATGTTGATCGCACATGTTTGTTGAGGAGGAAGGTGGACCTACCTCCAGATAGATCAGGTAAGGGTGAGAGTCGGCGAGGCTGTGCGATGGCAGCGTCGTTGACGATATAGGCGTCAAAGTAGAGGGGAGAAAGTAGAAGGAAAGAAGCTGAACTTCAAGTGGAGCTCAACACCGTTGATGGCGAACGTGAGATAACAAGCGTGCTGAAAGACGTTGCAGCCACACGTCCTTCAAGTGTGTGTGACATAAGGAACGCGTCAGCACGTGACCGCATGTGTCCTGCTCTTTGGGGCGAACGAGACATTCCTCTCTTGTCCAGAGATCCTACGACGCAGTGCTTCTCTTCCCCTTTGTCCTCAATTCTTCACTGCCTGGTATTTTGTACAGCGTTGGTCTGCCCTCTCTGCCCAGCACATCGTCCAGCACTCTCGGAACATCAGACCACGCACTGGCATGCACTGAGGAGCTGGAGGATATGATCAATATGATCAGCCAAACCCGTGTTGCATTTGAACTGAAGGCATGGTTGTGTGCCTGTATCAACAAGCCAATTTCGTAACAGAAAGAAAGACAAGCCCGAACGCGCTCCCACCCTGCTCTTTCCTAATTCCTGCCAATCTACTAGAGGAAGCGCTCGACAGCCTGCCCCTAGCTGGCTACTTTGAGGCACTAGCAGCCAAAATACACGTATGCGTCTTCCGATCCTCCCACAGGAGGATTCTCCCTAATCCACGTCATCCCATCCCATTCCGAGGCGAGCGGGAAATTGGCCAACAAGCCCCGTCTTGGTGGAGATGCGAAGGATTGGTTGACGCTCGAGCCGAATTCTCTGTTCCTCCCACCATTCTATGTCGGAGTTCGTGTATTGCCGTATGATGAGTTCATTCATTTACATAGTATCACCCTTTATCCATGCCGATCCTCCTTCGTATCAAACACCGACAAAGAGCTCACAGCATCCTATCCCCTAACGCGCTAGCAACAAGCTAACCAACCCCCTGTGCCACCCGTTGCGCGAATGCACACGGGCATTCAAGTGTAGAGCCAGAGGTTGCCAGACCATACTCGCCAGATCGTAACAACAGAGGAGGGATAAGCTCGCTTCCTAGCTCATGAGTGCCGCCCGCGCCGAGACGTCATGAGCACAAGTTAACGTTGATGAAGAACAAAAAAAGCGGCAATGGACGTTTGCTCCGCCTGGAATCAGGTGACAGGTGGACAACTTGTTGGACAGGACTTGTCAACCATTCTCTGGTAACAAAGAGAGTTTTTGTGTCGGATCATAACATGTCAGTCCGTCCGGCCGAGCTCCCGGCGTTTGGGGCAGCAGGACGCGGATAAGGATGCCGTATGTCCGTCCACAACTCGGGCTGAATGTTCTAATCGGGTGCCTGTCCCGTTTGGCCCCTGAGGGGTGTACCATCTTCCCAGCTTCGTATACCCGTCTCTAACAGCGCACCTTCCTGAGAGCCTAATTCCCTCTCTGGCACCAGCGCTTCTTCCCTCTTTTAGTTCTTCCCCTCCATGGTCAAAGAGGCCTTAGAGCGGCGATACGGCCTGCGATAGGCCCTTGGTCGTCATGCCACACTCCTGCCGGCCCTGGGGAACGCTTCTGTCGCGGGTCCCGCGCGGGAGTCTATGTGCGCTTAGGCTAGAGCGTACTTAGAGCGGCCACAAGAGATGGCCTGGATGAGGGGGAAGGAGGGGGAAGACAGAGGGAGGGAGGGGGACGGTGCACGGGTTTCGATGTTGTCCCTCATTTTACTGGCTAGTGATGAGACATATATAATGCACCGATGAGCTAGCAGATATGCCCCACGTACTGTCTCACTTTCCCCTCATTCCTCCGTGTCAACCTTGTCTCACCTTGGTGAATTACTTCATCAGCACATCACCGCACTTACCATTAATCGCCTATCTCCGTGCCGCCCCACCGCATACATCTACCCCTCATCAACGTCCCCCTCCCCCCCCCCTCTCATCCAGCGAACCACCATGGGCGCATCACACTCCCTCCCCCACCCACCATCGTTCACATCCTCCTTCACCCATTCTCACCCCTACATCCTCAGCGTGCCCATCTCCCATCTTCCCCTCGGCTGCGCATGCGCCAGCACAGACTTCCTCCATGCATGCATACACGACCCAGCAGCAGAAGACACCTACATCACGAAATGTGAGTATAACATGAGCGGGGATCTCAACGGGCATCATTGGCTCGTCTTGTGGTTAGCGGGGAACGACGATGACGAGCCTGTCGCTGTTGTCGTCTGGGATGCAGACCATGATCAGGAATCAAAGGACGGGCAGAAGGGGAACAAGCCGCGGTCCGCTCCTTTGCCTTCAATTCCGAACATGGCTGACTTGGCACAGGCTAGCAATGTGGGCAGAGATATTCGCCTCCTGCCTCGAACCCCGCACGTCATACCTCAAATCTCGGCGTAACGTGACCACAGTCGCCCAACAGCCGTACGACGACGCCGGTATCTCTCTTCTAGAATTCGCGTTGCTCGCCCAGACGGCAGCCCGGTTGTACCCGACGCTGCCTACGGTCGGCCTGCCCTGCAGGTGGACAGCACACGTCCTCTTCCGGGCGATGGCGGCTCTCGCTTCCCAGCCTTTGCCAGCAGCGTACATAGGCCGGATCAAGGGGTTTGATGATCGACAGGTCGACCTTGTGGTACAGGAGACGAACCGCGCTATGAGTGAGCATAGGACGAGGACAGATGTGGAGAGGTTGGAATGTGGCATGGGAGTGGAGAAGAAGGTTCGGGAGAGGGTGATGTTGATTGGGCTGAGCTCGGCGAGGAGGGCAGCGTGAGAGAGCAAGAGAGCGAAAAGGTTTGCATTCACCGCATTCAGGATACGGTTTGTCCAAGGGTTGTCCAGACTGGATAGGGTTCCTTGCCCATCCCGTACTGAACCCGAGAGCAGGTGATATGGCTCAAGAACAGGTCCAGCACCACTATGGTTTATAGAATAGCTAGGACGGTCATTGGAATAGGTAATCTAATCTACTCATCAGTCTATGCGTGCTCTCCACCTCTGGAATGGGGGTAACGCGTTTCGGATTTTATCAGTTATGTGAGTGAGCTGGTCGGAAGTACCAGCTCACTCGTACAGGGTATCGCTATGACATATTGACTTTTAAAAAAAACTATTCCCTACCAGCAGCAGCTTTGAGGGCCGCAGCAGCACCGACAAGAGCACCGGGGATGGCCGCCGTGACGGGGGGGATGCCGAGCGTAACACGGACGATGTGGCCACAGAAATGAGCAGCTGAAGCAAACGTTAGTGAGTGCATTAATAACGTTTGCAGACATCAGCTCACCACACTCTGCCACACCATTGGCGATGGCCTGTGCGTTGTCACGCAAGAGCCCGGGGACCTTCTTCGTGAAGGTCCATACCTTCTTCCCACCCGTCTTAACAGACTCCTTCACCTGCGAGCGCTTGAAACGCAGGCGATTGCGTTCGAACGTCAGCTTCTCGCTGACCTTCTTCTTGGGCTGGGCGGCGTGGAACTCTTTTGCCGCCTTGCCCCTCAGCTTGTGTCCCTGCGCCTCGAACTCACGCTTGTGAGCAAGGAGAATGCCCTCCCGTGCCTCAAGCTCCTCCTCAGCTCTCTTCTCTGCCACACGACGGTATCCCAGTGTCGTCTCGAGAGGAGCTATGCGCTCCTTCCTCTGCCAGCACCTCTTCTTTGGTCGCCACGCGAAGATTAATCGCAGGACGACAGAGCTGCTCGAGAACGTCAAGGGCACAGGTGTTGGGGTCGATTTCGACCTCAATATCTGGGGCCTTGGAGGGCCCAGATGGCTCGGAGCCACTGGGAACGGCAGCAGGGGTTGGCTGGGTGTGCTCGACGACCTGCTTGGGAAAGATCTGCAGGTCGTCAGCGCGCAGAATGATGAGCTGGCCTTCACCGGCCAGTAGCAGAGTTGTGAGTGAGCTGCCTTCACCGGCCAGCTCACTCACATAACTCAGATGCGAGTGAGCTATATGCATCATGGAGAACCGGAACTTACCTGGTCCACGCGTTCCACCGTCTGCTTCTGCGCGAGGGCAGTCTCCAAGCCCGCCCTCACCTCCTCGACTCTCATCCGGGCGGCGTCCGCGAGCCCATCCTTCAACAGCTGCTGTTGCTTGTCCTTCCGGCCAACCAAAGACGAGCCCTGCTCTCCCTCCACCACCTCAATCACAGGGGCCTTCCCCCCAGCCTTCCTCGTATCCTTCACAATTTTCTTCGCGCTTCGGGTGTCATTGAGCGCGGTGATGAGCTCCGCTGTCACCAGGCAGAGCTTGGCTTCGTCCACAGGCCCAAGGGGGTGGAGGGCAATGGCGGATGAAGGGGGGGCTTCTTCCATGACGACTGCCGACATTCTTGACCATTTCTTGACAAATTTCTATCTTTCTTGACTGTTGAGGTGATGGTGGTTGGAAAAGGAGATGGAGAGAGAGCAAGGGTCCTAGGGGGAAAGGGGTTAGTCCGCCACTCATGAGCTCACGAGTTGAGGGGCGGTACACAGGGGCTTCTAACATATGTTGTTCATTATAGAAATAATGTACTAAGATACTCTTACCTTCTAGCGTGAAATGGTGGGAATTTCTGTGAGTAATGTGAGTGAGCTGGCCGAGCCTCATGCTTGGCCATGCTCCACACATGAGGCAAGCAGTGTTGATTGTCGTGCAGAAGCTTTCGAGTCGGATTTCTATGTCGTCCACCGGGGAAAGAGTATTAATGTTAAAGTCAAGCAGAAAATCCGTTGAGGACAGCAAAGAGCAAGTAAATCGGTTTGTTTGATCATACAGGTAAGTCGAGGAGGACTTCAAAGAATTTTGTGGTGCTCAGGGTCGTCGGACTTGGCAAAATCCGACAAGGGTGCAAAGGGGTGAGCTCATTGCCTCCACCCCTCTGACCAATGTTGAACTCAAACCACAACATCTGCCTAGCTGCAATTATCAATTTGTTTCTATATCATAGTCACTCTGTAAGTTTTGGTTTGATTTGTGCATACTAATACATGTTAGCTAACTATGGGTTGCAGGAACATCACCATCATAATGGCCATGTCTTCCTCAGAAGGTGCCATTTGCTTGGATGGCCAGGGGTTGGGTATGCACAAGTTGTAGTGACTTGTATGTACTTGTCTAACTGCTTGATAGATCTTGGCTCTGTGGTGCATTCCTGTGGACTACCCTGCCCCCTGGATGTGAACAACATGCATGCAGGGGGCAGGCATGTAATTGTCCATGGATCTGACCAGCTCACTCACATAACTGACATTGCCTCTTGCCTGTGAGGGGGCCTGGCTGCTGCTACTGCAGTCAGCTCGACAAATTCCGCTGAATCTGTGGACTGTGTCAACCACCTTTCTCTTTCTCTTCTGTCAGTCTCTGACCAGCTCACTCACATAACTGTCAACTTCACCCTTACCCTGCATGAGGGTCTGACTACTGACACTGTAGTCCACTGCAACCCTGAAGCTGCTGATCTTGCAGCTTCTGACCAGCTCACTCACATTATTGGAGAACCTACACTTGGCCTGTGCAAGGGCGACCTGAATGCCTGCATCACTCCCCCACCTGTCTACAAAACAAATGACATCCCTAGGGCCCTGAGCACAATCAGTCTGGACTTTGATGATTTCAATGAGCTCCCAGAGTACACCCCCACTGCACAACCCATCATTTTGGCCCCTATGTACAAGGCAACGATGGCAGCAGGTGTCTCTCTGCAGCCCCCAGAGAGTACTGTCACTGTGGCCCCTCACATCATCTATCACATCAAGGCTTTCGATCCCATTGCTGCATGCATACAGCTAGGGAAGATGTAGCAAGGAGGAGGGAGGTGCAGAGGGAAGAGGAGAGAAAGGAGAAGGAACTCCAGGAGGCCAAGAGGTTGGAGGAGAAGGTGAATAGGGAGTGGGAGAAGAGGACTCAGGAGAAGATGGTGAAGGAGGAGAAAAAAATGTGGGCAAGGAAGGCGAGAGAAGAGAAGAAGTTTCCCAGCAAGATTTTATCATCATCCTTTCTTCCCTGGCTTCTTGCTGGCATTGATGGGGCAGTCACCATATCCACGTAAATGTTCTTGTCCCCCTCTTTTTTGTTCTGCTTTTTCTTGTGCTGCCTCTGGAGTGCAAGCATCATCACCCCTTGACACCTTTCTAATCTGTATCTATGCCTCGAGGGCAATAACTAACTGATAATCCACTCATTCAGTAACTTCAGGGCCCATTAGTGCAGCAGTGCTTGCCCACCTGCAGTATCCATCATCCCATGAGTTCCATATGATTGCCCCCAACAGATTTGATGATGTGGCTCCTTGCTCTCCTCCTGACAATGAGCTTGACCTGTACCTCTAGAATCCGCCCTCTTTGGAGTAGGAGACATGCTGTCAACCAGCTCACTCACTGACCAGATATCTCCTCCTGTGCCCCCTCCTGCCTCGCCTTTGATTAACTTAATTTCTATCCTGCTGACTGACCCACCTTCTTCTCCTCCTATGGATTTTGACCTGGATCCACTGCCAACCAGGAATTGGGATGCAGATGGTGTCCTGGTGGAACAACTAGCCATCCCCCTCCTTATTGCTATGGCGCAGCAACCCCCCATGCAGCAAGAACAAATGCCCTTGGATTGCTACTGGAACATGCATGCTAATGCAGCTGTATGGGCTATATGCCTTATTCTCCTACATTTGCATGCATGCTATCAACTCCCACATCTTGTGTGTGATTTCCTGGCAACAATCCTCCATGATATCTTGGTAATCCTCCTTGTGCTCCAACTGGTCAATACCTTTGTGCCCTCAGCTGCTCCTCCTCACACCTTGAGAACTATATACAAATGTTTGGGAATGTGGGACTGCTTTGAGGTGCAAACAATATGCCCTACCTGCTGGGAATTTGAAGATTTCACACAGCAGCAGGCTGATGGCAATTTGATGGATGAACTGGGTTTAGAGGATGATGTTCAGGAAGAGGATTGGCAGAGACTATGTTTGCATTGTGATACTGCTCTGTACTCTTTTGCCCCTCAAATTGGATATCCCAGGCCTTGTAAGGAGGTCTCATATGATCTCTTATCAGTGCAGCTTGTGGATTTCCTTGAATTGTGGTGCAAGACTTATCTGGATCACACTATTACAAGGGGATTGTACACCTCTTTGCAAGATGGCAGCATCTGGCAAGACATGAAGGGCCCTGACGGATCTCTCTTCTTCCCTTGCATGTGTGAACAAGCCAAAGAACAAGATGAGCTCCATCTGGGAGTGTTGGTGTCAATGGATTGGTTCAATCCCAACCAGTCTAGCATTGCTGAAGCACACTCAACAGGCCCACTCTCTGTCTGCATTGCAAACTTACCCCCAGAACTCTGATTTCAGGTTCACAACCTCATTTTAGTTGGCATACTACCTGGTCCCAAGGAGCCAACTGCTCAACAACTACAGTGATTTCTCTGGCCTTTGGTTGACAATTTGCTTGTCCTCTGGAGAGATGGTCATCAAAGACTACTGCAAGAAGTATGGGGTGAGATGATCAGAATTTTGTCACCTCCCTTACTTCAATTCTGTCCACATGGGAGTAATTGATCCCATGCACACATTTCTTCAAGGTGTGTGCCTGTGTGCTTATCTCATCAGTACTGAATTCTACACAGGCCTTGTCAAAACACTGTGGTACTTGAACTGGGTTGTTGGTGGCAAAGATCCACAACACAAGCAGGTAGTCTTGTGGGAAAGGACCGAGGTGGGCACTCTTTGAGAGTTGGATGATATCCATGCCATATTGGCAACATTTGAGATGCCATCTTGGTATGCTCATTTACCCTCACAGGTCAGGTATCCTGGTAGAGGCAGCCTGCCTTCTGATGAGCAGAGGGCTTTGGCCATACTATATGGCCTGGTCGCAGTGCACTCTCCTTCTGAATACTTACTCAGATCTGACAAGTACCAGATTCTGCCCATTCTCCTACAACTGGGATCCAAGGCACATCCCAAAGCAGTGAGCAACTACCTCAAGCTTGCCTGTGTACTCAAAATATACATGTGTCGCCAGCTCCAGGAAGAGGACCTGGTGCAGGCATCCGAGCTGTATAAAGAATTTTTCAGAGAGTACATTGAGGTGAGTACCCTGACTAGCTCACTCACATAACTGATGTGGGCTGATTGCTATATAGATCTATGGCAAGCCAAATGTCACCCCAACGTTTCATTGGTTTGTACACATGGCAGTGCAGCTGCAATCTTATGGACCACCCCATTGTTTTTGGACCTTCCTCTTTGAGAGGCTCAACAAGGTTCTGAAGACCATTGAAACCAATGGTCATAAGGGTGGAGCAATCAAGCTCACATTTGCTAGAGAATTCAAAAGAGAGATGAGCCTCTCCCAGATAGTATCACCTCCCTCTTTCAGAACTGGCCTTCCTTGCTGATTCAATGAACACAGAATACCCTGCTGGCCACACAGCATCAAGATTCACTCACATGCTTGGTTGCCATGCAGTTGGGCAAGCAATCCTGGGACATTGCATGGATTGGTATGCTAGCAGCCATGGCTGCAGAGGCAGAGCATGCTGCAAGTGAGTGAGTGCATGGTCAAATTGTCCACACTGGGGTCATGAGCAAAGTTGACAGACTAGACTGCCAGCTTCAGGACGTGCTCTTCACTTGGTATTCTTGCAATCACTCCAATCTCAAGCTTTGCCGACCTTGCAAAGCTTCCCCCATCCCAGGAAGCTGTTTCCTGAACACCAAGGCAATCTTCCACTCTGAGCTTAGACTGGAAGGAAAGCGTGTACTCATGGCATGACAAGACAAGCACAACAAGGTGGACTCACTTGTACTATTCCATGCCCAATGCAGCACCCAGCAGGTTGGAGAACTCTGCCAGGTTTTTGTTCATGGACAGAAGGGTATGACTGAGCCACACATGTTTGCTGTGGTTGCCTGGCTCATACCTCTGGAGGAACAAGTACCACATGCTCATCTCTATCAGTGGCTGTAAGTTCTTATGTCTCCATTTCAGGAATGTCTGACAATCCACCAGCAAGGAATTGGAAGTCAAGTTCTGGAAACATGGCTATTATCAGCAGATCAACAATGAAACTGGCCCTGATAGCATTATGCTGGCCCATGAACTATGTGGTATCACTGCCCGCTGCACCATGGAAGTGCAGGGAGAATGCATGTGGATAACTACAGGTCTGAGCAAGGTGATGTACTGTTCTCAAACCCATATCATTCACTCATAATTTTCTACAACAGACAGGACAGACAATGTAAACTACCTAAGTACATAATTTTTTGTGGGGAGGCAGGGAGCCATCCAAGATTTCATAGTTTTCTGGGTGCTGCAACCTAGTGATTATTTGAACAGGTATCATAATGTAGTTCTCCTGATCAAATAAGTAAGTCATCCAGCCTACATGTACAATGGCTCACTTACTGATGAATATAGACATCTTTTCTTTGACCAGCTCACTTACATAACAGCCATTACGCAGAAGGACTGACAATCTCCCTACAAAAGTCCACAAGCCTTGGATCATCTGGCCATTCCATCTCCATCTTCCAATCTGTCTTGCTTGACAAGTGTGTCTGTGCCCAGTTCTTGTCCAGCATGAAGCCATATGGCTCCTGATCTGGAAGCCTCAATGAAAGTCAACCCAGATCAATGTGCTTGGTCTCCCTGCGCAAGATCTTCTTGTGAAGCAGGAGCTTTTCCCATTCCCAGTACTACTGGATGTAAGACACATTGAGCCAACAAACAAAGAACTCACCTTTTGATTCATCCATTCTGGGCAGCACACTTTGTATATGTCAAGATTGGGATCTTCCTGCTCAGCTTGGGATAACATTCCTGTCTGGAAAAGCAGGGTATGCCATTCCTCATTTTTTGTGTCATCTTTGTCACAACTTGCTTCCTCACCTTGCCAGTCCTACAAGTTCTTGCTTGACAACTGAATACTCAAGCCCTTGCTGGTCACAGGTGTCTTTCAGCATTCAACAAAGCTTTCCTGCCCTCTTCTCAAAAGTGAGCAAGCACAAACAGGAACTGCATTATCACTTACATTTCTGCACCATTCATACTGCCAACCAGCCCTCTTGAGTGCTGCCTCCTTGACCCCTCCATCAATCTTGGCCACTTCCTGCTTGGAATAGATTGCCTTCATGTTCCACCAAGCTTGATGAGCCAGCTTGTTGAGCACAGGCACAATGATCCAGCAATTACAGTAGAACTCCTCCTGGCAGAAAGCAGTTGGACCCTGCAACCACCAGATCAGTTATGTGAGTGCACCGGTCTGACAGGAGATCTATACTCACCTCCTCCTGGTCCATGAGCAGCTGTACTGCACTGTTGCAAATCAGCACATTATCATGATAATGGAGGCTCTTGTCAAAGTCAGGGATCTTTGGGGTGCCTTCCACCTGAGGTCCATTCTTGCTTGGCATGATCCCATCTTTGACATAGCCAACCTTGCTGTACAAGAACTCCTGGAGCTCATCCTACTCCAGGTAAGTCATTGTCTTTGGGGGTTAGATGATGACTGATACATACCTGTAGGTGTTTTTTCAACTTGAGGTCAGACTTGTCCAGCTTGTCATCCTTCAGGTCAGTCACCAAAGGTAAGTTCTTCTTCTTCTTGTGGCAGGGTCTTTCTTTCTCAAGCTCACAGATGTGCTTCTTCAGATTCTCAATATCTTCCTTGTCAACTGAGGACACTGAGTTGTAATGAGCACAGGAAGAACGTTTAGTGAGAGGGGAGCTGTCAGGAGTCAGAGGAGGGAGAGAATGTGGGGCACCAAGAGGCAAGGCTGGAGGGGTTGACAGGTAACTGGAGGTGGGAGAGGTTTGGGTTGGGAAGGGGTTGCCATCAGGATCACTAATGGAGAAAGGGAAGGAAGGTGAGTTATGTGAGTGAGGTGGTCAGGGAGAGAGAGCTCACACTGGCCAGCCTCTGAGACTCTCGATTTTCTGCCTTACCAAGATGATCTCCTCATCAAGCTTGCACTCAAAGCTATTAATGGGAGAAGCATCTTTTCCATGCAAGCCACATAACAAGTTCAACCTCACTTGCAAGTTGTTGAGGGACTTGTCATCCCAGGAGGCCATAGGCATGTCAATGAGGAGAGAAAAGGAGAAGAAGGGCAAGCAAGGTATATGCATGGCAGCCTGGGAATGGAGTCTTATAGATGGTCAATGTGGAATGGAGGCTTCTGTGATATCCCAATGTAAGCTGAAGTAGGATATTAAATTACTATGTATGGCAAGATGATTGGCAATGGCTAGCCTGAGAGACATCACACCTGAGCTTGCTCCCCTGGAAAGTGAATAAGGGAAAAGGGCATCACCAAGGGAGAAGGCAAGGTTAGTTATTATACTACACAGTCTAGGTAGGCAAAGAGGTCAATTGTAGCTAAACTAGTTACAGACAAGGACACCTATTCTGCATCAGGTCAGGTGACCTTGTCCCCCTAGAAGACTGTCAGGTAAGGACCACCCTGAATGCAGTGATTGTGCATGTGTGTTTGCACGTATTCCCAGCATGGTGCATGGAAGATGGAAAGAAGGTATCTTTCTCATTTATGTGTATATTCAATGGGTCTTGCATTACTGTAAAAACTTGAAACTATTGTTTGTTGTTGTCTTATTCACTGTGTCCGTGATGGTGGAGAATCAAAGTCAGTGTTCAACTGAAAAAGACAACCTGAGACGACGCACCAAAAGGGGTTAGTGGCAGTGTCAGGGCCCAACAACATTTGCACAACTCTTACTTAACTTTCTGCCCATTATCCTTTCTTACACGCACACTACTTCTAGCCCTGGAAGATGTCCGCCGGTCCGTCCAACACCTCCATACTCGGACAGAGCAGCTCCGTTTGGGAACAGAAGAAACGGCAAAAGAAGGCCCAACTACAGGAAGTGGTGTTTGACGAAGAGGCGCGTCGGTACGTTTTTCGCTCTTCCTCGTACGTGAAGGAAGAAGTGGGTATGGGGCTGATGTTGCTTGTGCGTAGGGAGTACTTGACAGGGTTTAGGAAGAGGAAGATGGAGAGGGTCAAGGGGAAGGTCGAGAGGGCTAAAGAGAGAGAGCGGGTGGAGAGGTTGAGAGATCGAGCAGAGGTATGTCTCTTCCAACTTCGCTTGTATCTTTCTCTTCCCCTCCTTTTCTTGTGTTTCTTCCTTGGAAGTTTATGCGATTTTTTGTGCAGAGTGCTCATGCTTGCATAGAAACGGAAAGATATCCGCGAGCGAGCGCTAGAGAATGCGCGCCGGGTCGAGAGTGCGCTCGGGGCTGTCGACCTCCCCGGTTCAGAAACGTTAGACGACACAGGCGCAGAAGGGGGGAGGGAAGAAGAGGAGGAATACGAGGGCGAAGAGCAGTTCGCTACTGTCACGGTCGTGGAGGATTTCGACCCTTCTGTGGAGATGCATGGACTTGTATCTTCCACTGTCCCAAAGGATGCTGTGGATGAAGAGGACGCGCGACCGGCTCCGAAAGTCCAACCCTTGGAGAAGAAGAAAACGGCGATGGCGAAACCGAAAGAGCGCAAGTTCAGGTATGAGACCAAGGCAGCGAGGAGGAGTGCGAAGGACAAGGAGCGGAGTAGGAGGAGAGAAAAGGGCGATGAGAGGGAGAGAGGTGCTAAGACTGGGAGAGGGAGAGGGCGGGGGAAGGGGAGGAAGTAGAGCGGACGACTTGCCCTGTTCGGGGGGGTTGGGGAGAGGATTTTCCTGCGGTTGGCTCGCAGTGCGGAAACCCCCAACTTCGACTGCCAACTGCCAACTGCGTGCTATCGGGTCGTCCGTCTTTCGCCCGTAATCTAGTTTTCTTCAGTTTACGCATGCATGAAGCTCATATCTGTCCCTAGGCGAGATTTGAATGGCCCAGGCTAATGTCATGGTATTCGATCAATCTGCACCGATCATCGCTGTCTCGTGTCTTTTCGGGAAATGCCTGACGAGCGGTTGGTCTCGACCATATCCAGCACTTGTTTATAACAATCATGCACCTTATATCCGCCGGTATTTATTCGGAGAATGTCTGAAGCACTTGGTCTCAATCTTGTCGGCCATGCAATAATCGTATACAACAATCATGCAACTCATATCGAGCTCGTGTATATCCGGACTTGTGTATATCCGGACGCCTGAAGCAGTCGGTCTCAATATTGCCGTGAAATCCAGTACTCGTGTACGTCGATCATGCAGCTCATATCGAGCTATCTATCCGGAGCATGCGTGGAGAACAACTGGCCACGATAAGCAGCACTCATTCACTTATCTCAAATTCGGATTTACCCGGAGACTCTGTGAAGGACAGATGGCGCCGTTCTAGCGTGCCACACATCACCAGTTCCGAATGGTTTCAATTATCTCAAGTTCGATCAACCCGGAAAATGAAGCCGAAAAGCCTAGCACACGAGGGTCTACATAGGACGCCCTACGTTCCGCGATTTGGCGTCTCACCCGTCTAAGTATGGACAGTCTCCATCTTTGCTTGTACTATCCTGGATGGTCAGGAATGTCCCAGTAACTGCAAAATGGTCCACATTTTGTATCCAATCAACACGCCGCAACCCATTTACGTCCGCGAAAGAAGTATCATTGAACACGTCTAATCAAGCTCCATGGACTTGGCCCTGACTACTGGGAACACATGCTACACAGTTCCCTGCTTCGGTTGCCCATCTCGGCGGATCGATCCTGGGATCAATTCAATGCGTCAAAATCGAAGAGGAACCACAATGACGACAGTGCTGCGTATTTGGGCATCAATTCTCAGCCGCGGCCACCCTGTCTCTATCACGATGAAGTGTTCTTGCGCTAAATGACACCTTGTGAATCCGCCTTTGGGTCTTTCTCACACCTGGATGCGGTGCAGCAATCGCATCTTGGAAGCTCATTGAATCGCATCATTGGCGATCTCGGTACCCGAGTAACAAGTGAGAACGTCGCTCAAACATCTTCCCGCAAGCTCCACACATCACCATTGTTCGTTCAAATGTGATATTCTCTGAACACCCCAGTCCGGTCGAAACACGTCGTTTCGAAATTTCTTCTGTAGCATCCGTGTCTCCGCAATAGAAGCCTCAACGCCCCCAATAGTATTCCTGAATGTGCCGCGAATCGCGAATCTCCGATCACCCGAGACCGTTGTCCTTTTCCGCTCAATTCAAACCGAAACACGACGATGCATGCTGTTCAATCCTGCTGAAGAATTGTTTCCATTCTCACTGAGGTTCTTCGTAATCAATTCGAAGCACGCATGGGTTTAGCTTGGCACACGGTAGCTATTTGGTAGCCCTGCGCGGCTGGAGTATATTCTTTTGCCCTGAGGTTCTTCCTCGCGATCCCTTGCCTGATGGGAATCGAGATGCGTTATTGTTCTTGCATTTTCGTTGCAGACTGGCACCCGGGCGTGTCCCTGGTACACGCTACCTGTCTCCTTATTCAGTGGCTCTATTGACGGTCGAATCTCGACATGCATTTCGGTTCGGTTCGGCTCGCCGGGTTTTTGGGCTTGCAAACCCTGAACGACCCTCGCGTGTCCGCCAGTTATGCCATGAATATCCATGAACAAACCCAATTATTTTTTCCTGCAGTCCGGACCGTCAAGAAGACACAATATCCAACAAATAATGACATGGACCACCGGTAGAATCCACGAATAATTCTCCGAGACACGAGAAGCTAGCTGCCTGATGAGCATTTAGTCGACGACTTTATGTTCTATCACGCTCATCACGCTGATGAAGAAGCACATGAAGTTGCGTGCCGTTGATGACCAATCATTGCATTGATGATTCTCGCAAATTCTGCGAACGCCCTTCCGGTTAACGTTGTGACGCCACATCTCAGTCGGGTATGGGCAGACTCCACGGAAAAGATTTCGTTCGGGCCGGTTCAGCTTACAATCACCGCGTTCCGGAGGGTGATGGGCCGGGTCAGGGACAGACCCCCACCCCCCACAGATGCTGTTTCTAACCCCCCTTGCCTAAGCCTCTCTAATGCTAGTCCTGACTGTCAGTCCCACCCTGTCCTAGCCACAGCTCAGAGTGCATACCCGGGAGTGACATAATGGCAATACAGATCAAATGTACTAGATACTTCTTACATCTGTGAAGGCCATCTAACATGAAACCCTTCTTATGGTATTCCAGCTTCTCTGCTTGAACCCTGGCCAGAAAAAAAACCATTACCACCTGCAACAGGAAGCCAATGTGATCCTAAGCAGGCCTGCCTGCTTAAAAGACTCCTCCATCCCACCCCCCTCCCCTCTCTCATATACCCTTCTCCCCAATCTGACCTTTCTTGCTTGACACTGACTCTCATCTTGTTCACCATGAACCCCTCTTCTCTTTCAGGCCAACCCATTGCATCAATGTCCTGCACTCAAAGGCAGAGGCTCTTGCAAGCCCTCCTCCATGCAGAGAGCCAGGAACAGAACACCCAAGGCACTGACAATTTGTGAGTAATGACCATTATTCTCTGGCACAACTTCTCAAGTCAACTCACATTTGCAGAGTCTTCTTGGAAGGCAACCTCCCATCTTCTCCCTTTCTCCCCTCACAAGTGGACTCAACGTTCCTCCCTCTCTCCCCTTCCCCAGTCTCCTCTTCTCAGTCCATTCCTTCCACTTACCCACCCTTGGCTGACAATGTCGACAATGCCAGTCAAATTGTTGGGGTGTCTCCTCCCAAGGCACCCCCAGCCAACCCCATGTCTCCAACCCAAACTCAACTGACTGAGGTCCATCTGATGCCCGAAGTCTACCAAGCCCTGCTAAACTGGATCAGTGCTCTTGAGAAAGTGAAACACCATCGCACAAGACTCACTTTACCTGAAGACTCTGATTCAGATGACAAAAACATGTCAGTCAAGAAGAAACCTTATCTCATATCAGCTGTTCCAAGAGAGACTCTGTCTGAACTTGATCTGAAGACCAGAAACTATCTCATCATATGTCTCAGTGCACACACTTCAGAGAGAAGAGACTCACCTCAATACCCAGGGCAAGCTGCATGCAGTAATGTATGCCTCTGTTGGTTACACTGCTGGTGGGATTATGCCCAACTCCACTGGTCCATTTGTCAAGGGCAAGGCATCCTTTCTGGTTCCAAACTTTGAGGGTGGGTTGAATCATCCGGACAATAGGAGGATCATGGCTCAAGCTGCCCAATTGGTCCTTGCCCATGAGATGGTAAGTGGGGGCATCCTTCTCAGCACAACTTCTCAATGCAACACATACCAGGGTGAAGATAGTATCATCACTCAAGCTCGAGTCTGAGAGGCTTGGCTAGACATCTATGTCCTATGAGATTTTGCATGCATTTGCTGGCCAAACATGAAGAAACTTTGGAACAACCAGAGGAGGTCACAGCAGGATGGAGGTTCTGCACAAGAAGTCGAAAGGAGACATGCCTGACACCATGAGAGGCTGTCAGGGCACCAGCTCATTGCTTGGTCAAGAGACATGACTAAGCCTTTATGACATGGAAGTAGCTGGTATACCTTGGCATGTGCTGGAACCTGCTGGAAGGATTGGATGGTCAGGTGACCTGCTGTGCATGGCTGTGCATGACCTCATATGACCTCATCCTTGGTCATATGACCTGACCACCTGACTAGGCTGAGTAAGCAAGATGTTCTAGCAGGTTCCACCACAGAGGTATAAATATAAGGCCTACTCTGCCTGGGGACTGTCTCTTCAGACTTGGTCTCTTAGGATCATCCACAGGTACCTATACTGTAGATAGGTCTTAGTCATCAGGTCTACTCCACTTCCTTGTTGCCTGCTTAGACTCTTGGCACTCTTAGGTGAGCAGACTTAGTCAGCCTGTGTTGCCCTAACAGAGGCACAGAGTGGTCAGCAATGCTTTCTTTCTCCACATCCCAAACACTTACCTGAGCTCCAGCATGCCCAACAAGTTCAGGCCAGGTTAGAGGCATGGTGTATTGAGCATGGACTTGATCATGATATTGTCTGCAAGAACCTGGTGCATGAGAGTTGGATGGGGGATGATTGCTCTGGTGATGAAGATGGAACCAAAGGGCCTGAATGGTGGGCCCTGCTCTACAAATCTGGTAAGATCTCTAAGCAAGAATGTGATGACCCAAAGTTGGATGTGTGGGAGATGAAGCAGCTGTACTGGATGGATCTTAAGGTTAGATGATCACCTAATGCCATGGTAGAGAGCTGATTTACCCAACAGTACTGGCAATTCTATCAAACTATCCTCACTGCCTATGCAGAAAGACCAACTGGTCAGAGCTGGGTTAAACAACTCAAGACCAAGTGTGTTGATTGTGGCTGCGTCACCAAGCATCTCCCCACCAACATCCCATGGAACTTCATCTTGAACAAAGACTTCAAGAAGACCAAGATGCTCAAGATTGTCAAGTGGACAGTCTGTGCAAAATGTCCTCCTGCTGTTCCCAAGCACTTGATCAGGGAATGACAACCAACTATGTCCTGGTTCCAGCTGGGATGTAGCTGGTGGTCAGCTGAATTGAGAAGTTGTGTTGCGAACAAACTAAACTCAGACACCATGTAAGCTCCCTGTTTCAACTCAATCAAAGGATTGTCCATTTATAGGCATGAGCTTCTTGTTACATTAGCCTTACAGTCCCAGTGAGCAATCACCCCACCTAATCTGAAGATCCCTCTCCTTAATTCCACACTCACTTCTCCATTATCTCACTCTTTGTTTACAATGAGTGACCATCCTGTCATTAGTTCAGTCTTAATCCCAAGCCAGTATATGTCTGAAGTGCACTTTACTAAGGCATGTGGTGATCCAGATATGGCAGCCATCCACATTGAGCGTACATTGAGCAGCAACCCCACTTATTTTGCTTGCTGATATGATGGCATCTGGTCCTACATCATTCATTTGGTACATGTCATATTGCCAGAAATTGACCTCCAGTTCCTTACTGTCTCAATGGTGAGATTCATGCCACAAGATATGGGTGATGCTTACAATCCTTTGTACAGCTCAGCATGTGGTGGTGTGTCTTGCAGAGGAACCAGCCAATTGACAAAGGTGAAGGTCTGTGGCTCTTTGACACCAGGCTGCACATGTCTCAGCACCCTATGCAGCTCACCGACCCATTGGACTCCTGGTTGCAGCTGGAAAAGCAGTAACAAGTCTGCTTTGCTCTGTCAATCCTTGTGACTTGCCAGGATGTGTCTACCTTCCAACCTCAACTCTGGGAAGAACTGGCCTCTGCTGTTCAAGAATTGGCTTTGAGCAGGGGCAGAAGGGTCTCCAGAGTGATACAAGCTAAGCTCTGGGTACCTTCTTCCATACCAACTTAGCAATTCATCTTGAACTTCCCTTCCTAACGTATCAGTGTGCAATGTCCCAGCAGCAATGCAGGGATGGGGATGGCCAGACATATGGGGGTGAGACTGTGCCGCAAAGGTGGCTAAGGTCCCTGTGCATGTGATATCATGAGAACACTTTTGGAGCTCAGTAGCAATGAGTCTTGCCAGGGCATCCTTGGTCTGGTTAGCAAGTATTGCATTCTACAGCTATCAGTTAGACTGGCCTTGCATTGTGTGGCCACTCACCAGCTGGGCCAGCCCCATCTCCCATTTGAATTCCCTTGCAAATGTGATCTCCAGAGAACCACCCTTGTGACCATTGGTTTTGAAATCCTTGAGGATCTTGTTGAGATGTTCAAACAGAAATGTCCAGAAGCCATGGACTGGCCCCAGCCACTGAATTTGCTTGTCCATATGGGTTACCCAATGGAAAGTGGGTGTTGTGTTGACCAACCCATAGATCTGTACTTGTAGTCAGCTCTTCTTCTTGGAGTTGGTGTTGAATTGAGAAGTTGTGCCATGTGGGCTCACCTCAACAAATTCCTCAAAGTATTCCCAATAGAGGTGCACTGCTCTAGCGAGTTTGTGGTCATTCACTTCATGTCTGGTGTAAATCTTCAGGATGGTTGCCAGTTTCAAGAAGTTCCCAGCAGCCTTGGCATGAACTCTTTGATTGGCTCACTCCAATATGGGAGGTATCTGATCCTTGTTAGCATGCTCAAGGTAATGGTAACCACTTACCACTGCCAGACCATACAGAATGGCAATGGCCCTCCACTCATCAGAGGTGAGGCTGCCTCCTCCAGGTTCACCAACCTGCTTAGGCAAACGTGCAAACCATCCCAGCATCTCCAAAGTTGCCAGTGCTTTGTGGATGGCATCTAACTCTTGTAACATACCAGCCTCAGTCCAGCTGTGCAGCACAACCTTTGTATGATCATCCTTACCTCCCTGCACCCAAACCAAGAACCACAAGTTCTTCATTAGGCCTACACATATATGAATGACTGTTGAGCAGGATTGAAGGACTCGCCTAAGAAGAATGTGTGCATGGGGTCAATGACGCCTTGCTCAACCAGATTGAAATAGGGTAGCCATGATAGCTTGAACCATTTAATGCCATGATGTGAGAAGTAACAATTGATGACCTTGGGTGGTGCACCAGACTGCTGTAGATTGTACATTTGGGTGGCTTGTCACTTGTGGAGCTCGCCATCACAATTGGGCATCCCTGTGTTCTCCCATCCACAATGCAGCATGTCTTCTTGGATCACCTTGCACTGGGTGCAAGGCCAGCGCCAGTGCATCTGGTCTGTGAACCCACACATCTTCACCAGTGCAGGGTGGTCGCACACCACTGCCAGCAATGCAACTTGAACCTGGTGACCTATTCCAAGTGTCAGTGCCAGTTGGAGTTGAATTGAGAAGTTGTGCAGGGAGCAGGCAAGCTTACCTTGTGGATACACAGGGGTATTCACAGATATGCCTTCCTGCCAGAGATGGAGGAGATTGTCAACAAGAGGCCAAAGGAATCTTTGGAGCTGCTCAGCATTTGGTTCATGAGGTCCCGGAATGACTCTGATTAGGCACAGATTGTGCACTCAATATCTGGGGGCCAAAAATTATATGAGGTTGACAATGGTGCTAGACACTCACCAAAGTTCTGGGGGAAGGTTGGCCACACAGATTGACAAAGGGCCAGATGAAAGGCTGGCTGCCATTGCTGACAAGTTTGGGTTGAACCAGTCAAGAGACAAGAGCATGCCTAGATGAAGTTTGGCTTGGGATTCTGCTTGCAATCTTGTCATAGGAAAGAAGGGCAAACTGTCAGGACACTTGAGATTCTGCCATACCAAACCATCTTGAATCCTTGAGTAGGTACCAGGAACACTCTCTGAATCCAAATAGTCTTCACAAGCAGCTTTGAAACTGGGCTGTCCCAAGAAGGCAGCCAGTTGTTGGGAAAGGAGATGATAAGGTGCTTGACAATGTGGGTGGGGGATGCCAGTCTTGGGAGGCTCCTTGTATAGCTCAGTGTTGCAGTGACGGCATTGTCTTTGCCACCTGTCATCCAAGGTGGATGATATGGGCAGGTTGCTCTCTTCTCCAAGATCTTGCAGAAGTTCTGCATCTGGTTGATCTTCCAGGAAAGATTTGAACTCCCAGCAGCTGAGACACAGAACTTTGGAGGTATAATCATCCAAGAGCCCTAGCCGAGTATACATCATCTTGAGCGTAAGAGGGGGGGGTGTCTTAACTGGGGATGTGGTTTGGTTGGTCAATCCTCCAAAGTACTCCAGTATGGCATAGAGCATGGCAGCCAGGAAAGTGCATGCTACATGGGGCAGCTGGTACCTCGCATGCATATGAAGAAGGAGTAAGCAGATAGCTCTCACACCTGCATGCCTGTGCAAGCTCATGTAGCCTTGAAAGGGGTCTTTACATGACTTCTGTAACCCATCATCCATCACCATGGGGGGGAGCAAGATACCCAGTGCATTGACTCTCAGTCCACCATCATCATTGATATTCCCCACCTCAAATTGTGATGTTGACTGATGGTTGATGTTCATGACATGGTCCAAAGCTGGTACAGGGAGAGATAGCAGTGACAAGGGAGGTGTAATCAAAGGCTGCCCATCAACAGACTCAGGGATTTCATTTGACCATGAGCTCAGGGATGCCAAGAGGGGTGAAGTGCTTGGTGATGATGATTTGGTGAGGTGGGAGAGCTGAGGTGATGGTCAAGATGGTGATTCAGGTTTGATGCATGTTGATGGGTCACAATCTAACCCATCAACAACATCAGGAAGCCAAGCAGAATTGGCCTCATCATTGTATATGCAATCCTCTGACCTCAACACCTCCACTTGATCTGTCACTTGCTCCACATCCTCCTCTTGTTGATCATATTGGGAAGGGTTATCTTGACTTGCCCATCCAAGGAGGGCAGATTGAGCAGTTGCAGACAAAGCTATTGTGTGTAGATGGGACCAATAGCTTTGTTGTGTCCATGACCAGCCACCTGGTCAATACTGGTTCTTGCACACCATGCAGACACACCAAATGGAGGTTTTCATGCTGGAGAGAGCCTTCATTCTCTTTGGGAGGTTGACCATAGTAGAGGAGGAGAGGGGGGCCTCATTAAGGTTGACAAGGGGTGAGCGGGAGAGGAAGAGAGATGAGTGCAGGGTGATGTAAACCCTGACAATGACACATGATTGACCACAGACAACACATAATCCTCAGATCTGTATCCCCATCAAATGAGTGTATTAGCAAACATGATCAGCCCTACAGGCTGACAGGCTGGCAGCTAAATGAGGTTTGAGACAATGAGAGTGGGCCCACCTGGTCTGGGGGGTAAGATGATATCCATGTTTGAGCATACAGGCTATGAGGGTAACAGAAGGAAGATAAAGTAGAACATTGGGAAGAGGGGTTGCTAAACAACATAAAAGGGCACAACTGACACCATGTACTACTTTAACCTTTGCTGATTGAGGACTGGCTTGTGTAGCATGCTGGAGGGCTAGCCCTAGGTTAGATGCAGATGTTGAAGTGCTGGGTACGAAGGGCAGGCAGGTTTGGGATCTTGGTGTGTGCTGCTGCCAAGGCAGTAGCAGCCAAGTGTTGCTCCAATGCCCTGATGGCTGGGGCATTCACATCAAAGGGAAATCCAGGTCTGAGAGTGGTGACAAGGGCAGCAGGAGCCACAGAGGATGATGTGGTTCCCTCAGGGCTAAGAGGGGGAGACTGGGGAGACCATCTAGGAGGTGGCGCCTCATGGGAGATGTAAATAGGGAGAGGATCACAGATGGAGACCTCACTCCCACACACGCTAGCTTTGCTGGAGTGGATGCTGCAAGAGTCATCCATGTTGAAGTCCGGCATGTTGGTTGTTGAAGAACACTCATATGCAGGTGGATGAATTGAGAAGTTGTGCTGAGATGGGGAGCCTGCTGGATCGCTGGGCTTGTTGGTCCCCATGTTGAAGACCTGGTGTTGAATTGACAAGTTGTGCCAAGAAGGGGAGCCTGCTGGATTGCTGGGTTCATTGGTCGCAGAGTCCAGGACCAGGTTATGAGGAAGAGTGGGGACCATGGAGTTGGAACCAGGAGATACATCTTGTATGTGTAAGTCGATGGTTGACCCATCACACCAGCCCACATTGATAGGTTGGCCTACACATGTCCAGTCAGATGGTGGCCATCATGCAGTGGGAGATCTCTGCACACCGATGTCTGGAGCCTTCCCCCTTTTATCCACGTTCCTCTTTGATCGGCCCTTGTTGCCACTCCACAAGGGCATTGCAGGTAATAGTACTTGTGACCTGGACAATATCAGACGTCTCTTCCAAGGAAACAAATAAGTTGAGATACTGACGATTAGAGATTTGTGTGACCGAAAAGCAGAGATTGTTCTTGGTTGAGATGGTCATCACCAACTTAGACATTGGAGGCGACTCAGGGGACAACGTGGGTCAGGCAAAGGGGCTGGTGTGGATCTACGTCCGCTGTCAGAGTGACACTTGACCTGAAAATTAATCCGAAATTCCGTCGACCATCGTTATCGTCGAGGAGATGATCTTCTCCTCGACATCCAACCTCCGTCTGTCAAATGCTGCTATACATGGAATGCTATGGATCAATGTCCACTCGGTTGACTGGACAGCGAGCTGAGGTTTTACAACGGCAGACTGCGAAGGGTTCCCCAGGCATCAATGCCTGGAGACAGTCGTTTGATCAGGAATTGAGAAGTTGCTAACTCTCGGCACAACTTCTCAAATCAGCAACAAATACAGGTAAAATTCATACCTTGGTACTGGCTTCTACTGACAAAACTCAGATCTTGCGAACAGACAGGATCTTGACAACCGGAAGCGATGAGAGGGCCGTTTGGACGGAGAAAGAAGCGAACCTGTTGAAGCTGACAGCGCTGCTGAGCGACAGCCTCGCCAAAGAGCAGGAGGAGAGGTTCGTGGCTCCCAGGGTGAGCAAAGCTGCTCAAGCGGGTATGAGCCAGGGTGAAGGTAAGGGCGCTGAGGATGCCGTGACATCCCGCTCTGACTACCTTGCTAGGGAAGGATGATGGGACGTTGATTGGCATGCTGCTCACTGCAGGCGACGTCATGGTGCCCTTGTGGCTCGCCCGTTGGGCTCTGGATAAGTTCCAGAGGGATCTTGAGGAGCACAAGGTGAGTATCTCAAATGCGCATACACCTAGCTATATGCTGGGCAATGTGTTGAATTGAGAAGTTGTGCTGAGAAGGAACAAGTTCTCTAACCAAACTGACGAGGATGTCGCTCACCGATCCGGACAAGCTGCGGTCAACGATCACAGACGACGACGCCGAGGCCGGTCCATCGACTCTCGAGGCCGCCGGACAGAGGTCGACAGAGGAGATCGCCGAAACTGCCCCTATCCCGGCAGCCGAGCCTGCAACGGACGCTGTCAGCCCTGACGAGGGGGTGACTGCCGACACCACGCCGTTGGCCTTCCCTGGCGCCGATACCTTCGCGTCCCCCGAGGCAATCCACCTCATTCAGTCACGGGCGAAGGGCGAAGTCGTGGAAGTGGCGCTCGCCGAGCAGGAGGCCCTGGGATGGAGCGAAGGGTATGTCTGGCAGGGTGCCCAGATTGCCCTGGAGACTTCGCTGGGACAGATGGGGCAAGCCATCTTGCTGCAACGGCAGATGGATCATCGCCGGGCCCTTGGCAGGAAGCGGGGAAGAATTCCCGTATCGAGTAGCACATGCTGGACACGACGGAGGAGGAACGCGATCGGATCCGCGCTGGGGTCAAATTGGTCAACAGGGCGGCTTTCAAAGCCAAAATGAAGGACGGGGCGAGCAAGGCTTGGGTGGGAACGAAGAAGGCATTCGTAGCATGTGGGCCAGACGTGGTCAAGGCGATCGGCAAGGCAGGCAAGTGTTGTTCTGACTTTGTTCGCAACCACACTAATGACTGGGCCAGTGTTGGATACGCTGGCCAAGATTTTTGGAGGAAACAGCGCGGAGGACCTGCCGGGGGTGATAGAGGACGCTCTGGTCGCCCAAATTAGGCCGGTGCTGGACAATATGGGAGTGGTTCCTGCTGGAGGAGCCTAGTGAAGAGAGCCGAGGTAGATTGCGATACCTTAGAGTAGATCCATATGCCCCATGGAATGCTAATGATACCGAGTACGCTCAAGGTGGAAATGGAAGTTGTGTCTTCGCGGCACAACTTCTCAATTCAACAGATCCGCCAAGAAAGATAGTCCATGTGTTATAGAAGGTTATATAATGTCATTAATGCAGGCCACCTATCCTATTTACAGACTAGGACGGGGCAATAGCCCTCTGTCCTCCTGGCCAAGAGTATCGCAAGCCGTATGTCCTAGGCAGAAGGGCAGCGTATTCGGCCTGCCCTAAACCAGCTGGTACAGGGACCTGCGGAACGCGGTGAATAAGATTTACTTGTCGGTTCTATTGACTCAATGTCAGCTCCCCAGATTCCTCTGTGCACCGCCATGTCCATGCGCACAGACCGAGTTCATGACTGAACGTGGGATCACCGCAAATCCTGATTACTGTGGAATATTGATGTCAATGACTATGACACCACATAACAGGCCGGCTGTTGAACATTTATCTTCCTGTTGAACTCATCTCAGTCTTGCCGACACGACGCGCCTCAGCATTCCAACATGTCGACCACCGTCTCCGGGCTGTCTATGATCGATCTCTGCCACATTCTCGATCCAATCTCCTGCAAGACAGGAGTTTTTACCAATTGGGCCGAGACATACTCATGCAGACCGCTCTCTATCTTTGAGCCTCAGACAGCATTCCAGTGCGAATGCATAGTTGAGCTGGGAAAGCGAGAGGGGCGACAGTTGCGAGTTGCGGGTTCGGGACACAGTCCGAGTGACCTTACGTGTACCGAGGGGTTCATGATCAAGACCGATCGACTAGACCAGGTTTTGGAAGTGCGTGAGCTGCATTCGCTACCATATTCCGTTCTGACGAAGGCATTCTGTACATAGATCAATGAGAGCGAGAAGTGGGTCAACGTACAAGCTGGAGCCAAACTACACCAAATCCATGCTGTTCTCGGGGAGCATGGCCTTGCCATGAGCAATGTCGGCTCGATCTCGGAACAGGCAATTGCTGGCATAATCTGTACTGCTAGCCATGGCACGGGCTGGAATTTCAAACCGATGTCATCGAGCGTTCTTGAGCTGGAAGTGCTACTAGCCGACGGGTCTCGCGTGGTGTGCTCCAATGAAAACAACATTGGTCTCTTCAAAGCGACCTTGTGTGGACTTGGTGCCACCGGAATGATCCTCCGTGTCAAGATACAGGTCGAGGATGCGTTTCGACTCGCAGAGAAGAAAGAAGCGGTTCCATTCGGTTCGGTTATAGGTGATCTCGAGAATATTGCCAAGTCTGGCGAACACGTACGACTTTGGTGGTACGCTCAGGCCGATGAGATCCACGTTATGAGAGCAGATCGCACCAAAGACGTACGTTAACTCCAATACTCTGTTGACGTTGATAGATAATGAGGAACCCAAGGCACCAAACCCTCCCCCACACAGCTTCTTTTGGGATCGTCTTCTGGGATTCGATGCTCTTCAATTAATGTTGTTTCTGGGTCTCTATGTACCTTCGATATTGCCCTCTGTCGCCCAATTCGCGTGTTGGCTGCGCCGCCCACATGGCACTACAGTTGATGACAGCTGGAAGATTTTCAATCTCGACGTTTTCGTGCGCACTTTTACCAGAGGATGCAGGGCATGATACTTATTTGTTGTTCAGATCAAGCAGTACACAGCTGAATGGGCGATTCCCCAAGAGAACGCCAAGGATTGTATCATGGCCCTGCGAGAGTGGCTCAGAGAGGAACACGACAATCCACGTGGTCTCCGGCCGCATTTTCCCCTCGAGATTCGCTGGACTGATGCTGATGACGTCTGGCTGAGTCCTTCATACGGAAGGAAGACCTGTTGGATTGGAATGATACAATTCAAGTGTGTCGCGTTGCCCAGACTAGACTCGACCAGTTTTCTGACTTCCCTATTCCAACAGGCCTTACGGCTTCGACGTTCCTTGGAAAGAGCTATTCGACAAATTTGATAAGATCATGTACTCCCATGGTGGACGACCCCACTGGGCCAAAACGCATTCTTTTGGCCCTCCCCAGTTGCGAGAGTCGTATCCTCATTTTGACGAGTTTGTCAACCTTCTCAAGGAGATAGATCCAAACGGGATGTTTCGTACCGAATATGTCAACAGACACATGTATGGCCTTCCAGCCGCAGGAAAAACGGCGGTCGAGCTGTACGAGAGCCTTGCGTAGGATAACCGGGGTCGCCATGAATATGATTGCACCATTCTGTGCTTCTATTGTCCTCTGCATGCATGCGTGCTCTATTACATACCACTTGTGATTGCTCGAGTCAGAACCATTCTCCCAATACATTCTGGCGTTCTCTTTTATAATTAACAAATCAACAACAGTAGAGGTTCAGTTAGAGTCGGATTAATACTAAGCTACGCTCTGCTCTCCTCGCTTCTCAACTTCGTCCAGACCTTCTCTACTCTCGTTCGGAAGAATGATAGCTGTGATTCCGGAAGTTGCGAGATCTTGAACAGCTTGCTCACCATCAAACAAAGCAGCGGTTTGCTCGAGTGTACGGTTCTTCGTCTCGATGCAGAAGAAGTACATAAATGCAAATTCGAAGACCAAGAAGCAGTCGTACACAATATAGTCTGTACCATTATTAGCATTTACCTTTTTCATTGTACACTGCCATGCTCCACTTACACTTCCAGCCGAGGGCAGGCAGGGCGATAGGATTGACGAATTGGTTGAAAATCAGCGCCAGCGCTAGCGAGAAGCTAAACACTGTGAATCCCTTTGCGCGTAAAGAATACGGTAGAATCTCGATTGTATATGGAACGGTGAGCGGGGTGAAGGCCAAGCAGAACGTGCCGAAAAAGAGGACTGTCAAGGGTAATTATTGTTCCTTCTTCCTTTCTGCAGCCAGAGCTCACTTACAAATGAAGGCGATGACAGCATCACCCGCCGCGCTGCTTCCAGTAATAGCATATCTGGCCGAGCATACCGTGAGTAAACTGAAGAAGAGAAGCATTCCTCCGCTAGAGGTGAGGAACAGAACTCGTCGACCCGCTTTGTCGACCAACGCGGATGCAAGTAGACAGATGGAAAGATTGAATATTTGTAGGACACCGTTAATGAGTGTTTGAGTAGTTGTTGACGTAATTCCTATGGTATCGAAGACCAAATTGAGGTAGTAAGTGACCAAGCCGTTGCCGGACCATTGAGAAAAGAAGGCGAGGGCGATAATCATCCGCATGCGACGTCGGTTCCCAGGAGTGGCTAGAAGAGTCCGCCAGCCAACTGTTTCTGCAACTTTGCGGTCTCGTTCTATCGCTTTCTTGATTTCGCTATGCTCGTACCGGACAAGGGGATTTTTCTCGTCTCCTCGACCATGATAGAAGGCGAGGATCCTTAAGGCAGCAGCATCCCTTTGTAACAATCAACATCGATACATAACGTGTATATGAAACCCTCTCACTTCCCCTTAGAGAGCAGCCAGCGAGGTGATTCGGGGCAAAGCCAAATTAGGGTGACGTGCAGGATTGACGGCGCTCCCTGTAGAATAGAAGGGATGCGCCAGGCCCACTGAGTTGGGATGCGGAAAGTGCCAAAGGTAGTCCAAGCTGCGACTATGGCTCCGGAGTACCACAAGGAGTTATACGCGGACACAATGGGTCCGCGGTGAGATGGGTAGGCGAGCTCCGCAATAAGCAACGGCGAGGCACTCGTTGCAAACGCAAGGCCGAAGCCAAACAGAAACCGAGCTCCCATAAACATGCTAGCACTGAAAGAGGCCGACTGTATTGCCGTGCCGCTGATCATGAGGAACGCTCCCAGAGCAATAGCGACCCGCCGGCCAAATCCGTCCATGACATAGGGTGTGAACGGTGTGCCTGCCAGCAGGCCAATGTTACGAATGGCAGTCAGAATCCCAAGTTTCTCCTTGGACGGATCACCCATAGTGACTCTCCACTGGTCCAGTACTTGAAGGTTGTCTATGATCGCTCATGAGCAGGAAAACAAAACAAAACAGCCTGTTGCTCACTCATCATGGCCCCATCATACCCATTGGCGTATGAAGTCAGGAGCAAGAGCAACCTTGTCACTATGTGAGCAAAATCTAGAGTTTTGGAGCAGTATTTCTACGACCCACAACCAAAGGTTCAGACTCCATAACCTGCCATTCTTCCACCACGGACCGCGATCGAGAAGGTCGGCGATGTCGAGATCTTTGGCGCCTTTGGGACCACCAGAGGTTGACATTGTCGAATATTGAAATGAGAGACGGGGTGTTTGGGTTTCACCTGGCCCTGCCACGACACTTAAATGAGCGGTCACGATTCCCTCTTTCAGCTCACTCGGCCCACTTGCCCCTCTCACTTAGTCAGAACCCAGATCATCTATTTTAGCAGAGTCTATGCAGGGCACTACGTTCAGCAGTGAGCGCAGATACCAGGGAATGAGACGACGCACGAGTCAATGCAAGCCCGTTTTCGCGGCGTTTCCCGTCGCCTGCGTAATGTTTCGACGCACCCGGACATAGAGCACATTACTCATGGGGTCACATAGTCGCTTCCCTGATTGATTGACAGATATGGCACCCAACATTCTTGAATTGGCTTCAGAAGTTGGCTTGGAAACGGAAGCATTATTGAGATGGGCCTTCTCAGGATTGTCTTTCAGTTCGTGAGAAGAAGGCGGGCCGAAATGATGGTCGTTGCGACCTTTGGATGAAGTAAATTTGCCCATTCAGCCTAGAAATGAGTACTGAAAAGGGGCTTGGTGCAAGTATGTGAAGAAGGGTAACACGAGTACAGCTTCGAGCATGTGGAAGAGAACAATCCATGTGGATTTCAATGCGAATGTATGTCCTCATACATTTCCCCGTTGATGGAGCACAGCCAGTGATATCTCTCGGGGTGCTTTTCCGTTATCCAAGTGCGGCAGGCAGTGATAAACTAAACATAGCCGGATCCACAAACTCAAGCTGGACAAGGAGGCGGACTGTTCGTTGGGAGGGAGGGATTGCACTAGCAGAGAAAAAAAAATGATTCGGTGAGACGACACGTGCTGATAAAATACTCGCGACCGATGTCCCGCTCTTTCTCGCTGACTCAGCAATCCGGAAGCTACTCTTCTGGCTTTCTCGGCACCAGGTTCACGGCCGATCCCGATACGCATGCGGTTAGACCACAAGAACACATATATATATATTTATGTACTTTTCAAACAACACGGCGGTCGGATACACTATACATAGAGAATTTAGAGTGCATATGGAACTACTAGTCATAGGCGCAGTCGAAGACCTTGCCATTCTTGACCACAACCCGCAGTCCATCAAAGCTGGGCCTCATCCAAAAGCCAGGCTGAGGAATGATCCAGTCGAGCATCTCCTGACAGCGCTGCTTCTCGCCGGAATCTCCCTTCCATCCCTTCAGCACGACCTCGCCGTCAGATATGGCTCGGCAAACGCGAACCCATCCGTCGTGACTGATCCACTCTTGCAATCCGCACATGAATCCGGTTAAGTATGTCCTTTTGCATCCAAGAAGTCGAGTGGCTGCCACCGCCTGTTCAATGCCAAAGTGAGAGGGATGTTTATGGGGACGCAGGCAGTCGATAACTGCGACTTGTGGCTTGCGCCATTCGGGTAGGCAAGCCAAGAAGTCGAACGTGTAGGACGGAATCTCGGAAACGTCGGACAAGTATAAGAATTTTGGCAGCAAAAAGCCGAATGCAAGATATGGAGTGGCCAGAGGTTTCGCGGGAGACGTAAACTGCGCCTGACTGAGATGCGGGAACGGAAAGGAGCCGAAAGTCTGAAATGATCCGTTGCGCGACAAGGTCGGCGTGCTCACCGCAGTGAGTGGGGGCGAGAGAGGTGGCGAGAGGGGTGGTGAAATCATGTCGGTCACCGGACCGAAATACCGACCGTGCTGGACAAGGACCGGGGTAATGAGAACACCACATATCTCGAAGTCATTATACTCCTGTATGATATGCCACTGGAATTCTGGGACCTGCAGATTGTTAGGCGGTTCGACACGTTTTGGTGGAGGAAAACTGACTGCGCCTCCTCCGGTGGCCATTCCTTTATTGACCAAATACGGAAAGGTACGCTGGACTTCTTCAAAAGTACGCTGAGAAAGATAAATATCGATGCTCTCTTGAATCACGGACTGAAGCGTCCAGCAACGCAAATCATCCAAGCCGTTCATTGCTGAAGAATATCAGCCACAGCCCGATATCAAGACAAAGGTTCCATACCGTCTGCATGAGCATGTGTGAGAACAATACCGTCAATGCGGCTCAGTCCATACTTGGGAAACCACTCTAACGCGGCCGCTACGAACGATTTACCGGCATCGATTACTACCACTCTGGCAGACTGTATCAGAACTGCAAAGAGGTGCGATGTGGGGAGCAATACGTACACATCCTTCCTACCATCTCGGACTCGAAGGATCGCGCCGGTGTTCCGCCGTCTATTCTTGACGGCTTCATGTGGATTTGGCGACAGACCGGGGTTGGCACCTGAGTAGCAGGTCATGCACCGCGGAGCCCCAGGCGGAGCGACAAGGCAGGCAATGTTAGGGAGGCAAGCCGAGTTTCCGGTTCCGTGAAAAATGAGCTCGGTAGTCATGTCTGGTTTGGCTTTTTACTGAGAGTCGTCCGGGGGTGTTCCGTTGAGGCACCTCGAGATAGCTTCATGCCTTTATTAGCAGTTTGCTCGTCTGCTCGGTTGCTATCGTCGTGATATGCTGGCCCCTTTCTGCGAAATCAACATGACGCTTCCAGTTAATGTCAAGGCTTTATTTAGAAAGTATGAGTGAGCATTCAGCGAGCGCTTCGCGATACATTAATACCTTTTCTTGCGAGACCATTTCCGAAAATGTCTCATTGGTGTTTGAGAAGATGTGGGAAGTGAGACCGTACTGAATAATTTTCGGAAAGACGATGTTCATTCGGCGGAAAAGCGATCCGAGCGGCGGGGTTGCGAATTGGTCTTCCATGGAGCTGACATCTCGCCCGAAGGAGAGTATTCTCGGCTTTGGACGGTAAGTGATGGAGAAAGGATACAAGAATGGAACCATACCCGTGCGATAATCAAGGCACTGCATGCTTAGCGAAGGCACTGCGGGGCTACGAATTTTGCAGTTTTCCTTTGGGCTGAATAAACGCGGACCGTGGAGCTCGTCGTGCGCGAAGTAGACTCCCACGTCCAAGCACGTGGGGATAAAACGCCGAGTTGATGAGAGACCGGGGGTGTCGCTCAAAACATCAACGTAGGCAGGGTCGAGCGCTTCTGAGCTGACCAATGATGATGGACGGAAGACAAGACCGTGATTGAGTCCGTTCGGGCATCGGCAGGGACAGGGACTCTTGTCACAACGAGGTCGACTGTACAGAATAGCCTTCCTGATTCGAACAATCACTTTGCCTGCTATACTTGGGACCATTTGAAGTGGAAATTTTCTCAGCACATCCAATTCAGTCTAGCTGCAATAGAAATCAAGCTGGGTCAATCTTCGGATCAATTCTCCTTTTGAATGAGAGGGGTTAGGCTTGAGAAATGAAGGACACATCGTGAATGTACCGGTACACTTGGAACTAGAATGGATTTGAACATCATGCTAACAATATTGGCATGGAAGCGCTTCTCATGCGGGCTGACCGTGGGTTGAGGTCTCAATAGGTCTCCAGCGGCATAGGAGGCACGCATGGGGCTTGTTACGCTTATATTACGCTGTGGTGGCCGCCTTCGAACCCATCCAGTACCAAGTCAACGTCCTCTTTTGAATACTTGCGATGGGAGACGCTCCTACCGAAGTCGGCCAGCAGCAGCAGGGCCATTTCCTGTTCTTCTCCTGGTTGGGATGGGGTGCGTGTGGAGTCCTCACTCCTGGCTCTCGCTCAGGATGATACAGGGCATATTCGAGCTGAGAGCGCGTTTGGTGTTACCGTAGCTCGCAAATTTCCACGCTTAACTATAAGTGAGCAGTCCGTTAAGCACGTCAGAAGCTACTGAATCTCCACAGCCCGTATTACCCAAATCACATATACGGAAAAGATCAAAAGCGAACTGTACAGACAATGCACCGAGGAAGAACGCGAGACCATCCTTCCTCGGATCCGGGTTGTCGGTTTGGGAAAACCGTTGCAGCATGGCCCGTCGCACGAGCAGCATGTCGAGATGATGAAGGCGGACAACTTTGGGGGCCGGATCACCGGTGTGCTCGAGTCGATCATGCATGATCGTGAGTTCACGGACGATGCGGGCGTGGTTATCCCCCCGGTGGGAGGTACCCCTGGACTGATGATCAGCGATATCCTCATGGGCGAAGTCGCCTTGCCCGCTATGGAGACTTACAAAATCCCGACGATGGTATGGTTCTTTGGGTCCTGCGCAACGTCCTTGACACGCTTTATTGCTCCCCGTGCATATGGGGGCCAGATGGAATGGGAAGACGAAGTCGAGGCGGCGTTTGCCAATCCAGACATTGCCAAAGGGCGGTCGATCGTCGATATCTCTTACGAGGTTTGTCGCCCTGATTGTCAGTTCTAACTTCTGCCACTGACGTGCTGGCTGCTTTAGTACGCCGAGCATACCCCGCATTGGGGTGACGTAGTGCATGTGCGTGGACTGGAGGACACCTACCAGTGGGAGAACCACCCGCAGAAGCTCTGGCCGCACATGACCTGGGACCTCCGTCGCACCCTCGTCAAGCTATACCACTCTGTGCAGGGGATAATCGTGCGCACCACGCGGCTTCTGGTGCGCATCTTCATCCAGGTTCAAGAATCCGGAAGCCCACTAACGTTTGCGTTTGACAGGAACCTGAAGGACTAGCGGGACTCGAAGAGTTCTATTGCACAAACAAAGACCGAGTTGTCATAGCCACGGGCCCCCTACTCCCAGCACACTACTTCGAGCTCCCCACCGCCCACCTATCCTCCTTCAGCGGGCTAGAAGTATCCTACATCCACCCCGCCTCTAGCACAGGGGACAGCTCCCCCCCAGCGGCCCGGGAACAAGATCCCTGCCTGACGTTCCTCGATATCGTTCTCCGGGAACACGGCCCCCAGAGCTCGATCTTCATTTCCTTCGGGACGATTCATACTCCTTCCGTGCCGCGGGCTTACCTCGAGGTCCTAGTCGACATCCTCCTCTCTCTGGAAAACTCGATGCCTTTCATACTGAGCATGGCTTCCCCCGACCTACTCTCTTCGCTTCTCCCCCCTTCTCTGCTAGAGCGGGTAGAAACAAGTGGGAGGGGGATGATAGTCCAATGGGCTCCGCAGCAAGCGATCTTCGCCCACCCCGCACTAGGTTGGGTCCTTACCCACGGAGGGGGTAACACCACCCTAGAAGCGCTAGGTAAAGGCCTGCCAATGATCTGCTGGCCGATATGGGGCGATCAACCTGTGAACTGTCTTTGGGTCAGCAGGACGTTGAGAGCGGGGTTCGAGCTGCTTGAGATCCGTACTGCCGGGGCAGGGCGGCGCGCGTGGAGGAGGGGCGAAGAAGGGCAGGAGATCGAGGGGAGTTTGGAGAGTGTGAGAAGGGAGATGGAACGGGTTTTTAGGCTGGCGAAGGGGGAGGAAGGGGCTGTGAGGAGGAGGAACGCCCGACGGGCTAGGGAGATGTTGGTCAGGAGCGTACAGCAGGGGGGGGACGTGGATGTGGAACTTGAGAAACTGGCGAGGTACTTCTAAGGGCGGGCTGGGGGGGGGGGGGTTGGTTTCGAGTAGAGATTAAGGTGTGCAAGAGTTTGAATAGGAATAGGAATGGGAATGGGAATGTGTTTTATGCCCAGTTGTCTCTCGTCCTACTAGTACTCCTAAGTCACATCCATTGAGCGAATACGTGCCCCCATCCCGCCTCTCTCGCACACTCGCACGCATGCATAATCCCGTCCGTCATGCAGTTCAAGTCCAATCCCATAAACATAATAGATACACAATCCCTTTGTAGTGGGGTATGTCCGTCCGTGTCGTGTCTTGTCTTACACTAGTACTATCCTACACCGCAGAACAGAACAGAACAGAACAGGTTACACCTCCGTCTAGGTCAACGCTCTCCGCTTGTCTTGCCTTGCCTTGCCTTTCCCCTCCCCCAGCCGCCGTTGTTCCCCCTTCCCGTCTGATCTTGGAATCCGACTTCCCGCAACCAAGAGAGCTCAGAACGATAGGCAGGCACAGCCAACCCAGCCCAGCCAACCCAGCCAACCCAGCCGAACTCAGGCAAGCAAGCAACTACTTCCTCCAACCCCAGCCCCAGGTCCACCAACTGCCGCTCTTCTCCCCCTCCCCCCCTCCCTCTCCCTCCCCTTCCCCTCTCCCTTGCCCTTGCACGTCCTGCACGCACTCCTCCCCACCCAGCGCATGGTCATCCCCCAGGTCGCCCCCCGATTCTCGGGCCGGGTCAGTGGGTTTTATTCGTTTATTGAAGGGGGGGTTGGGGTGGAGGAGGGGGAGGGAGCGCTCCGGCTTGGAGGGGCGGGGGCGGGGCTGGGGGGAGGGGGAGGGGGAGGGGGAGGGGGAGGAGGAGGAGAGGACTGCGGTGGAGGGGAGTGAGCGGGAGGGGGAGGGGGAGGGGGACGGTCACCCCCAGGGAGACGCTGCCCCAGTCCCCTCCCCCTCCTCCCGTTCCCGCTCTCCCATCCGGCAACCCCTCCCTCCCCTGACGCTCCAGGTCTTCCCCACTCACGAGCGTGGCCGTCCTCTTCCTCCTCGGTGGGGAAAGTACGAACCCCGGACTAGTAGGCGCCAGACCGATCGCGAACCCGGGAAGTGGGGTCGTGTACGTACTTCCCTCCCTCGAGGGTGTCAACAGCTGCAAGAACAGCCGACTAGGGGAAAGCGGTTCCTCTACTTCCTCTACTTCTTCTTCCTCCAGCGCTGGGAAGAGGCTCGTTGTCTCTTCCCCCCCTGTGGGAGGGCCGAGGAAAACACCTTGCGCCGATTGGAGAGAGAGGATCCATACGCCTGCTAGGAGCAGCGAGGTGCCGAGGAGGATCATGCTCAGTTGAAGAGGGGAGAGACGGCGGAATTCGTCGAAGTAGATTAGGGAGTCTAGGATTGAGGAGATGTTGAACATGCAGAAAGCGACTGTTCGGGATCAATGAGTTAGTTGGTGGTGGGATGGGACGGGATGAGGGGGACATACGAGGGCATATGAGTGTCGGGTTGGCAAACTCTAGGCTCTTTTGAAGGTACCATAGCTGACTCAAGCCAAACGTCGCTAGTCCAGGGACGAGTACCCAAGCCTGCCAGCGCCAGAACTGATTCTCCCCCCCAAGAGTGAGTACGACGAGTTCCACACCAGCTTTTGCGAAGAGCAGTCCGATTGCGCTGAGTGTGCCGGAGAGGAGGGCGAAGGAGAGGGCGATGAACAGGCGTTGGGTTTCTGATGCTGCTGTTGGGTGGGGGTGGGATGGGATGGAGAGTGGGGGAAGGTGGAGGAGGGAAGTGCGTTCTGTGACTTGGGGTGATGAGGCGGTGATGTATGCTTCTATCTCTGTGTGACGGGTGGCTTTGTACCTCCATTCGATGACATGTGTGAGAGCGAGGAGTGATCCAGTGGCTGTGAGGAGTACTGAGAAGTAAGCTAGGAAAGGCGGTCGAGCGAAGAGTGCTATGAGTTCATCTAGCGTATGAGTTGGGGAAGGGAGAACGCCAAATATGCCTACGAGGACTGCGCCTGCTGATACGAGGAGTGTACCGAGTGACATGAGAATTGTGAATGGATCTTCTAGGAGTAAACGGGCGAAGAGTGCGTTCCATAATAATGAAATAGCGCCTAGAGGAGCGAGGATAACCACAGGAAGGGAAGCGATCTGGAAAACGCTTCCAAGGAAGTTGGTACTGATGAAGATGGAGAAGCCGAATAGCCAAAGAGGGCGTTTCCAGTCTGGCTTCTGGGCGTGGAGGGGGAGAGCATCGTTTTGTAGGTGAGACTTGCGTTGGATTGTTAATCCGAGGGATTGGATGAGGGAGGAGAGAACGCCGACGAGTATACCGCACCAGATTGGGATTTGGGGTGACATGGGGGAGTAGTGAAGAGTGAGTGGTGAGTGGTGAAGAGTGAGTAGTGAGACAGCAAGAGTACTAGTTACGCACCCATCTTTTGGGGTCCGATCTCCTCAGCAAACACGTTAGTGGCTTGACAATGCATCATCGATTTCACGTGAAAGGCACGTGAACGGATCCTTTTCAGAATTGGGGCGAATTTTGGGCGCTTCCCTCACTCCTACAGTACCTAATAGCACACCGTCCCCCTTATCCTCCCACGAGATGGCCACCCTCCCCCTGCTCGCCTCCGCCCACAGCGCCGTCACATTCGAAGACGTATTCACGATCCACTCCCTCGACCCCGAAGGGAAAAAATACGACCGCGTCTCGCGTCTCTTCGCGCGGAGTCACGCGTTCGACATGGACCTCGTGCTCGATTTTCACTGCGAGATCTTCCCCCTTAGGGAGGGGGAGACGGTCACCGTTGTGTTGGCGAAGAGCTTGCAGAAGGGGCTGTATGAGGAGCCGGAGGAGAAGAAGGAGCTCGTTGAGGGGGGAGCGGCGGGGGGAGCGGCAGGCGCAGGGGCTGGGGCAGGGGGGAAGAAGAAGAGGGAACAGGCGAGTTGGAGGGTTGATGGACCGGTGGGGTTGGAAGAGTACTTTGACTACGTGTGTTATGGGAAGGTGTATCGGTTTGATGAGGGTGTGGGGGAGAAAGTGTGAGTGCGATCGATCGTTTTGCTCTTTTCCTTTTTCTTTTTCCCTTTCCCTTTGTTGCCGTTTGGTCATCCCATCCCCCTCTTTCCCACTCCTCCCCTCTTGCCTCTCTTCCCCACCCCTACTCCCTGTTTCTCCTCAACCTGCTCAATCGTCCCTACTCCCGTCCCCCTTACGCCTCACGTCTTCCCCCCTCCCCCCTCCCCTCTCCCTCCTATCCTACCAGCTAACCCCTCACAGAACAGCCTACATATCCTTTGGCGGGCTGCTAATGACCCTCTCCGGCTCCTACAGGAACATGGGCACAGTCACCGTCGGCGCCTACACCTATCTCTTGGTAAGGAGGACGTTGTTGACTTGACTTGACTTGACCCACTGGGTGGGCTGGGGCTGGGGGGTCAGGGGGAGAGGGGGAGGTGGACGAAGTTGAAGTTGAGGGGGCTGGGGAGGGAGCGGGAGCGTTAGATTCCAGACTGGAGAGGCACTAGACTGCCTGCCTACGATCTCCCATGAGATGTGAGAGTCAGTTGTGCAATGTATAATACCAATAGATCGCTGGTCTCTCTCGTTCGCAGGCGGTTGTAGCATCTAAGACCGCCTGCGGGAGTACGGGCGTGAAAGTTCCGCTCGTTACTGGGGACAGAGGACAAACAACCGGATCATTCCCTTTCCCCAGTTATGGGCCTCACCCTCACGCAAGAAGCTTGGAAATCAGTTTCCTGTACATAACGACTACTGTTCATACCGTCCAGGCCCAACCCCGGCTCCGTTTTGCACAGAATGCGTCTTGTTCTCAGAAAGGACTGCTCGCCCAACGGGCCGACTTCTGACTGTCTGACAACCGACCATCTGGCCTGCTGGGTACGTCCCAACCACTCGGCTCAAACCGCACACTTCAAACTCCCCTCCGTTTAAGGCTCGCACGTCCGGTCTATCAGCTTGCGCCTGGGTCGGGTAACGGCACTTTCCTGTGTGGGTCCTACGGGAGGAGAACGCTCGATGGATACAGTATGCGAGCGGGAGGGTTTCATGTGACGTGTGAGAGGTTGCGCAACTTGGAGGGGAGGACGAGTGAGGAGGATAAGCTATGAGCCGTACTGAGTCGGGCTGTGAATAACAGGAGGCCTACTCGCTGCTCTTTCCTGGGAGGTAGCGGAATCACTCTGCATGAAGAAGAGCTTCACGCCTATGGCTTTGGCTTTTGCGAGGGAGGAAGAGGATCTTGTTGATGTTTTCCCGTGGCTGTCTCCTTCAGAAGCTAGGACATGACGAAGTTGCTGAGCGTGCCGGCCCTGGCGACAGCGAAGCTCTTGTACCAGTTATAGGTGCAAAGTGTTCCTGGTGTGGGTGGTGAGCCGATTACCCTATTCGTAGTGTTGAGACAGAGGAGAGGGGTCTCTGATGTGCAACTGACACACCACCTCGCCCAAGTTCGGGAACTGCATTAGGCAACTGTCAGCTTACGTAGGATGACAAATACATCCCCACGAGGTTCGTACCACAACACCCCATTATGCTCAAAATGAATCGCTCACTCTAGATCTGATATTCCTACGCTGCACCATCCTCGAGCTGACTCGTTGCACAGCTTGATTACGTCCGCCAGGAAGACAGGGGATTTGTCAGCGGCTGACCAAAGCAGGACCCTGAGAAGATGCCGGAAGTTGGCGGTGCTGTTATGTGCCACACAGAGGACTGCCGCCGGAAGCTGGACAGCTCTGAGGCCTGAGGTCAGAGATTAACGATATACGGTACGAATTTTGGGAGCTGGCTGCGCACCGAATCATGCCCCGCATTTGCTAGGAATGGATGCATCCTACTGCGGCACTCCCCATCTACTGACGATCTAAGCACAGGGGGTCGAAGTGCTCAATATCTGATCATTCCAGACGATATATGCTGTTGAAGGTGATGTTGGGATGGGCATACACGCATTGGACTGACTGGTATGCTCACATTATGCCCTCCTGCCCTACTTCCCACTCATACCCGGACGAACCGAACTGCCGCTTTCTCACGATATCACCCCAAACAGTATTCGATGGTCATATCCTTCGGTTGCGCCATCTTCGGGTACCAGATGACCGAGTTGCAAGCTGCGGATATGCTAGTACTGAATGCTCGTAGAGTTCAGAAAAGTGTGTGGATAGTGCAGAGTTCGCAACCCTGGCCGAGTGACGGAGGTGGCAGCACAGCCGTCTCAGGGCTTGCTTCCTGACCGATCTTCTGACCTGTCATCTGCTGACAAATGGACCCTGTTGCCCAAATCGAGACTCTCATGCTATGCTTCTGAACCAAATTGTGGTCTTCCAACACGACTCGTACCTCGCTCCAACCGATTATTCGTCTTGTAGGAAACAGTGTCTGAGGACAGCTTGATGTCAAGGATATTTGTCAGCCTGAATAAGCTGACAATGGTTAACTTCAGTGTTGCAATGCGTTGTTCGACACATGCCGACATTCACATCTGAGGCTCTGGACGCTGCGTATGGTATAAAAGGACCAGTCTCAACTCGATGGGTGCTATCATCAACAGCAAGACAACCTCAGCACACCCACATCAGAGACACCGCCCAGTACCGTCTACGCATCTCGTACTCGTATTACCACTCTATCAAGCTAGAAACACATTTGCACTAGTTGAATCATGTCTGGCTACAAAACCTTTGCTGTCGCTGGTGCCGGCACGCTCGGCAAGTTCATCATCTCCGAGCTTCTGAAGGAGAAGGCAGCAGGGAAGATCGACAAGGTCGTTGTCCTTACTCGCTCGGTGCGTTCCTCCTCCATTCTAAACCGTTCAGCGGCTAATGCAATACAGGCGGATAACAGCTTCGGCGATGCCGAGGCGTTGGTCGTCGATTACTCCTCCCCCGAGTTTCTACAATCGGCGTTGAAAGGCGTAGAAGTCCTCGTCTGCACCCTCGGCACCACAGCCCTCGCCTTCCAAGAGCCCCTTGCAGAAGCGGCCAAAGCAGCAGGCGTGAAGCTCTTCATCCCTAGTGATTTCGCCGGCTACCCCGTCGGGAAGAGCGAGGGATTGTATCCGATCAAGAACTCGTACCGGGATATGCTGGATAGGGTCGGGCTGCCATGGACGACGTTTGCGACGGGTCCGTTCGGTGACTGGATCTTCTATGAGCCGTGAGTTGTTACATTCCGTAAACACAGGAGATCATTGACATAGTTCACAGGATGTTCGGGTATGATCTCAAGAATGGGACGGCTGAAGTTGGTGGCACCGGTGACGGCCTTGTTTCGTTCACGGCTCGCCCGGATATCGCCCGTTTCGTAGCGCACATACTCACCACCGTCCCCGCCTCCGAACTGCCTCGCAAGATCTTCCAAATGGAGGGCGAGCGGATCTCTGTGAACGGCGTGATCACCGGGTACGAGAAGGCGACTGGGAAGAAGATCGACGTGACACGTGTTCCGATGGACGTAGTCCACGCGAACCTCGCGAAGGGGGACTTCAAGGCATTCCTCCAGTTTGTGTTCGAGACGGCTGGGACGACTGGCCCGGCTGAGGATATGAACGTGGATTGGCCAGATTTCCACCCGATGAGCGTTGTGGAGTCGCTTCTCGCGAACAAGGATTGATCGAAACCTTCCTGTTCGCCGCGGTCTTGTACTACACTCCTGGCCATACAAGCTCGTAAGCGCGGGCCAGACTTGCCAGGCATAGAGAAATGTACGATTGTAATTATACAAAGGCATCAGATTATCGTTCACAGACATGTGGAGCTTGCCTGCTTTGGGGTTAGTATGAGTCAAACGATGATCATCATCGTCTAGCGCCCTTCCATTGTTCAGAATCCGCCCATCCCGACAACAGCGGGTAAGAAGCGATTCCTCGGCGATATTATCTTCAAGGGGTCATCTACCCGCTGCTTTTCGAGCTGACGGTACCGCTCGTTTGAGCTTCGCAATCAGACAATTAGAACTAATACGTCGAGCTGCTCCCAACACGCAGTCCGGCCTCTAGGTTATTCTCACAGCGGAACACGTGCTCTGAAGAGCTTATACGCATCGCAACCCCAGGTCGCGAAGGAACGCGTTCCGTCTTGTCCGTCATGTACGTCGCGTCCGCGCGCCTCGCGCGTCTTCCATTGCTCCCTTGCTACCATCTTGGTCTGAACAATATCAATGATTACTCACGACTGCATGGCTCGGAGGAGTGTTTTGGGCTGTTGATGAACTGCTGTCGTAATCTACGTCAATCAGAAATGCGAACCGGACTGAATCGCTGCTTTTGTATTGCACTGGTACGCTTCTTGGGCGGGTGATGGACGATCCATCCCGTGTGCTAGAGTCGCTAGAGCTGGAAGTCTAGATCCTCTCCGTTCTTCAGTTTCGTCTTCTGTGCCTTTTTGGGATCACTCACGACTGTTTTGGGAGTGGGTAAATGCAGCACTGCCGAGACGAGCGGGTGAGCGAGGTTCTGTTCTCCTCCGGTACCCGCCGTGCAATGTGAGCGTCGTATGCTGCAGTGCTGGAGCACGAGGAACGTGCGACGGTCCTGATGCGCCTGAAGCGGACTATTGTTCTTGTAGGAGTTTGAGGGTGCGTTTTCTTAGACCATGACACGAGTTCCGGCCGTTCGAGCAGTATATAACCTCGCGTTTTGAGGCCACTATGCCCACGTACTGGTAGCGTTGTTGCTCTGGTACTACGGAATTTGTCAAGCATTCATCGAACCATGTTGGTTACTCTCGCTCTTCTCGCTCTTGTTCCCGCCATCTACGCCGGCAAGCGTGGTCTCGACTGGACGTGGTGTACGTGCCCCATAACCTTGCTTCGAGCGTAGCTAACCTCTTCACACAGACGATGGCAGTCTGTACGTTCTCCCATCATCTCCTCTCCCACGCTCTCCTAACATCGCCCAGGAACCCAGGTTTGTTCAACAACGGTGACGGGAACGTCGTCGCCATCTACGACTACGAGACTTATGCACCGCCCTCGACGAACGGGAACGGCGGGCTGGGGTTCGTCGGCATGCAGCGCTGCTACCCGACGTGTGATTCCAGTCCCGTGGATCAGCTCGCAGCCAGGCAGGCAGCGCAGGGCTGGGCGAGTATGCCCTTCTCTAACTTGGAGTTGGATGCTGGCACTGACGGGAATGCTCTAGCTGTTTTCACGATAAACGAAGCGGATGTCAACGGCGTCACTCCGCAGGAGGCCGCGTCGTGGTACATCCAATGGGTGAACCCGCTCGCCATCAAGAGTAAGTGTACCTCTGCCCTATCTACAGAGGCTCATGATGCTTGTGCTAGAGGCACTCCCGTCGGTGACCAACAGCGTCCAGGCTGGGCAAGGCCTGTCGTGGGTCTCTGAGATGATCTCTGCTTGCGCTGGCCAGTGCTACTTTGACTACATCAATCTGGTACACATTTTGCCCCTCTAGTAAAGCTGACGACGCTCACGGGGTCGACAGCACTGGTACGGCGGCAGCTTCTCCCAGTTCCAGTCGTACGTCGAACAAGCGCACAACCAGTTCCCCGTAAGTCCTTCCCTCCCGCTCCACCCTAACGCACCAACAATACCCAGAACTACCAACTCGTGATCACCGAGTTCGCGCTCCAGAACCCACCCGGCGGCCAATCCGACCAGATCAACTTCTACCGCCAGGCCTTTCCCTTCCTCGATGGCGCCTCCTATGTGCAGCTGTACTTCCCCTTCGTCGCGACTTCCCCGAGCTTGCTGCAAGCGAACGACCCGGGCGCGGTCAGCTTCGTAGGTACCGGCAGCTGCTTGTTCAATAATGACGGGAGCATAAGCGCTGTGGGTCAGTTGCTTTTGTAGTAGTGTCTGGAAAGGCCGGCGAGCAGACCGCACGGGTGATATGAAAAAGAATGAAACAAAGTGTTCTGAACTACATCCCATTCCCGTCCGATGATCACTCCGTTCTTGCATATGCGCATACATTGTCTACAACTTAACGTCTGATATAACCCTACCATATGTGTCGTAGTCCGGCGCCGTATTCTTCCCAGATCAGCCAGAGAGGAGGAGGACAGTGCCATGTTGTACGCTGAACAACCATGAGGGGCCATATCAAGAGGTTGCGAAGATTATCTGGGAGCTGGAGGCGGACGTTGTGGTTGACGAAACACCATGATCAACTTCAACGTCAGGGACGCGTCCTTCACCTCGTCGACGTCCATCTTGTCCATACCGTCCATGTCTCCGCTCCTTCAATAGCCACTCCAGTAGTCTCTCGCTGTCAGATGTCCTATACCTTAAATACACAAGACGAAGAGCCGTTCCACAAGATCCTCTACGGCCCTCAAACACGGCCCACCAACTGGGTTCCTCCAAACTTCCTCTCCAGTCTGAGGAAGAACGGTGCGCACAAGCTCTTTTCAGACCTCCCATAAGCTAGTAACAATCACAGTGAATGTCCACCCGCACACTTACCGCTCCCTCTTACTCGCCGTCGTCCCCATAACTGGGTACATCTCCGTGCTGGCACTCTTCCTCCGGCTCTTTGCTTTGCTTCTTGAGGGCACGTTGCCTGCACCTGCGCTCGTACTCCTTTGTGGGGTGGTGTTCGTATTAGGATGGGGAGGTTACGAAGCCGCAGGTCGAACGAGACAAGGTACGTGTGCTTCTCTTCCTCCCCTAGCTCTTAGCTAATACGCAATTTGGGCAGGAGCAAAAGTTCTCAAGTCCTCGATCTTGGTGACGACCTTCCTGCTCTCCCTCTCTCCCATCTTGCGTACCCTTACCCGGTCTACATCCTCCGATTCCATATATGCTCTCGCGACGTTCCTCTTCCTCCTTTCCTTGCTGTTATTCCCCTCGCCATATAAGTACGTCACCCCAGCGTTTCCTGCCCTACCCATCGCCCGGGGGGGGGGGGCATATATGCTGACGCTAGCGCAGGACAGCCCTGCATATAGCGACCACAACCTCGATATCCGCGTCCCTTGTGCTCGCCTCCCGTCTCCCGGGGTCGGAAGACGTGTTCGCCCTGCTCCTCCTGGCCGTATTGGCTTTCTCCCTCTTTCCCATCCTGGCGGAACGACTCCGAGTACGCTCTCCTCTCCTCTCCCCCTCAAACACCACACTCACCGTTCTGCGCAGAACACCTCCCAAACAGGACACATATCCTTCATCATGCTACTCGCCCTCTCCCCTTTGCTGTCATTCTCCCGGCTTCCCTCAGGCTGGGGAATAAGTCTCGCGTACCTCCTTCTCCTAGGGACAGTCACCTTCCTCGGCCCAGCCGCCCTGCTCTACTCCCAGAGATTCAAGAAGTGCGTTTTTATGCTTATTGAGGGTGACAGCGGTACTGATTGGGAGGGGATAGCGAGATCCGAGGACCGTGGGATCCTGCTGTACCACTGATCCGACCTTCTAGGACGTAGTTTTGGGTGGCTGAGGCGTCATATCCAAAGGGTTCTATAAATTCCGCCTATTCTGCTCTTCCATACCCCTCTCCCTGGAGTGAACATTTTTATGCAGCAGAATCTCGGCCAGTTGCTGTCATCCGATATCTCAGCTACAACAGGCCCAGCCGGCCCAGCGCCGGCCCAGCCTGGTCTGTATGTCTCCCATGCTCGGCTTGTCCGACAGGTCGAGCGCCTGTTCGCAACAGCTCCTGCAGCTCATCAACGACGCTCTCTGCTAACCTGGATGGGATTCCCTCTAAATCAAGAGCATACTTTCCTGACACCTTTTGCGGCATATTAACGATATCCGTACCCAAGATGATATCCCCGTCGATGGCTTCAACATGATCGTATGCACCTGACTCCCTAACGAACCGTGAAGTGCAGCCATACCGCCTCCAGCGGAGCGGAAGGTCAGCCAGCTCGACCTCCTCTTGGATCAAGGACACACGCACACCAGTTCATATTTCGTAACGATCTCCGCCCTAAACGACATCGCCGTTGATCGCTTCGATACACGTTTACCCAGCAACCCTCACAGTCACCAATCTCCACAATACCGAGAATATCAGCTTATTCCAGGTACGGAGGGGGAAGATTAAGCGCAGCTTCATTTCACTTCCTCGCTCGTACTATGAGAATATGCCCGCACTCCGCTGATTCGACTCGTCTTCCGTCGTGCTGCTGCATCACAGCATCCGGCTCACTGAAGGAGATTGTCCTATCAGTGAAGGGATTGCTCAGAGATATCTCCTGTGGCGGCCAAAGCGACACCTGAAGCGTGGTCGATGATGGCCCTATAAGGGATTGACCGGGGCGCGGGCATGAGGCCGAGGGCGCTACCGCGGGAATGAGCTTAGCCGGGAGAACGGCGTCGGAACTCGGTCGCAGGTGGTCGGGATAGGAAACGTTGATGTGAACGGATGTTTTTTTACGCCCGGGAATTGAGTTGCCAGCGCAGTAATGATGGGACACAGAATCACTGAGGCATGAAGTGATACAAGGTGTACTGCTTCTGTGGCAAGCGTACAAGGCTTTCGAACCCTCCGCGATATCTAGAATCACCCTGCTGAAGCTGAATGCGTTTCTTTGCAAATCCGGCAGGCGCCGGATTCTAGGGTCTTTTCGGAGCTGGATGCAAGACCCAGTTAATAATTAGCAAGTCGCAGATGTAATTAAACAACTTCTCACTACGCTTGGCTGCTATATGGTTCTCGTTGATCCTAGATTCAATGTCTGTTTGGGGTTTAAAGGTGAAACTACATATGAAAGACTGTATGTGAGCAACAGATTCTCAGCTTCCGAACCCACTTCAGGTTCTCAGGGTCTGATTCCTAAGACTTCTCCCTTACTAACGCTCTGACATTCAAAACTCTATGGATCACTACGATTCTGCCTGACCCGAGCGTATATTGCGCCAAGTTCCGAAAGACCGATTTTCATGTTCGAAGCTTCAGGACTACGCACCACGTTTTGGCCCAATGTGTTGTTAGGGTCAAGGTGAGAAAACTACATTCGAAGCACTGTGTTGTGACCGTTCAACCAATCACAGGTCGGCGGCAATATTCGCGCTTCTCCCCGTCAAAACTCATGACCGGAACAACGCACCGGGGGCCTGTCGGGGGATGGAAGGTACACCGATTGAAGGTCAACCTTCCATATGTATCTTTTTCCGTCACTGCACCTCAGACGCATAAAACGGTTGTGTTGTTACAACTGCTTACCATGTCTCCAACACATTTTCTCCCCCTTCTTCTGGATCATTCACTACCATCGAACCACTTATGCCTCACATGGATTCCCCACAACCTTCCCATTTACATGACCCGGCATCTACCCGGCAGACGGTTGCGACCAAGATTGAGCAAGTTATGCTTGTGGTCGCAGGTGTGTCTGGCATCCCGCCTGGGCACACCAACGGACTACTCACACTTGGTGAAAAGTGCAAGACCATTGAGCATGCACTGGTGCAACGCAGCGCACGCCTCCAGTCCCGAGAGGTGAAGGAAGCTGTAGACAAGACGCGCATGTGAGTCAATCATGCACTGATGTTTGATTTTTCCAACTGAATGTACTCTAGAGCTTTGCAAAGTATTCTGGATCAATCTCAAACGTGGTTAGATAACAGCCAGCTCCGACGATCCTTGAACGCTCACACCATCCAATGTCAACTTGAGGAATGGAATGGGAAGTTGAATGACTGCATGCAGGAGTTTGGGGTTTGCACCACCTCATTTGTTAGACCCCAACACAGAACTGATGAGCATATACAGCGAACGATTGCATTCGAGATCCTCAACGTCCTGTTCGGTCTCGGAGCTGAAGCCTCGCGCTTCTATGACCGAATGCTGAACCAGGGCGAGGCATTCACAGCGCTTCTCCAGGCAATTGAACGCAACACCGAATTGATGAAAAAGAAAGATTCTTTGCTCATGGATCGCACAGAAGAGATGGTAAATAAGCTCCTTCTTCGACTTGCTAAAACTTTCGGTAATCAGACCGTGTTCAGCCTATTCAATGCAAGCAGCCCACCTCACAGGAACGCAACATGCTTCATGCGTCACTTCAATCTCAACCACAGTTGCCCAAAGTCCTTCCTATTGTGGGACTCCAGGGTGAACTTGAAGTAGACGAGCATCCGACCCAAACGAACACCAGTTCTGACCTATATCGGGGGCGGCTTGAAGGCCGGCCAGTTGCGGTCAAGCGCCTTCGCGATGCGAACTCGAACCCAGCGCGAGTAGCTGTACGTGAGGCTATATTCTTCCAGAATTCCCTGACAAATCCACGTGGCTATTCCACAGAATTTCATGAACGAGGCCTATATTTGGAGGGCGTTGAACCACACCAACGTGCTCCCCTTTCTCGGTATCCATTTGAGTCCCACGGAAGAAACCGGCATTGTCACCGTTTGGATACCTCATGGGGATGCGATGCACTATATCAACAAGAAACCGGACTGCTATCGGCGAGCGATTGTATGTCCTCGTGTTTATGCATTTCGTTCAGTTCTGACACTATACGGTCAGATCCGAGGCACAGGGGAGGGGATCGCGTATCTCCATTGTTAGGGTATCATTCATGGCGACATCCGTGGCAGCAATATTCTCATCGACGAGGTTGTCGATGTGACAGGTGTTTGGCCCCAAGCCCGACTGACCGATTTTGGTCTTGCAACAAGCGCTGATGGGAGCCCAGAAGTAGTCCACGACGCCACGCACGCATCTGAAATGCTCCACATTTGCCGCTGGCTTGCTCCCGAGCGGTGCAATTCCGGCCCCGAAGGTCTGGCCGCACCTGCAAGTGACGTGTTCAGCTTCAGCAGGACGATACTCGAGATCACCACGGGCTCGAAACCTTTCGCCAAGGAGGCGTCGGACTTCTATCTCATGAAGCGGCTGTGCACTAACGACTTGTGGCCCGATCGCCCCATTGGCGACATCGCGAAGACGATCATCACCGATGAGGTGTGGGAGTTGATGATGCAGATGTGGGCATCCGAGCCTTCCGTGCGGTCTATGATGAATGAAGTACAGACGAACTTAGAGCGGCTGTTGTAGCAAATATTACATCACTGTACAAGTACCACTTATTTATAAATTTGTCCCCATCAAATGCAAATGCCAGCGAACATTTCTTTTCCCTCTCTAGGTAAAACCCCGCCGTCTGCATTGTTTTTTCTAAGGCCTTTTAGTATAAATGGTCCGCCACGTGGGCCAGATGTCAACGCGAGACGCTGCAGGAGGGGTTGTGGGTTGAGGACCAAATCGGGTGGATATTATTGTCCCTACTGCGTAGCACTTGTCCACTCTTTCTCACCATTATCAAGTACTATCGAACTACGTCTTCGTCATTTGGAGGCCTCAATGTCCCGGACGCGTAAAGCTGGACCTGCAGAAACGGTTGCGACCAGGATCGAGCAAGTCATGATCATGGCCACAGGATTGTCGGGCATCGGCTGAGCAATAATCACGTGGTAATGCTGCATCCATATGTGAGGCGCGAAAATGAGCACTTTAGGCAGCCTTTCTTGAAGCATGCCTTGGAGTCGATTCGAGTATTGTGTCACACCTTGGAACATCAACATTGTACAGTTCCAACATTGATGGGCTGCTGCGGGTAATGAGATCCGAGGGCCTCGAATTTTGTTAGTGTTAGATCGGCGAGAAAGACAAGTACAATAACTTCAAGTTCCCAAATAACGATAGGGTGACGCTACAGCAGCTCCTCCAGCCTGGTCTGCACATCCGCCATGCTCCGCCTCCTCTGCGGGTCAACCTCGCACATGTTCTCCAACAGTTCCCATACTTCATTAGTGACGAGGTTCCCCGATAGTCCTTCCTCAGGTCGCTCGGGGCGGAGTTGTCCGCTTCCCACACAGAATATCAAGTAAAACACATTTTTCTCGCTCGCGAACGGCTTCTCGCCAGTGGTAACTTCCAGGACCGTCCGTCCGAAACTGAAGACGTCGCTCGCTGGTACGGGCAGGGCCAGGGTGCCAGGTCTGCCACGCTCAGGCGCGATCCAGCGCCCGATGGTGACCATCTGGCCTATGGAAGTGCCCTGATACAGGGCTTCTTGGTCCGAGTCGGGAGGAGCGGCGAGGCCGAAGTCTGAGAGGCGGGTATGGGGCTGCACACCTGTTGACGTGAGGACTTCTTCAATCAGGATCTTGCTCTACCATGTCCGTTAGCTAGCGGTATGGCTGCATTAATGGGAGATGTGTACTCCGCGAATATCCCCGTGGACGATCTTCCTTCTATGCAAGTAGGCCAGTCCATCTGCTGCACCCCTGATCTGCTCTCATTAGCGGATAGGGTGCTACGAAACAAAAGAAGACGCACGATACCCTTCCTATCACAAACCGGCTTGCGGGCAATATACTGCATCACGTTGCCCTGCGGCATCCACACGGTCACTAGGCCAACTTCCTGCTTGGCACCTGTGTGAATGCCAAAGAACGGTAATACGTTGGGGTGATCCAGCATGCGCCAAACGTATCCTTCATACATGAATTTCTATTCCCGTATCAGCCTTCCCTCCCCACACCATGTGCACGAATGGACTCACGGCCAATCGCAACTGATTCGCGTTCGGGTACCTCAGCCGTTTGACAGCGACCATCCGGCCCTGCCATGTCCCCCTGTACATGTCGAACCAGTGCATCTCACTGAGGGAGGACTCATCGATCTCCAGCTCTCCTTGTATCTCCACGATAGGGAGGATATCCCTCTTCTTCGACTTGGAGAGGATGGAGCACAGGGAGTCGTATAGCATCCCCCGTTCTTGGGGGGAGATTTGTTGGGAACGCATTTGCTATTTCCACCGTCAGTAATCGTGAGAGAGGGAGGGACGACAGGACTGACGACCCGCTGGCCTTGGTCCATGAACTCCCGGATTTGAGACTGGGTGAGCTCTGTAGTGCGTTCGACAGACTTGAGCAGGGCTGTGAACGTCTCTCCTTGCTGGAGCAGCTGTACGTAGAACCGCGAAGTCTGGTCGCTCACGTTGGACGTGAGGCTCAGGACTTCGAACACAATACTTCGCTATATGTCATTAGCATGTCAATATTGATAAGTCGGAGGAAAGGACGCACGGCAAAATCTTGCATTCGCTCGTTGAGCTTATCGTTCCATTCCTGAACAGCTCGATGAATCACATCCGTATTGATCAATCGCTTCAGCTTTCCTTTATTCAGCCAACTCTGACATCCATCCCATATCTCCTTCAAGAACCTGATACCGTATCAGTGCCTTGCTATGGACGACCGACTAATGCTACGCACTGTTTCGTCTCCTCGATGGCTCGCTGGACAGCGGCCGGTCTCAAACCCGCACTCCGATGGTCCAACTCTTCCTCTATCGCTTTACAGCGCGCAGAAAGCTGAAGGAGACTGTCCTGACGGTCGTGGATAGCGTCAGAGACGCCGGCTATGGTCAAGACGAAGGTCTCAAGCTTGCTTGACACGGCCTCTTCAAGGCTGGCCAAACGACTGGCCGCAGCAGGAGGGGCGGAAGTCATCGCAAAATCTGCTTGAAGTATTCCGGGGAGTATATAATACAGATTGTGGTATGAAGAGAGATAGATGTGGTGGCATGATTATAAGGCGTTGTCGTTCTATTACGAACACAAGGGCGCCTAACCCAGGGCCGCGCTAGTGAACTGAGCCCCGGAAATGTCGTGATGCGCTGGACCAATCTCCTCTCATGCCCGGGATTTAAGTAAGAATGCAAACCCCGCTAGAGATCAGCTTCATAACGAACTCATAGCCTGTGACCAAAGAATACAACACGTGCTATAATCACTACAGCAATCGCTCTAACTTCGACTGCACTCGAACCATCGTCGGACGCGCCGTCGGTTCCGCCGCCCACATCTGCATCATCAACTCCCACACCTCATCTGTGATGATCGACTCAGCGATCTTATCACCAACTGGACGAACGGGCCACAGGGTGCCAGTACAAAGCCTTTTGATGAGATGAAAAACCGCCTTCTGCTCCGGGAAAGGTTTCGTTCCAGTAGCGATCTCGAGCATCGTCCTGCTGAAGCTGAACACGTCACTTGCAAACACAGGAAGACCTTCGGGACCCGAGTTGCACCGTTCGGGGGCAAGCCAGCGACATACGGTGAGCATCAGTGAGGCGGACGTGCCGTCGTAAACTGCTTCTTGATCGCTCTCGGAACTTGCGGCGAGACCGAAGTCTGCCAGTCGAGCTTGAGGCCAAGTGCCTGTGATGTCGTGGACCTCGTCAATAAGAATCTTACTGCCCCGAATATCGCCGTGAATGATTTCTTGACGATGGAGATACGCGATTCCCTCCCCTGTGCCTCGTATCTGGTTGTTTCGTCAGATTCACTCAAGACGCCGAGATATTCACGTACAATTGCTCGCCGATCGCAGTCCGGTTTATTGTGTATATATTGCATCGCATCGCCGTGTGGCATCCAGACAGTGACCAAGCCAACTTCACCTCTGGGATTCACGTGAAGACCGAGGAAGGGGAGCACGTTGTTGTGTTTCAGCATCCTCCAGATATAACCCTCGTACATGAATTTCTGTAAAACAGGAATGAGGTTCAAAGAACACATGTGCAGTAGGTGGAGCGTACAGCGACACGCATTGGGCTTGAGTTCGGGTCGCGAAGGCGCTTGACCGCAACTGGTCTGCCGTCAAGCCGCCCCCGATAGATGTCAGAGCTGTGGTTCAATAAAACTGTGTGGTCATCCATCTCAAGTATACCTTGAACTTCCACAAGGGGAAAGACCTGACGAGACTTTGACTTGGAGACAATAGATCGAAGCGAATCGTAAAGCATGTCGCGTTCCTGTGAGGTGAGTTGCTTGGATTGAATTTGCTGAATTTGGCCCGATTAGCGGGCCTACAAAGAACGACGTAATAATCCAGCTCACCACTTCTTGGGCGCGATTCATTAACAGCTGAACTTGCTGTTGTGTCAGGTCGGTGTTACGTTTAATCGCTTGGAGCAGTGCTGTGAACGTCTCGCCCTGCTTCAGCATACGGACGTAGAAACGCGATGCTTCAGCTCCATAACCTGACGTAACGTTAAGGACTTCGAACACAATCCTTCGCTGGATGTTCTCGTTAGTGCAGTTTTGTAGTTGAACGAGGAAGGAATACGCACGGCAAAGTCCTGCATGCAGTCATTCAACTTCTCATTCCACGTGTCAAGTTGGCGTTGGATGATGTCCGTGTTCAATGCTCGTTGTACAACACCCTTATCGAGCCATATTTCACATTGATCCAGAATGACTTGCAGAGCTCTCTAGGATGTTCAGTCCGGAATAGCACTCATGAAGAAAGAAGCGCCGTACATCTGCGTCGCATCCACTGCGGCCCGCACTTCCGGGGAGTGCAGACCGGCGCTCCGCTGTACCAGCTCATGCTCAATCGTCTTACATCTTTCTCCAAGTTGGACGAGCCCCTTCGTGCGCTCAAGCGCTATCTTCGACACGCCCGTGAAGAGGACAATGCATTTCTCGATCCTGACAGCAACGGTCGGCTGAGGATATATGGGCTTAGGCGCTTGAGAAGGGAGCGAAGCTTCCATGTGATGGATGAATAGTTTGTTGCGATATGTTGACAGCGACAAACAGTCCCCGTAAAGTAATCAAAGGCAAAAATGAGGGTGGATACATCGTGAGATGCAGCGATATATGAGGGTGAAGGCAGTGAGCATCAGACCGCGAACTTGGACGCTTGCTTGAACACCGCCTCTCCACTGAACACCAAATCCCGAAACACTGGCAACTTACGCATCCAACATTTTCTATAAATATCATCTCATGGTATCCACAAAAGTCATGGATAGACGGCTGAGCATATACGTTTCAATGACAGGTAAGGAGTGGGGTGTGCATCATGGTGATCTTGGGAGAGAACATCAAGCAGCCAACAAGATATTGAAGCAAAAGAGGGAAGAGTGCATCTGAAGTGAAGACAGCTGAAGGCAGCAACTTAACACCGCACCTCACGTAAATGAATGGAATATGAAGGAATATCACCAGAGAGAAACCCAATATGCAAAGTGATTGAGATAAACATCAACGCGTGATCGTGCATCCTTCCAGCCATTTAACCAAGACGTCGAAGAACCAAGCATGGGTGAGTACTGCTCCATATGTCGGGAAAACAGAAAAAAGAGACATGGTGAAAGAAGGGGGCTTTGCCACTGCCCACGGTACGGTTATGGGGCATCCAGATGGTCTCGTCGAAGACATCCATCAGACTGCAAAACCGCAGAAATCGTGTCGTCGTAAGTCGTAAGTCCGATTGAGATCAGCTCATGATGGAAAGTCATCAGAAGAAAAACATGTAGTCGATGGTCAGGGGCGCACAAGACCTTGTGTCTCCCAGATTGAAGCCGGATTGATACTCCGAGGCTCTGGATGCTTCGATTAAAAAACGGGCATATCAACACGAGGTTTGTATCGGAAAGTTTGTTCACTTGAGTTGAACGGCATGTCATCCATATTGCCGAAAAGATGGAACAGGTGAGGAAGGAGAGGGGTTTCCGGTTCATATGCGGAGATGGATGTACCATCCGGTGACAGGGTAGGAATATTGTTGGAAGCCAGAATCATAGGGGGAGGGATGGGAACGCCAGTTGACAAACTCTGGTTGTGAAATGGACTCCGAACGTTGAGTGAATAGGTTGGGGCTTCTTCACGTTCCGGGTACGACGTGGGATAACACGATTCAAACTCGTCGCCGGCCGTAGGATCGCTGTCTTCTTCAGGATCGTGAGGAGGCGCAAAGACGGTGTTCTTCGGGAATGCGTCGGTGGCAATCTTGAACGCGTTGCCTCCATCCTTGCATACTTGTCTGAGACTTCTAATTTTGTCGTGTAGCTCGGCATTAGCGGACATCTTTTGAATAGACTAAGGATCTCAGTCTTGTAAGACTTGACAGGTGATCACATCTAGGAAATACTTACCGATAGAATCTCAGAATTATACGGGGATAACATTTGGATAGAGAGGTCCGATAGACGTTGCACCAGCTCTGCTGTGGGAGGGGAATGCCAGCTCTGGGCCGCACAGCGCAACATCTCATCACTGACTGGTTGTCCAGCGATAATCTTGACGGATACTTCCAGTTCTCCAATCCTCCCAAGTCCCGCCTGTATCTCCGGGTATTCCCTGAATGTGCATAGCATTAGCGTGTGAACCACAAATACTCAACATCCTCGAACGCACTCTAGGGGTCGTTTATTGAGATCTCGCGTGTCGCAGGTGCACTCCATAACCTTTAGAAGCTCCATTCAGCAAGTCGAACAAAAAAGGGCAATTGCCCGTCACGGACTGTATTATGCTCCTGACAAGTGCGGCAGGGTTGCCTGCCATCGCACTGAAATGATTCAACCATCAGTTTTCGGGTAATAACTCCACGAAGGCGAGGAAGAAATGCACCGGTCGCTTGGATTTCCTACAATTAGCGCAGGTGACAACCTGCCTCCTGTAACAGTGAAATCCAGTAAACCACAGAACGTCCGAAGAAAGCGAAATCTTACCCTCTTTTGCTAGGTGGGCAACTCTGACTATCTTGCAATGGTGTCTTCCTGCGCCTTGGCGAGTGTTTCTTTGTAGACATGACACAACCAATTCCAACAAGTTGCAACTAATTACTTTGAAGACAGACGAAAATGACCGTGATTCGCAGACACAGTGAACGGAAGGGGTATGACGTGACAGACGAGCTATGTACAAGGAGCCAGACTAGTGAGACGGCAGACAGCAATGGAGAAATCGACACCAATCGGGGGGCAACCAACGAGACGACTGAAGAATATCCATGAAAGCTAGTCTTTATGGACAACGGGATCGAGATCGCCTCATGCTTCACCAGCAGGACCAGAGGTACGCCTCGAGGCAGGAATCATGCTCATTTCCCGGAGTTTACACCAGAGCTGCGGGGTTCTTTGGCATCCTGGCTCCTGTCACCCGTATAGAACGCCGCCACAAAGAACGTCGTGCGTTACCTCTTCGAAGCGTGGAGAGAATCGAAGCACGGGGTACGGAACCCTCGCGAAGACACGTTCAAGTTGAGGTCAAATGCAGCGAGAGATTAGCGCCCATCTGAGGATGAGGAACTCGGGTACTGCCGGCATCGAGGCGACTGAGTATCGGCTAGAATGACTGTACCGCCGGATTAACAATGGATAGGACATGCGCTGGCAAAGGTTGTGCATATCATCCAATACATATTTGGCGGCACAGGAAAGGCATATTGCTTCCGCCGTCTTTCAAAGCGGACATTAGCTGATTTTATATCCGCCAGATGCTTTGTCCTTTCGGAGGAAATTGACGTGTCCTTGTTCATGGGGTACGTGCGCCACAAAAGAACAGCTACATCGTCCGTATGCGCCGTTTCACCTGCGACTTGGATGCAAGGCGCATGCCCCTGAAGAGAAGGCATTTGCCCCCCAAGGAACATGATTTCGCCTACGGTTCTGAATGATGGGTACTCTAGTCTCCTGCCGTTCTTTGACCCTCATCAAACCAATTCGCCAAGAATGAGAGCCCGAAGCAGCAGAAACCACGACCAGCACGTGTATCGGCCGCCCGATGAGCGATCAACGTGATTTCGCTGACTCTTCTCCCGAAGGATTGCGGCAAGGAGACAGGTTCATTTCCGCAAGAGCTGTCTTCTGCTGAGGATCCAAACGATGGATATCACTTTTCCTGGATGAGGCCGCCCCAAGCCTCACGGCTACGAGGACTTCTACACTTTATCTCCGCAGTTCCACACCCGCAGCGGGATTAGAATTTTCAACCGGTGTTATTCGAAGATGGCCTATCTCCCGATCCAGCAGCTAGGCTTAATCTTCTCCCCCGGAATCATCTCTGGTACCATGCGTTTACAATGCCCTCGCCCTGGGTTGCACATGCCTCTGACTTCCTCTTCCCCGGCGTCCTCCTCGGCATGTCTCGGTATCTCGCATTCAGAAGCTGAAAATATTCAGGGGGTTGGTGCCGCCCACATGGAAGACACGTGGAGATCGTCTCATGGATCAAAAGAGGCGGCACTGGAGGTATTATCTGATAACCTGAAAGAAACAAACAAAGAATCAGTTATTCCAAGGTGGGTCACACCAGCAGGCTATCTTGAGTAGACTATCCATGGTCCGAGCCGACTGACCGAATCCCAAGAGACGCCATTTCTAGTGGGTCGGTGCCAACATCGATTGTCCGCGACTCTGCTTTCTGTTCAGTGCCACACTATTTTGGTCTGTTATCGATCGCGATCTGCAGGCGGAAGCTGATGCCGCTCTGATCCAGATTACGGGGTAATCCGAAGTTGACGGGTCGAGGTCAAAAAAGTGTGATGCGGCAACATGCAGAACAGCCAAGGCATGTCCGGCCAGGATCAAAGACCCGTTGAAGACGAGTGTATGAGTGCCGCATGGGGAATCCCCCAAGGGGGCGAGTGAATTCAAATCGAGGCAGGCTCAATTATATGACAATAGACCAATGATGGCCAAAAGATCCTTAAAATACAAAAGAAATCAAGTAGGCACGGGGGGATTGGTAAGGATCTAAGATCCGTCCGATGTTGACAAAGTGGGGGCGGGTGTCAGGGAACATGCCTCGTGCACGCGCCAGCTTGCGAGGGAATATCCGAGGTGGGTCCGAGTACATCGAGTGTCGAAGAACCAGTTGTGGCTACGACGCGACGAGCGCCGAACGTCGCTAAGGCCGTGCATTGGCGCAATATACAGGGCTTTCTCAAAGTGCCCATGATTCATCTACTTCGCCAGGCTCTACGAATGCCTTGTCCAGCCCGGCGACCACACCCTCGCAAAGTGGACATTCGGCCGCAATCAGATCGTCGAGCTCCTCCCGGAGCCTCTCTATCTTCTTCTCCTCCTCGCCCTGCCCAGCCTCGTCCTCTGTGGAAACACGTCTTCGTCGGCCCGTACCACTCCCACCCCACGCACCAATTGCCGACGCAAGGCTCTCGGGCACGATAAGATCGCGCAATCCTTCGCCGGCGGTAGTGAGAAACTTCTTTCCGGCTGATCCTAATGCGAGCGGATTGGCAAGCTTGGAAACCTGGCCGAGGTTGAGGTTCTGTGGGTTAAACGCCGCAGAGAGAAGGGCACGTTGGGCTGGTCCGTTGGCGCCTGGCAGGCCAGGGATCGGAGTCGTGCTTCCTGGTTGCGTCAGCTGCAAAAGCTGATTTTGCAAACCCAGGATGCGACGGAGCGCATGCGGAGGCAGGTACTCCGTCCCTTGTGCAATCAGGCAGTCAGTGTGGAACGAGTGGCCACACGGGAACACGTAAAACTGGCGTGCGAGGAGGCCGAACCCGCATCGTGCACACCGCTCGTTCCTCTCGACCGTAACGAAGCGGTCTTTGAGTTGCGTGATCTCGGCGCGGATGCTCTCGGCGCTGCGTGTCGCATCCTCCATCTCACTTTTAAGGCGCTCAATGTGAGCGCTAGAGCTCTCGAGAGCAGAGATAATCGTGTCCTTGAAGTCGTCGATCAGTACGAAATCCGGGAAGAAGGGTAGGATGTCCTCAAGTGACAACAGGTTCGTTGATTCGACAAACTGCATCGCCGTCCGTATATCTTTCTTGTCCTGAACAACATATTTCGCGATCTTGAGCCACAACTTCTTCCGTAACCGCTCGTCTTCTTCCGGCTTGTCAGCGTTGATCCGCGCTAGCTCCACGTCCCCGCGTTCCAGAGCCAGCTCAACAGCGTTCTCATATAAGCCCATTTGCGAGTAGATAAGGACACATGCACCAGTAAGGCCGCGCGACTTGCACAGGCGAAGGGCGTAGTCAAGATCGTAATATGGCGTCCCGGTGACAGGCTCGGCAGGGGCGGCAGTGAGGAAACGCAGCAATTCTGCAGGGGTTGGGTCATCGGCCGTACCCAATACAGCACCTGTAGCACCGTTGACCCCATTTGTGGTTGTTCCATTTGTCTTGGCCCCACCAGTCGGAGACGATAAAGTGGCCAAGAACGTAATGAAGAGATTATGAATCTTGGGATCCGCATTGCCTCGCTCGAACACCAAATGGTGCAGATAACGGATCGCATGGTTCACTTGGCTCGAAGCGGCCGTAGGAGCCTGCAGCAGCGCAGCGACGAGTTTGAGGGGGTCAAGCTGGGGAGCTCGCAGCCATAGATCGACCGTCTCTTTTGGTGCACGGCGGATGAGAACAGAGGCGTGCCGATAGTAGAGATCCATTTTACTCTGCACGCTATGTGAGCAACAGATATCAAGAAATCAGTCACGCAGGGCTCACCTGCCGACTGAGGACGGCCAAGGCTTTTTCCCAGTCCTCCTCAAGCACCCAATGGTCCAACACTCTCTCCCAATCACCAACAATAGAAGCATAGTGGAGGAAGATATCAGCCCTTCCGTGCGCGAGGATCAGCTCATAGGTGGTCTTCTTGTCCAAATTGGCCTGGAAAACTGTCCGTCAGCAGCGGGTTGGACGTGTGGTTGAGAAGAGCAGCACCTTGTATGTGATGAGGAATTGCTTGAGCTCATCCTCCAACAAATGACGCTCCATCAGTAAGTTCTCAAGTTCGCCCGTGCTCCCCCTTTTCGTTTCTCCCTCTCCCTCCTTCTCCTTTGCGGCTCCATCCATCCTGGCTTGCACCGTGATTTGCTGATGCGAATGGTCCACTCCAAGTCCTCCAACAGCAGCAGCACTGGCGTCCCCGAGTCCATGGCTTTCCTCCCCACCCTCCTCTCCTTCCCTACCGAAGCTCGCCACTCCGTCCTCGACCTCTCCGAGCCTCGCTAGCCACCCCTCGACCATCCAAGTAGCCAACAAACACCGTTGTGCCACATCCGCTTTTCTGGTTCTCTCCAGCCTTGCCGACAAGTAGAATCGCAATGCGTCTCGTTCTCCAGAATCTATGAAGTGAAGGGTAACCGACTCGAAAGACCTGGAGAGAGGTGCGAGGGCGTATGTGTGCGCAGCGGGGATGTACCTTCCAGAATTGAAGAGATGATCTGCTTGTTGGGCATGTACTGCGTCGCGTTGCTCTGGTGTGGTGCAATGCTTGAGGGCCTCGTCCCACTTGCCTTGACCAAGGTAGTCTCTCCAAACATCGCGTGCTTCGCCCACTGTATCCAGCTCCCACAGGTTCTGCGCAGTATACACCCATGCGGTGTGCCGACCGACATCCGGTGCTAGACCGAGGACGGCCTCTCTTGGCAAGAGAGGCAGGTGCTCTTCCCACACTTTCTTTTCGGACAACAGGGAGATACCAACCAAGTGCGAAGGGTAAAGCAGAACGTAGTGCCATTCTGTCATCGCCAGCCCTATCGGGAGCTCGGGTTCGGCGTCAGGTGTTCCAGACGTAGCCTCCGGGAACGGTAATAGGCGGGCCGAGTCGATGGGCCCTTGGGAACCGGATAGAGGAGGGAAGGTTAAAAGGGAGGTGTATATGCCGGAGCTGGTCAGCCAGGCGAGGCGAGTCGGGAGCTGTGATTGGGAAGACGCCGCCGAGGCTGTAGACGGTGGGGAAGGGTAGAGAAAGTGCAGGGAGCTTGAAGGATGCGGGGGAGGCAGTTCAAGGAATTCTTTGTTAATGATATGAGCAACGGGGTATCTTCAATCGGAAGGAACACTCACTGGGCGCTCCTTCCCGATACGCCTTGAATATCTCTTCCCATCCCCCACCCGTTGCACCTGCACCTGTCCCTGTCCCTGCACCAGCCCCTAGCGGCCCATAAAACTGATACACACGTCCTCCTGTGCTAACCACGACGGCGCCACATCTTCGTGCCTTGTCGGAATAGAACTCAGCTTGTAATCCACTGATAGCAACCTTCTCCGGAAGCTGAAAGAGTGGGGTAACATGCCGGTCTATGGTGGAGAGAATGGAGTCGGCGGAGGGGTCGAGAGTAACAGAAAGAAGTTGACCGGAAGAGACACCCAGGAGTACTTCGCGTACTTGAGGTCGACCGACTGAGCTTGAGGATGCAGAAGATCGAGGAAAGCACGCAGCTGTAATTTGACCTTTGAGGCTCTTCAGGGGACGAGAACGCCGTTTTCCCGGCTCTTGTGCACCGTTATAGAAGTAGTAGTTGTCCCCTGCTTCGCTTGTCGCAAGTACGTGTCGTCCCTCGGGGTCACAAAAGACTCGGCTGGCGACGAACTCCTTTTGACCCTGCTTGGGAGGGGGAGCAAGAGAGAGGGGGTAAAGGTCTTCGGGATGTTGGAGGTCGATGGGAAGAAGGGTAGAAGGATACAGAAGGAGGAGTAGTGTCGAAGGGGAGGCAGCGACGGAGAGAATGGGCGATGGCGGTGTATACTGAACACGGCCAAGGGAGAGAAGGGCGGTTGCCGATAATCCTGCAACGTTCTACAGCATATATATCAGCATATATGCGCATATAATGATGAGGAAAGGTGAACGCGCACACTGTCAACACCATATTCGCCGTCGAATCCCTCGTAGGCAATTGTGCTCAGCGCAGCTCGATGGACAACACCGGCCGCGGGAACGGCATTGCCTGAGTGCTCGACATCTACAATGAACAGGTTAGTTACACTCATTAATAATAAGAAAGGCGCATACATTCGTCGAACATGCCCGGAGTAGGGTATACAGTGAGGAATGACGACAACTTCAGCGTTGAAGGGAGGGTGGCGCGAGTTGTCGGGAGTAAGAAGTCGTCTGCGCCCTATCCCCGAAGTTACACTCATCACGTGATATTCCCTTTGAAACGAGAAATGTGAGATTCCTCAGTGGTTGGAAGCGCCATCTAAGTTATCTTTCATTTATTTCGGCAGCTCTAGCATACATACATCTACAAATGAATGTTCTGCCTCATCTCCTCAAACGTCATGGTTTGCAAAAAGATTGAGTGCTATAAGGGCCGGCTCCGCGAGAGAGGAATGATTGTACGTCAGGATAGTCACCTAGCAGAGTAATCAAACTCCTGAGGAAGCGCGCGTACAGATATCGGCAGTACTCACCCCAGCAGGCTCGATATTGAAGTGCGTGCCGAGCTTGATAGGGAACTCGACCCATCTGCTTACTAGGCTCCGCAGGATATGTGCGTGTGCCACGATCATGCAGTCCCTTCTGCCCTTCCCCTCCTCGTACCACTCCCGATGCCACTCATGGATTTGTGCGATAACCCTATCGATCCGTCGCGTTATATCCTCGGGGCTCTCCCCACCTGGGCAGCCATCATTCCAGATGTCCCATCCCGGACGCGTCTCCGTAATCTGAGGGGTAGTCAACCCTTCATATTCTCCATAGTCCCATTCGCGAACGTCCTCCGTGGTAGTGTACGCGGGCATACAGTCGGCAGGCAGGGACGAGAAGAGAAGGTGGAAAGTCTTCTGAGCCCGCTGACGAGGGGAAACGAGCACATGTGTGAGGTTGGTGGGCTTGATAAGCTCTGGCATGTATCAGGAACTGGTTGATCAAAGGAGGACGGGGTTGCGCACTATCGTCACCGATAATCTGCTTGTTGTGAGACAGGATGATTTCCTCGCCCTTGCGTGTCAATGGGATGTCGGACCTGCCGGTCTTGCGCTCACGTGTCAATGGCAACCCCTTACTGTACCGTCGAATAAATGCCTACGTGTCGCCCATTCTGTGACCATTCCGTCTGTCCTAAGAAGAACTCAGCACCAGGTGGTGAATACAGCGCGAAGGGTGACACACCGTGACGGATAAGGAAGAGCCTAGGAACAGGTCTATGCGACATTGTAAACCTCTAAAGTTGACAGTCAGATGGGGAGTGTCAGAAACAACCAGCACTGTGTGTCGCCGAGGTGCCCGCCACGCCCAGCGCTCTGGTAAGCGCGCATCGGCGGAGATATTCCGGAAGAATCCCTCCCTGGCAACACTGCCACTGGAACCCTGGCTATTATTTGCTCTTTGCTTTGCGCTCGACCCGAGTTACGAGCGACTCATACATCGATCACATAGACCAGACACCAGTATGGAAGCTGAAGCATCTACGTCGGCCATAGTGCCTCAGGACACCGATACGGCTATACCCTTGCGTGCCTCAGCAGGTGGTCGAGAATCTGGCAAGCTATGGAAATCGACCCGGGCGGCAACACGGTATGTTCACTGACACCTTCCTCCACGCATATGGTTTTCATATAGTTGTCCTACTCTCTAGTCGTACCCAAATGCCCAAGTCGCTCAAGAGCAAGTCGTGGGAGGCGCGCGTTGCAGAGAGAACTCAGGAGGAAGCAACCAGGAAAATTGCGAAAGAGATGCGAGACGAGAAGCAGGCAGAAGCCGATAGGTGTGTCGAGTTCGTGACAGTCAGTATGGCAATTTTAACCAATGACCGGATCGTATAGGAAACGTGAAGTGTTGCGAGAGCGTAGGAAAGTGAAAGAGGAGAAAGCACGTTTAGAGGCAATGGCAGCCAAGGTATGCAGTGGAGTCGCTTTCTAATCTGTTTGACCACCCCTCACGCCCGATTCAGTTGAGTGCGAAGAAGCTTGCACGAATGAAAAAGCGTGCAGGGAGAAGCAAAACCGTCCAGCAGTAAGAAAACATTCCGTTCCGCAGTTCTGGCCGTTGCGACTAGCACCTATAGCACTGCGAACCTTCCTGTACGATACGCTGAACCGATTCTTGATGCCACCCTTAAACATCTGATAGCCTGAGTTGCCGTCTGTTTCTGCCAACATGGAACCCCCCCAAGGGTGATGATAATGATTACATAATCTTAACTTGTGATTTTGCAAGCGATGCTTCCGAAGCGTGTGAGCTTGGGATCATCGTCTTGGCGTTCGTCTTCAACGTGTAGCAGACTCAGATCAGATGTCCTCTATATCACAATATGGAGGACACCTTTTCCGGACCTAGTCCTCTCGAGCTGATCTTTGCCCAACTTCTCGCTTCCTGTCCCTCTCTTTGCGTCGTACAAGCATCGTGCGTGGGCAACAGACCCCTGGGAACTGGCGCTGCGGCCGATGTCTGGCGTGCACAGGTCCTTTCCAAACCCACAGACTTGGAATATACGGGCGCTGTCGCGCTCAAAGTTTTGAGGTACAACTTCTCTAATGCAGAAGAAGAATCGAAACTCTTGAGAGTAGGGGTTTCTGATGGCTGCTGGGCTTCGGGCAACTAAACTCTCGTCTGGTTAGCGCTTGGCTAAAGAGGTCATCATATGGTCTGGACTATGTCATCCCAATGTCGTCCAGTTCCTCGGGATCTGTTTGGAGGGCACCAATTACAAGAGACTGTCGATTGCGATGCCCTTGATGTCAAACGGGTCTCTGCGAGCGTACCTCGAAGCGCGTCCGACAGCGGATCGACTTGCCTTGGTATGACTTCGTCGACCTTGCTTCCAACTACGGAATTTCTGACCAATTGATAAGCTGCGTGGAGTCACTTTTGGTGTCGATTACATCCATGGATTAAACCCACCTGTGATACACGGTGACCTCAAATGGTAAGTCTATCTGACCATCCATTCTTCTTCGTCCTTTGACATAGCACTATCAGGCTAATGTCTTAGTAGACGAGACAGGAAGACCTCTGTTGTCCGACTTCGGTTTGTCGATCGTGATGAACGAGCTTCGCGAGGATCAAATAACGACCTCTCTACTCAATATCAACCCGCGCTGGGCAGCTCCTGAGCGCTTATTCCCCTATAAATATAACTTGGAACCACACGAGTCATTCACCAAAGCCAGTGACATGTATTCCCTAGCCATGACGATTTATGAGGTACGTGCCAATCCGTCGACACCTTCGGCTGAACCTGAGTTATGGATGTCAGATGATGTCCGATACGATACCCTTCAAGACGCAGCCAGCATTGATGATTGCGAACGTTGTAATAGAGGGCGGTCGACCAGAACATCCGGGACCGGCTGCAGTAGCACGAGGATTAGTTGATCCTTTGTGGTCGTTCGTAGAGCAGGCATGGAATCAGCGCCCTGAACTCAGACCTCCTATCCAGGCGCTGTTGAATTTGCTGGAGTCGCCGGTGCTACAGGCCCAAGCACCAGCTGCACAGCAGGGAGAAAGGAGCGGCCACGCTTCATCTGATACACTTGAAATACCCACCACATCGGTATGTTTTACCATATGCCCAGCTGCATTCGTACTAAGCTGATGATGCACAGGATGATCTCGAAAATGATGAAGAAGAAGAGGAAGAGGAAGGAGACACCCGAACATTTGTGCACTGGGCACAGACTCTCGGCACTCCCATACTTAATATCGAGCCGCAGGAAATACTCGTTGTCATCGCCGGCTTTGCCGACGTCTCACAGGGTCGACTTGCAGGTGAAAGAACCCTTGTAGCCATCAAACCGCATCGCCCAGCACCAGAAGAGCGATACCGCGGAGGTGTCGATCCTTCGATCAAGGTCAGCCTCTCTCGTTGCAATGCTCACGCTTCCTGAACTGTTACGATAGAGAACTTCCAGAGAAGCCATCGTTTGGCACAGCCTAACCCCCCATCCGAACATCCTTCCGCTCCTAGGAATATGCTTAGAAGCCAACAACAATGTCGCTCTGATCTCACCCTGGATGCGCCAGGGACATCTTCGGATGTATGCAACTGCGCATCCGAATCGGGATTATACGCCTTTCGTGAGCTAGGGTGGTGTCCTGTTGATTCCCAGCTTACACCGATGCACAGGTTGAGGACATCAAATGTGGCCTTGCGCATATACATAGCCTAAACGTCGTTCACGGTGCACTTATTGCCGTGCGTATCTCAAACGACAATTCCTGGGGGGGAATATAATATCTGAGTTTCTCTCAGAACAACGTGTTTGTGGATGACAACGACAGAGCTGTGATTGCAAGCTTTGCTGTAGCAACCGCCGGCTGGGAGGAAACAGAAGAAGAAGGGGACTACGACTATGCTGGCTACCTGCCCTGGATGGCGCCAGAGCGGTTGGATCCAAAAGCTTTCGGTGTTAGGGGTAGGAGCCCACACCCGACTCGCGAGTGGGATATGTACTCGCTTGGAATGACGATTTACGAGGTACTCTGCAACTTATCATTGCAAGAAGGCGTGCTGACCACATGCATAGATAATGTCCCTACGCACCCCGTTTGACCCCTTAACACGAGCAGCAATCCCGCTTGTAGTCCTTCAAGGCCGAAGACCTCCCTATCCCAGTCAGGCGGCTGTCCGACGGGGTCTGAATCTCGACCTCTGGAAGTTCATCCAGCGCTGTTGGGCACAGTCTCCGGATGAACGGCCAACGTATCAAGATCTGCTAGCCACCCTGCCATTTGATCGTCGTCCGGTCATCCCAATCAGGAGACATGAGCCACAAGTGGCAGAGGTTGCTCCCCAGGTCAGTGCTTTTCTTTGTGCCAATGTGCAGTTTTCGCTGATGAAGGCACTTGATAGTTGGCTCCCCTCGACATCCCAGATTTGCATTCTTGGGGTAAGCTGACCTTTTGATGCCCTTAGATCACGCATGTTGTACTCGAAATAAATCGACTCTGAGAAAGAGTCCACACAATCCAATGTTAGATCAAAACCAAATCTAGATCACCTCATTCCGACCTTCCTCCGAACACTGAAAGAGCGATCTTTCCGGAGATGACGATTGTGCAAAGGAATGTGGCTATGCAGCTTATTGTCGGAATCAACGGCATGTTTTTTGTCGGAGCTTGAAAGCCGGGTGGGATGTGATTTCGGCGCAGTCCGGGCTCGCTTCCGCCATCACACACACAAGAGAGAGAGAGAGAGAGAGTGCACTGTCGACCACTTCCGTCATCGCCTTCTTCTCCTTTCAACTTAACCATTGTCATAACATCTCAACAATTAGAGACTTTGGTCAATTCCAATATACACTATAGTATACGATTATTACACTTGCTGCTACTGCTTAACTCTCAACTACTAGCATGGCAGAATCAGGAGACGCACCAGTCGACAAGCCTGTACAAGTCAAGCTCGTCTTACTAGGTACGTCATACATCACTATACCGACTCACACGATATCGCTCTAACAATGCCTTACACTTCATCCAGGTGAAGCAGCAGTAGGAAAGTCATCTGTCGTCATGCGGTTTGTGCAAAACGACTTTAGCGAGAACAAAGAGCCGACAATCGGCGCTGCGTTGTACGTCTCCCACTCCAATCTCCCGGTCTGTGCTTACGGATCCCCAGCTTGACCCAAAAGTGCCGGCTTGAAGACCGTGTTCTGCGATACGAGATCTGGGATACTGCTGGTCAAGAACGCTTCCACTCCCTAGCACCGATGTACTACCGGAACGCGCAAGCCGCAGTGGTGGTGTACGACATCACGAAGGCTTCCTCGCTAGAAAAAGCAAAGAGCTGGGTGAAAGAGCTCCAACGGCAGGCAAACCCGAACATCGTCATCGCTCTCGTGGGGAATAAACTCGATCTCGTACAATCTCCCGCGGCTGCGGGTGCTGCGCCAGCAGGGGAAGAAGCGGAAGACGAGGAGGCAGATGACGCTACTGCTACTCCTGGGGAAGGCGGGGAACAACCGCTCCCGGAACCGGAGCAGGAGGGGGAGAGTCTCCGCCAGGTGCCGAAGGACGAAGCGGCGGCTTATGCGCAGGAAGCGGGACTGTTGTTCGCGGAGACAAGCGCGAAGACTGGCGAGGGTGTCGTAGAGGTGTTCACGGAGATTGGTGCGTTTGAGTTTTCTGTTGCTCTTTACTTTGATTTGTCGTGTGAGGGATGGAAGCTGACTGCTTGGGATAACAGCTAAGAAGATTCCTATCGAGCATATCCTCGCTTCCACCCGAGGCGGCTCGGGCTCACGTGCAGGAGGCGCACAAGCCCGACCAAACGTCACTCTCCAAGAAGGACAACAGCCCGCGGGGGGAAAGGCGTGCAATTGCTGAGTGGGTCTTAGCCGGTCTGGGTGACAGTGCGGAGGGTGCAGTGCCGGCTGTAGGTGATGGAAGGAGTTCTCGTGGAGAGGTGCCGCGTTCTTATCATATACGACTCTCCTTTACTCGCTTTCTCTTCCTTATTCCACTTCGTGAAAGGTGCCGTTGCCGTCTTTGTGGCGTGACGTGCAGGTCTCTGTTTATATACGTCTTTCTTTCTTACGTCTTTTATTGACTTCCCGGAGTAGCATTATGTGATGTGTACGATTGCTAGATGGCGGCGCTTTTACCCTTCTCTTACCCTTCCCAATAAAGCGGACTGGACCGGATAGAAATACGGTTGCATTGCCACTCCAACAACACAACCATCTAGCCGGTTTGTAGCAACCTGCTATGACAGCACCGCCCCTGCTCAACGACCAAATAGTCTCCCCACAGTGTTGTTCACAGCACCGCTCAACAGCTGACCGCCAATCCCTCCCAAGCCTGCAAGGCCGTACCCTTGCTGCGCCCAGCGTTGCTTGGCGTCTCGGTCCCTGGAATACAGTATTAGCGCATGCAGGGAGAAAGTCGGAGGGTAGGAGTGTGAAGAACCGACGTACGCGTATGTGAAGCCGATCACGTTTGTGATGTTGAACACCAATGCCAGAGCTACGATCGGCAGGAACCTGCTCTCAGATCAGCAACCTCACCACAACAGTATCCTGCCTACACCCAGCCTAACGCAAGGGAGATACAGGAGTTGAGAAAAGGAAAACGTACGAGATGCTGAACTTGAGGAGCGATACAAAGAACAGCAAGAGCCACAGAACAGGGAAGAGGTAGAGTGCGGTCTACGGATAGTTCAGAGTCATGTTTAGGGCGAGGTAGGCTAGACGCGTACCCAGAACATCCTGTGTTTTGGTTAGCTTAGTGGGAAGAGGGACATATATGCGCACCTTGAATCAACAGGATTCGCCGGTCTTGACGGCTACCAAAGCAAGTATCAGCACTCTCGTTCAATCACTCATGCCGTCCATGCCACTCGAGCCAGAACAAGTACATTAGAAAAGCCTACGCACATCCCGGCTCTCGAACACCCAATAACTCTCCCCATCCTCATCTACCTGGTTCCAAAACCGGAGCCCGACAAGGGTCCGCCCTGCGACGTTTCGCGTGTTCCAAAAGTCCATCGCAAGGAGGACGACGACTATTACTGTCTTTTGGCGTGTCAGTTATGCAAGGGTGAGTGGGGAGGGACGGACGGAGAGGACGTAGTTGTTTGTGAAGACTGAGCATTGTGAGCATGTACGATATCAGCATACAAGTGACCAACGCACATCCGCAAAGCACATAAACAGCCACAGCTGCTATCCTTAGCAGCCACAATACAGCCAGAGCAATCGGGTGCGCGCTCTGCCTGAAGATACCCGCGATCCCAGCCTCTGCATCTGCCTGGTTCGTCGCCATCTTCGTATTGGTGGGAGTGAGCACGACCTGTGGCGGCGGGGGTGCGCTGGGGGTAGATGCCCGCGCGCCTGGGAGTGGGTCGTCCGCCTCGATGGTTGTTGTTAGGTGGGGCTGGGTAGAGGACATCTTCCCTGTGCGATGGCCGCTTTCGAGTATGAGGAGACTGCGTTTGTGAGATGAGCACTTGCAAGGGTGCTGCGAGCAGAGCAGAGCACGTCGGCAGCCACAGCCACTAACAATCTCTTGTCCACCTATGCACACGTTTCCCACCATGCCCTTTCATCAGCGACGGACTTTACATGCCAAATCGCCACACGGAATTAATAGCACACGGACTCGATAGCTAGCACACAGGATTAGTATTGGAGATCCTTGTGGGCGGCAAGGTCAAGCATTGCTACCATGCTTTGGTAAAACGTGTGTTTCTCGATCTATTCCTTGCATGGTCCTGATGCCCTTGTCAGCAACAATTCCCTCGTCTCAGCTTGGACCCTAATGTCGCTTGCTTCTTGACCATCATGGAACCACCACTCATTCCAATTGTTCATAACCCCCCAGAAGATCTTGACTACGCAATGATGTATCTATGGGATATATCATGTGGATATGCGCGAGATCTGGATGGATGGCAATGGCCGCATTGGAAGGAGAGGCCGGGTTTGCCGGGGAGCATATCGGTGCGTGACGTCTGAGTGGGAATCATCATACGTATACTCACTACCACCTCCAGGCCACCGTCCTAAGGTTCATCGAACTTGATCGATGGGACAAACTCCTGGATATGCCGGAAGAGTTTGTCTCACTTCTCACGCCCGATACGGCCCACACTCTGGGAGATTATCTCCAGAGTGTGGTTTTGCCGGAAGAGGAGTTGGAGATTGGGAAGGTGAAGGTGAAAGGGATGGAAGAGGCGCGTGCTCAGGACAAGGAGAAGATCAGACTCATGGAAGAGGCGCATGCTCAGGAGAAGGAGAAGATGAAAGAGGTGCGTACTCAGGCCAGTGCCGAACAGATCACATAATTGATCCAGAGAACAGAATACTCTTGCTTTGGTGAAGCACGCTCAAAAGCTCGCAGATGAACTCTCTGCGGCGAAGACCGAGCTTGAACAGACAAAGACTGAGCTCGAAGAGACGAAGGCCGAGCTCGCGGATGTGCTCTCTGTGGTGAAGACCGGGCTCGCACCAGGCCCTCCATAATTCTAATAGCTACTTTCCTCGGAAACCGAACGTTACCTTCCGGGTCCGAACGGGGTTTCCCGACGGTGGGAAACTCAATTTTGAACAGCTAAAACCTGCGTTCCCCGCGGCTGAAGGTTATTAAAAAAACGGTTTGAATATCCGCCGAGCGGGTCGGCCGAGCTTTCAGCTGCTTTTTTGATAAGACGCTTTGGCCCTACAGTTGATCGGTTTACGAGCAAGAGCTGCTTCTGACAAAGCCCTGTCTCGCTTTCTTTCTTGTTTTTCGCATTCTTCTCGGACGGACATATCAGGTTACTGGGACCTCCGCATACGGTTGTCTAAATCCGCACGAGGGCCGCAGACGGCCCCAAGCTCCGGGACATTGATTAACGACATCATGGAGTTGTTCCACGTAATGCGCCAAAAACCGTTCTGTCGGCACACCTTGTCCGGTGACTGCCGGAGTGGGAAGGGCGGCGATCGTGGAATTTCTTGGCTATTCCCCGAATCTATATCATGCAACTTGATACATGCGGAAGGCACGAGGCTGCGCTGAGCAACGAATGGGAATGATATTGATTTGAAAGAGGGAAAAGGAAAGTTAATCATCCGCTTGGAGTGGGCTGGCAAGATTTATCGAGACTAGTATCAGGTCCGATCAGGGCCGTTGACAACAGTCGCGCGACCTGTGCCGAAGGCGGGAGCCTGGCATATTAGCCATAGGGGCGCAGCCTGTCCCCAAAGCTTACTAGCCATACTGATCACAAATTGTCGTATCCAGCCACATTCCAGCTGGATTGGCACCGCTTTCCTGGCTCGGCAGTGCGGACCCTCAAGTTACAGTCCGGAGTCAGCAGAGAGCAGTGGCAGTGCTGGCAATGACCCATCCACTGTGGGATATGAAGGGGGTGAAAGCACTGGGCAATGGGGCCTGGAATGACATAGTGTATGAAAATGTATGATCATTCAAGTAATTACCACTGCAACATTGAAGGTGCTACAGTGAAAGGAATACTCTCTTGTGCAATACCCATTGAGGACTGTAACAATGGCACAATGGGTACTGCATGTACAGCCAGCCCAGCATCTATACACTGTGGCACACTCATGTTGAAACCATGAGCAACTTCCTGTCTGTTTGAGGCTCACATCTGTGTGGCAACAGAATGCTTAACCCATGCTTCCTCCTGCTCTCTGTCCTGATCAGCCACATGTGCCCTCACTTCCAACTCTGTCATCTGCCGGAAAAAACATTGGCCACTGTCCAATGCCCCCCAGATCCTGTCCAGATCCCCCAAGTTTGAAACATCTGAGGGATTCAACAAGGTGGGCAGTGGCCACCCCTGCAGGGTGACACTGTAGTGATCTTCAATGTCTTGTTGGAAATGCTTGTATGCCATAGTATGACTTGGGTTGCATGTAAGTGTTTCTGTCACTGTACAATGAGTAGTGCCACTATGCTCAATGGCTGCCTCACTTATGTAGTCGTTCATTGAGCATTGCGCAGATGTATGCCTTTAGGGCAAGCATATGTTTGTGTGTACTCTCAGCCAATCCTGCATTGTACAATGAGCACAGATCACTGGAACACAACATGTTCACTCACCTTTAGCACCTCCACTCATGCAGAATGCTTCCAGGTTCTGTGCAAAGGCAGCCAGGCCAATCTTCATGACCTCCTCAAAGAATTGCTTGCAGAGATTGTCACCAAAGAATGTTGGTTTGGTGGTATCCTTGATATCACCACAGACAATGAAGCCACAGGCATGGCCACCTGTTTGGGAGGCAAAAGCTGCAGCCTGGTCCACAGTGAGCAATGACAACATTGAACAGTGCAACACCACAGACTCACCAGTTCATGGAACATGGTCACAGTGTGCATTGTATCTGCTTCTCTCCCCTTGTAGTTGACTGTCAACCCCAACTGAGCTTGTTGTCAACAGGCACTGAGCCATGCCTCAGCAACAACCTGAGCTGACTCATTGCTTCTCAGCTCCTCAAGCTTCATGGCCATACACTCCTTGCATGCTGGATCAGAAATAGTTGTTGCTTCATCTGGAAAGTGTATAAGACAATGTTCAGTGAGCATGGAACAATGCTCACTGGCTACTCTCAAGTCTTTGGCAACCAAAGACTGTGCTGCATTGGTGAGGTTGATTCGACATGCCAGTTTAGTGTGGCATGTATGCCATGCCTTCAGGTTTTCGGTAAGCACTCACAGCAAAACACCAGTAGCCTCATGAATGTTGTGCAGTGCCTCATTGAGAGCAAGCTCAGCATCTTGCAACATTTGATCTGTGAGAAGGTGTTTTTCCTTGTTTGCAGTGCTCCCTGCCTTGCGTGAGCTCCAAGAGTTTCACAGTGGACCCACTCAAGGCATAGCAATCAATGAAGAGTCACAGTCAATGCACACTGATCCCAATGTGGCAAATGTGGTATGCAAATCATGTGCATTGATCATGTGAGAGACTATCATTGTTGTGTCACAATGATCACAACACCAGATGCAATTCATGTGTATTGATCATGTGAGAGACTGTTGTCATAGTAGAGATGACATTAATAGCCTCACACATGCAATGATCACATGACACTGATTATGATTTTGATCTAAGACCACTGAGCACTGAGTCATGTAACTAGAGAGAAAAGGACTGCATGGGAGTGCTGAAGAGTGTGTGTAATGTACACTGTACCAGCAAGCATGTCATGAGGAAAAGAACCAGAAGAAAGAGAAAAGAAATGAGTGGATGTGTCAACAGTGAAGAAACATTGAGCAGTAAGCATTGCAAACAGTGGGCAGTGTAAATTACAACATCCCACCCCATATACCACACAGACAAGCCTTGAACATTGCCAGACTGATGGCATCAAACATCTTGTCCCCCATCCAGGGGACAAGGAGGTCATACCACTTGGACAGGTTGTTGTACCAGAAGACATTGTGAAGCTCAATGAGCCATTCTGCCCTGTTTGCCTGCCCAATGCTGCCCAAGTGATGATGCCAGATGCATGAAACCTCCTCTGGCAAGTTTTGAGCATCACCCAGATTGGCAGGGTGGGTCAGACAAAGTGGCATCATGCCAAGGACATTTGCATTGCTCACTGAGGCACTGAGTGTGGTGCCAGCTGTGCTCTGCCGCTCAGTGGGCATGGCAGGAGAGCACAGTGCACCTTGGGCATTGGGCATGGGCATGGTTGGGTTGCAGCAGGTGCCTTGAGCATGCTGTTGGGTCTGCAGGTTGTCCCAGAGGCCTTGCTGCAAGTGCCTTCCATCTTCTTCATGCTGCTTCTGTGCTTCTACCTCATGCTGACACATGATGGTGGCAGTGGACTTGCATGGCATGGGCTGGTGCTTCTACGCTGCAGTGGGGTAGTAGGGCGAGTCTGGGCTGACCCACTCTTCAAGCAGAATGCTGTGTCAATGGTCAGTGATCAATGTGCCAGTGTTCAATGAATGAAAACTTACTACATGCATCAGCCTCACCAGGCTTCTCTGCCTGTTGCAGCTTCTCCATGGCATGATCAAACTGCTTGGCATGGTTATCAATGAGCTTCTTGAAAATGCACTCTATGTCACTGAGAACATGCATGTCAGAGTTGTGTGCCCAGAAATTGTGGGAGATGAACAAAAAGGTTTGACCACTGACCTTCTGACCATTGTCCCAGCACCCAACATGGAGAACAATGCCCATTGGGCCCATGAGTCGATCTGCAGAAGCCAGCTGTAAGAATAATATCAGACACATGCATTCAACAATGAACAATGAACAATGAGCACTTACCAATTTGAACAGGCATGGCCAGAAGAGCTCAAAATGGACAAAGTACCTGCCATGCAGCTTGTACACATCTGCCATGGGATAACACACAACACCAGGAGCACTGAGGTTGTCATTGAGCACTGTTTGCCAGATGCGTGGAGCCTTGTTGATCTTCTCCATTGCCTCTTGGTAGTTTGTGGGCCGTTCTGATGAGCAAGGCTGGAATGGGCCACACCCAATGTTCCCTGATCTGTCAGCATTGATCATGAACTCTTGGAAGTCAAACATGATGCTGGGCAGATGCTGTGCAAGTTCACTGGGCTCCATCATGCTGGTGAGGCGGATCTGCTCCACAAGGTCAAGGGCATCCAGATCATCAGTGCTCAGTGCTGAGCGCTCCTGCTCTGCTTCAACCATGTTCATTGCTGCATTGAGCAATGCAGGATTGATCTCATCAATGTTGAACTCATCATCTTGGGCCTCAGTGCAGGCAGAGGGCACAAAATGCCAAGTCAACAGAGGGAGGGGTTTTTCTTTGGGCACTGAAGCAGTGCCCATCATCTTGTGCATGGTGGTCCTGTTGGGCACAGGGGTCAGCATGCCCTCTCCACTGCCTATCACTGTCTGAGATGATCCACCAGCAGATCATTGCCTGTTGGGCACCACAGATGGGCACATGCCAAGGGACTTGGGCATGCACATTTGGGTCAGGGCAGTGGACATGGTGTGGGTTGCAGGGTGAGGCCCTGCAGTAAGACATCTCAATGAGCAGTGACATGTTGCACAGTGCATATACATACCTCCAAATAATTTGCCAAAGTGCACATCACCTGGCTGATGCAGCAGTTTCTTCTCATAGATTGCTGAGCAGAGGTTGTAAGCATTGGTCAATGTGCAATGATAGAATGACACACTGTTCACCATGTTATCCATCTGCACCTCATCATTGTCCATATACTCTTCCTCCTCCATCTGGGATGATCCAATGTTCTCCAGTCTCACTGCCTGCCATGCATTTGTGAACTCCTTGTTGATGTGGAGCTCTTCTTCTGCCAGCTCACCCTCCACACATGATGAAGAGGCATGTGTCTGTCTGCCCAGTGAACAGATCATGCTCCACAGTGAGCATTGATTCATTGGTAGGGGGGGCAGTGGGCAGTGTCAGAGAGTTCATAATCATAATTTGTGTTGAACTCAGCAAGTGAGTCAATGATGCAATGAGCATTGAAACATACCTCAACTTCTTCATAGTGGGCTTGTCTCTTTGGTGGCCAGTCATTGCCAGATGATGCTTGCCAGGTTCTGCGAGGAGGCATGGTGCTCTGAGAGGCACCACACAATGGGCAGAGGTATGGGGGAGGAGGCAAGTCAATGATTGTGTCATTGGGCAAAGGAGGGTGGTGGTGGTCAGGAGAAGAGGGGTGCAAGGGGTGAATCTGAGGGTGGTGGTGGTCAGGAGAAGAGGGGAGCAAGGGGTAAATCTGCATCTTGGATGGTGACTTTAGCTGAGGCCAGTGGTGTGTGGTGAGAGACACAGTTGAACCCTTCAGACAGAAGTGACTCCATTATATCTCTGCCAGACTGTTTCACCTCATTGACTCACCACTTGTTGCAGCAGGGAAAGTTTGTTTGAATATGCAGTGTGCAAGGCCATTGGTCAATGGCCTTATGACATATATTGATTTACACTGTTTTCTTTTGTTGGGCACATTGGTAAGGGGCATGCATATGTTCACTGCATCAATGAACAGTGCACCCCAATGTTCACCATGCTTTTTGTGTTTTTTTTCTTTGAAATGTCATTAAAATTGCATTGAACAATGAGCAAGTCTTCCAGCAAGAGTTGTTTTCTGTTTGTGCTGGGATAGAATATATTGGGTGCATGGAACATTGACATTTGTAGCATGATTATGTGTTGACAATGATTCAAGTACTACACAACATTGCTCATATTACCAGGTTGGGTTTCTGGTCCTTTAGCCAGGCTTGTCTCTCTAGGTCGTTCCATTTGCAAATTGATTTCATTAACTGGAGCAAGTCAGAATAAATGGAGTGGGACAATTACATGAGTAGTGTATTTGGACATGCACATCATTCACAGGAATACAAGTACTACATGAGTTCTACAACACAATCCATTAATCTCATTGGTTTTTAGCATACATGCACAATGCTAATCTCCCAGCCTCATGAAAGCCTCATTGATGTGTTCAAGCTGATCCACTTGTTTGTCATCCAATGTGTTGTCCAGAAAATGCTCCTCCTTCAGTTCTTCTGCCCATTGCTCATTGGGCAGTGTCCAAGGATTGATCAGCCTTGGTTGTTCTTTGCCATTGTCCCATGTGCCGATGGTGGGATTGCCTGTGAAGCCAGGAAGGGCAAAGATCTGCTGAATGCAGCCATGTAGAAGCAGATCCACAGCTTCTCGCTTCTCCAAGTGACAACACATTTCCACAGTGAGCAGTGAACACCACGCAGATGCTTCTCTGCTGATGGTTTCTTGCAATGCATGAGGCTCATTGTGCACTGCAGTCCATAACCTCCGCACCTTGACATCCAATTGACACATCTTCTCCTTTGCACACTGAACAAGAAGCCACTTGACTGTCATGGAACGGACAAGTTTATCAGCCCATGCTGTGCACTGAACATTGTTCCTTGAGTATTGGAGAATTGTAAGGTCAGAAACCCACATCATGCTGATGACAGTGTTGTACATGAGTATAGGGCATGGGGTATTGAGCTTCTTAGTGAGGTCATTATACTTGTCCAATGCTGATCAAATTGCACCACAGCATTTGTGGATTGCCTTGGCAATTGCACATCACATTGAGTAGCCTAAAAACATGCTGTTCAGTGAGCAGTGAGCACAGACCACTGATTCAAACTTCCCTACTGGTTCCACAAAGATTGAGCTTCTCTAGCTCAAACAGTTGCTGGACAACCAAACTTTCCAGTTGATCCAAAGCTCTGTTGTATGTGTGGTACAATGCCTGCTGTTCAATGTTTTGCCATTCAGGGGAATCTGGTGTCCACCACTCAGTGTCCAGAAGACTTTCATACTTGGTAGCAAGTGATTTGAGCTGCTCTTGGGCTCAGAGAACCATGAGGTAGTCTTACTCAATGCAGCACTCATTCTTCCTTGCTGAGGCAGTGTTCCATGCATCAGGCGTGATTGTTACAAATGCTTCAAATGATGAGAGTTTGCGTCTGCACTGTTCATTGAGCACTGGCAATGAACACTGTCAAAATAGTTACTTACTCATGCACTGCCAACTCTTGCAGAACTTCAAGATATTGAAATTCAAGCCTTTCCTCCTCTGGCTCATCCTGGAGGTTCTCAAAATACTCTTGTTCTTGAACAATGTATTGGCAGAACTGATCATCAGAGGTTTGTGTTTGGGATTGGTAGAGATGCACTGCTGGTGCAGTGTCATCCAAGATGCAAAGAGCTTGTTGATAATTCTTGAGGAGAAAATCTGCTATGATGCAATGATCAATGTACCCTCCACATAGAACAATGTGCATTGAAATGACTCACCCAATGCAGCACGCCGGTCTTTGTCCCACTGTGCCCAGAACAGGTGGAGTGTCATGCATCGGTGGAAATGAGATGCATATTGGAACAATGCTGCAGTCCTGTTTTGCTGCAAGAAGATCCACTCATTCATTTCGAAGTCTTTGAGGCCAGCAGTTGTCAAGATGCAGGGATGAAAATTAAGCTGACAGCATCAATTATGAGCATAACCATGGAATGCACCAACATAGAAGCACATCTGCAGTGCAGATGCCAGTGAACCAAGGTGGCTTCACTTCACTGTTCCAGAATGGTCACAACCAATATCATACCCCACTGCTATGCCATCACCATAAACATTGAGGAGCTTATTGAGGCAAGCAAGTGAATATTTGGCACTGGTCATGGGGCAATGAATCATGAACATAGACCACTGGTAGAGGGCCATACTCACAGTTCACCACTGTGGATCATATCCACTGACAGCAACACCATCCCATGTCTACATGACACAAGAAAGTTTCCTGTCTCATGCATCCCATCCATCCAATGTGAAGCATCAGCCAATGTTGTCTTCCACCATCTGGTGCATGGTTTTTGTTCACTGATCACTTGAGCAGCAGTCAAAGAAGCTTCCTGGTGATGGTTGTTCTTGCAGGCCTATCTGTCTGTGAGCATTGGGCAATGCCACAATGATACAGTGTCCTTACCTCCCTTGCATGTTTCTTGCTCACCTCATTGGCAAACTCTTCAACTTCTTCTTCATTGACCATGTAATTGCTGATGAACTCCCATGCATCCTGGCGCCCAGCATGAGCAAAGCACTTGGAAGAGTTATTGCCATCACAACTGATGAGCTTTTGATGCAGGAGGTTGGGTTCATCACAGAGCTGAGACAATGTTCATTGTTTGGTAAACATTTCAATGAACAATGATACATACCCAATATTTGCATGCTGGACATGAGTTAAGATGTCTCCAATTTGGCAAGTTGTGTCCAAAGGCATGCCAAACTAGTCCTTCAATGTGCATTTGAATCAAAATCCATGCATCATAGGCAGCAGAAAGCTGATATTGAATATACTTGCAGTATGGGCACTATATTTGAGCATCAGTGATTAATGCCCAATGAAACAATGATACATACATACACCATGCAGATCAGAGAGCACCCTGGCAAATGCCTCATGGGACACAAATGCCCTTAAGCAGCAGTGATGAAAGACTTGAATGACTGGAAGTCCAATGGCAAGGCCAGGAGAGATAGGTGAACATGGCATGTAACCCTGTTCAATGAGCTGAACAAGCAAGTTGTTGCCTTCATAGCAGCACAGCAAGGACATGTTCTGAATTCCTGCAGTGTCTGATTGAGCATGGTCTTTCAAGTCAAGTGGGCAGTGTGCTTTGTACCTTGCCAGCTTAAGAGACGCACAAGAGCAGGCATTCCTACATCCCTGGTTGAGTCCAGTCTTTGAACCTGGTCATACTTCCACTGCAGATATGCTTCAGCCAGTTGGGGAATGACCATTGCCCAATGGGCATTGTTAGCAGCCAGATGCTGGGCATATGTTCCTGCACCGCGGGCATATCTGGGCTGAGCTCATCAAGGACTGGTCAAGTTGTTACTGCATTTTACAAAGCAAAGATGGATTGTGCTCACTGAACAGTGCGCCATGCTGCCTCAACCACAGGAATTGATTCATCATCATCTTGCCACTCTTCATCACTCCCATTGCCCCCTGTCCCCTGCCCCTTGTCCATGTCCATGTCCAGCCCACCAATTCCACCATCCAATGCTTCAGCAAGGAATTTGGCAGCAAGTGCTTCATCAGGTCAAGCTATCAGTGCACATTAGTTGAGCGGGGCATGTGCATTGGGCAGTGTCCAGTACTCACCAGCTAATCTCTGTGCTCACTCTTGTTGACTTCAGAGATGTTCCTGCTGGATAGCCCTCATGCTCAGTGTGCAACACTCATGGAGGACACTGGGTCAATTGGAAGGCAGTGTTGACATGTCCATTCCTGCTGATGCATTGCCATCTTCATTGTGGATGTGCATCTTGAAACCTTGCTGCAGTGCATTAAGCCCTCACAGTGAGCTTTTAGGATGAAGCTGGCTGCTCTTGGTGGATTGCATCTATGTCGCAGCCTTGTAGACAGTCATGTGTGCCAAGTGAGAGGCACTGCTCTGCATGAGCTTAGTGGAGGGGCGCCCACTGAGGAAAGGTTGAGGGAGCTCAGTGCAGAAATCATTGTCCATTTGTACAGTGCCCAGTCAAGCCAGGCTCAATGAGATGAGCAAAGGTTCAGAAAAAGTTCAGTCATGCAGTCATGGTCACTCTAGTGGTAAACAAGGGAAGACTACTGGTTATTGAGATCACGTGGGAAAGAATTGCATGTGCATCTGGAATGCTGGTATTTTACTGGATTAGAGCTGGAATCGCAAAACCGGGCTTTCTGCATCAAGTGAGACATGGGGACAAGCATCGCCCCCACATCTTATAAGCCCCTGACCATCATCGGTAGCAGTGAGTCGCGAAACAATTCATGTACCCTGGAGCCTTCTTTGTCGCGCCCCTTCCTTCTCCCCTCTGCCTCGTTCCCCTTCCCAAATTTGCTCACCCTCCGTCTTCCTCGGTTATTGTTGATGGATAATGATATTTAACAATACGTTCATCGTTGTTTATTGTTCTCCTGCCTCCGGATACCGTGCGGAGGTCCGTGCCCGCAGGTGACACCCTACCCCGTCTCTAAGGCCGCACAGGCCAGTTATACGTCCGAGCCTCCGTCATCCGCAACCACGTCACTCCCCTTCCCTCAACCCTGAAGCTTCTAAAGCCGCGAACAGGCCTCTATCTCCACCAACTGCTTCGCTCAAATCTTGCATATTCTCTTTTCAGCCCGCGACTGTATGTCTTTGGCACTTTTCCATTCCCTCCCGGGTGCCGGGCGGAGTGCACCCACGCGGGCCGATTCATACACGCTCATGGTGGGATGAATGGTCTGACAGCTGTGAGACGAAAGACCAGTCCAACTGCATCAAACGTTGCATCATTCTTGTGCTGGTCTACTGGCCTAACACTGTCTCTCAATCTCGGCCGGAGCACGCAGGTCCCACGTTTCGCGTCCTGTGCACTTTATTTCCCTTCTGCGCAGCTGAAGATAACTCTGTGAACGGTTTCGCCTGTTTCTTCATCCGGTAGGTATTTCCCGATACGGCATGCGATACGATGAGATCCTCCTACGGCTTGTGATGCGGTGATGCTGTCGCGCTTCTGCAAGGACCAACTGTATGCTCCTGGTCCTGGCCATGGGTTCGTCTGCAAGCCCTCTGGCCACCCCCTGTCTTCTTTTGTTCTTACCCTCCTCCATTCCCCACCCGATTGGTTCTCGTGCCCCGTCGGTCCCCGTCTGCGTCTTCCCGGACGGCCCCCAGGCCATTCCGCGGCACTGCATGACAGCTACGGCTTCGGGGAGATTGTGTGTGTATACAGTAACAACGCTAAGTCCAAGGGCACATCTCGTCAGCACCCAGCGCAAGCGTCCAATTGTCTCTTACCCCCCGCCGGGTTCCCCCCTGTAAACAATAATGCCGCCAATCCCCGACCGGACGGTCTCTCCCTGCTTCCCGCACCCCGGAGCTCCCCCCCTTCCCATATAACCCCAACGCCCTCACTGATCAAGGGGAGAGCGTCTCTTTCCTGTCCCGTATCCCCGTGCGCGAAAGTTACCCTCTTCCCCTTCCCCCGCCTTCCTCTCCCCCTTCATCGGCCATCACCGTAACTTCTATTGTTTACTGGCTCTTTTTTGATTATCGAGTCTGCCTGCCTCCACCCACGCTTGCCCATACATCAGACAGAGGTTCAACCCCCTCTTACCAATTGATATTCAACCCTAGTCTTGGTACGCAACTGCATCCCCCCTCTCTCTGCTCGAGACTCACGTGATATTATCCTCGCAGCCTCCCGACATCCTGCATCATGTCAACAACGACGATAACGATGACTGAGCTACCACAAATGAAGGAGAAGTCAACTGCACGACCTGTTGCACGCAAACAACGGACGTGGCACGAAGCCGACGCACCATACACCTTTGCGGTATGTTCCGCTTTCCATATAAGGCAAGTTTGATGGTGACAGCTGGCATGTAGAACGACGATACCGAGTGGGAACGATTGAACGGCGTACATCGTGCTATCAAGGAGTATCTTGGGAATCGTGTCACCCTCGCACCCCTCGAAGATCTCACTCCATCACCGAAGAATATCCTCGAGCTCGGCGCTGGCACCGGAGTATGGTATGTTCATCTCTTTTGTCCGTCATGAACAAATTTCATTGTCCCACCAGGGCCATGGATGTGGCCAACATGTTCCCCAATGCGACCGTTACTGCTGTTGATATCTCTTTTAACAACATCCGGTGTGTTCCTTACTTACCGTCAATGATAACATGATCTGACACATATCTCAATCAGCAATCCACCGCGCAATGTCGTTCTGAAGCAACTCAACCTCCTCGAGGGTTTCCCCTGGGAACCTGAGACGTTCGACATTGTTCACATGCGCTTCCTCCTTGTCCACGTGCGTCCGATATCATCTCATTGTTCTCACGTTGATATCTGACGCCCGCCCCTATCTTATTCGGTTCCCGGATGAAACAGATGCCGAACTTCCCAGAACTTGCAAAGAAATGCGCCCAAGTCCTGCGCCCTGGTGGGATACTTCTGCTCGAAGATCTGGACCTCAACCTGTACGCGATGGACGGCGAGATCACCGATAACATTCGGACGTTCTACGACCACTATCATGGGCATATGGCCAAGAGCGGTGTGGACGGAGAGACGGGTGCCAAGCTGGAGGGTGTCCTTCACCAGCTGCGCATGTTCTCAGATATCCACGTGCACAACATGCCCGCGCCTATCTCGGGTCCCTTTACGGATGGTACGTCCTCCGCCCTGCCAGCGCACGGCACCTTGGCTCACGTGAGCTGACATGCCTTTCAGATCCCAAGCTAAATAAGATGGGCGCCGAGATGCGGAAGTCCCTGGGCAAGGCTTTCGATGGCATTTGGGTAAAGATGCCCGGCAGCGGCATCACCCAGGAGATGCACGATGCCATGGTTCATGATGCCCACGACCCTTCCCGCCAGATGTACATGGACTTCTATTGGACATGGTCTCGTAAAGCAGAGAAGGAGCCAGAAACAAACACGCTGCGGGACCAGGCGTGGGCTTGGTGGGAGTATGTCGTCCAGACCGGCTGGTGGATCCTCGGCTACTAGACGCTCGAACGCTTTCACTCATCTTATTCTTTCCTCTCGTTGGGCTAGGGTTAAGGATGTACCCTGTAGTATCGACAATGTAAATTTCCGGCTTTCGTTCACTCGGATGTGTTGTACGGATTGTATCATACCGCATCCTTGTATCAGGCACTTCATGCAGATTGTACCACACTCCTTTGTTTGATGACTAGCATAACAAACGAGTCAATCATATTTCCGCACCTGTTCTAGGTCATGTCTCGCTGTCTGACTGCCAAAGGATAATCGAATCACGCCCTCATTGCGATGCCTTAGTTCGGCCACACTTGCCGCTCCATATGTTCACCTATTTGAGAAAAGAGAGCCACCGAAAGGACTACCCGCATGCTTGTTGACTTGGGCGTTTGTGCTCCTCGAAGAGGGTTGCGCGGTGCTGCCACTGGCCTTCACTTGCGGGGAGGCAGTTGTACGTCCATCTTCGTTCCATTTTCCGCATTACCCGCCAGTGGCGCTTCTAACAGCGGTGGTGTATGATCAACGCATATATCCACAGACGAGCGCATAGTGTGGACTCAAACGGTGATATTGACGTGCCACGCGCGACCAGAGCGATCGCTCCGAGTTCGGGGTCCTGATCCAGATCGAAGGGTGTATTGTGACAATAGTATTAGGCTAATCACTTCGAATGTGCAGTAGAAGTACATTAGAAGAAAGACGGATGCATAGATCAAAACAACGTGTCCTAACCAAAAAAATCATCAGATAGGCACAGACACAGAATACCAAAAGGCGAACCTCGTCTCTCAAATACTCTCCCACGTCCCTGCAAAAGAGCGATAGTCAATTTCTGGAATTTGAGCGACAGGATAGAACGCACGCCTGGTGGAACACGACAATTGCTGTTGGGTCCAGTTTTCTAGTATCCAGTGTAGACCGCGCTGTCACACCAAAGCCCTGTTGGCACGCATTAGCCGTATGTTGGCAAGATTGATAATAAAAGACGCACTAATGGAGTATCGTTCATGCTATATACGACGACTCCTTGATGCTCTGGTGTGTCCTCCGTTATACGACCGAGATGCGCCTTCACGACATGGTTCCCGTAGAGAAAAGGCATCTCTCCATTTGGTTTTATCCACACCTATACATCGTTCAGATCTTCATTCACGATTTCAGTCTTTTTCAACGCTGCGCACCTTATGCTTTGCATACTGCCCCAGCACATCAAGCGCTGTTATATGAAGCCTAAACTTGCCGGACTTGCTAAACTTGCCCAGGCAAGTCCCAAGGGAGACAAGGTTGGGTCGTGCAACTGACACCGCAAGGCGCATGAGTGACTCAGAGACGTAGTACACGCGATCTCTGTGCAGTCGAAAACAGTGCGGTGTGTCGGATCGGTCGATGAGATGGACAAGGTTCTTCCCCTGTGGAATGACAGTGATGAGAACAAGCTGGAAGACAACAGTTTGGAACGCACCACATAGTTGGCCAGTTTCGAGAACACCGCCTTGCTTTCTTCTTCTGTTAATGGCCGCATTTTGAGCAGGCTGTAGTGTTGCACCAAAATATGTCAAGCCAGGGTCGCTGCGCTTGAAAAAGTGGTAAGAAGCGATGATTCTGATAATCCGAAAGATTTTTCTCCGAGTACACAGGGTCTTTTAAGTCCTTCACACACCAACTTTTTATTGCAACTACTTTCTTGTATTTCTTTCGACCTTAGGAAATCCTCAAAATGATCTCTGGGCCGATAATAGTTATGACCGGTACACCCGGTACCGGAAAGACCAGTACGGCCCAGCTTCTCGCCGCATCTTCTGCGTCCCTCGACCCCCCATTCTCGCTGCGGCATATCAATGTCGGCGATCTAATCAAGGACAAGTCACTACATGACGGGTGGGACGAAGAATGGCAGAGCTGGAATGTGAACGAGGATAAGGTGTGCGTTGTTCCTTGATCAAGAGAACATGGAAGGCGACGCTGAAGGGCGGTTAGACTGGATGAGCTGGAGCGTATTATTGAGGAACGACCAGCTGGCGAGGGCTTAATACTGGATTGGCACACTTGCGATGCCTATCCTGAACGATGGGCAGACTTGGTTGTGGTTTTGCGCTGTGATCATACCACGCTCTGGGAGCGATTAGAGAAGCGGTACGTCTGCTCTTATCTACTGTTTTTTGCGAGGTTTCATACTCACATTATGCAGAAATTACCCCCTGAACAAAATTCAAGAAAACAACGAGTCAGAGATCATGCAAGTCGTTCTAGACGAGGCACTGTTGAGCTACCCGGCGGAAATTGTGGTCGAACTCAAGAGCGACACACCGGAGGACATGGAGAACAACGTGGACAGGATATTGCAGTGGGCAAAAGTGTGGCGGGAGGAGAGAGCACAAGAAGAAGAGAGGTGATTGGCGCGAGGATATGTACTACGGAGCTAGAACCACCGCTTGAATTTGGTAAGCAACACGTCTGCTTCTTACTGTCACCTTAACTGAAGATGAATACGCCTTCAGGTTGTCTGTCGTCGCCTGTTTCCAGCATATCCCACTATGTCAATGCTTTCATGAGCTCTCACGAATGCTTCCACGCCCTATTTTGCTACAGGCTTTAGACTCTGCTTGACCGCGTCGTCAAGAGCTGGAGAGGAGAATCCAGCAAGCACTTTTTGGGGCTTAGACGATCATATCAACAGAACCATCTCTCTGGAGTTCTGATCGTACATTGATATTTTGATGTCCATACCGCTTCCATGGAGGACGCTCCACACACGTACACACCGTCCTTCGAAGCGAAGTGAACAGACCGCCGCAAAACTTACTCTTGGCTCCTCTTTCGGGCTAAGTAAAGTATCCTCCTTTACATCTTCCGCCCGCTGCTGCCTTATGTCTCAAGTGGTTTAAAGAGTCAAAAACACGCAGCTCCCACATTTAGACGCCGGAAAGATCGGCCCACGCGGAACTCGGTTCTTCATTCCGCCCTGCTTAGGGGTGCAGCACAGGATATAAGGTTCTTTCACTCTTTCCTTTCTCGTCTCGTGAGACACGCTGTTGGTGCAGTACCACCACCCTTTCTGGGGTGCTGCTCATCTGTCTGATACCTTTTGCTGTCATATACCTGGGGTGTAGGACTGGAGAGAATACTTGCACTCAGTCACTTCCCGGCTGATCCTCCCGAGAACAAGCGCTTTGATGTCGTCCGTCAAGAGCTCGGGCGCTTCACAAGCGCCCAGCTTCAGATCCTTCCACCCGGGGCAAACGGCAGTACAAATCCTGGAGGTATTGACCGGAATTGCCGATAATGTCAAGGAACGGCGAACTCAGATAACGGAACTCGGGGCACGGTGCAAACGACTGGGGATCACTTTGGAGAAGGGTAGTCCTTATTGGCGAAGCGAAGAATTGAAGGAGGCAGGGGAAGCAGCACAGGCGTTGGTAGCGCTCACTTCTCTACTGTGTGATACTCAAGGTGTGGACAGGACGCTGGACAAAGTTTTGACGGAATGTCAGGACTGGAAACAGCGCTGGTATGGCAAACAGCTGGTCGACGATGCTTTCATCAAACAAGATTTGGAGACTTGGAGCCGAGATATCTTGCTCGCCATAGAGGAGTGCACGGTAATCGTCTTAACTGATGCCGTAATATTCTGCTCACTGAATGCTCATTTAGATCACCCTTCTTCAAGAGGTCGTAGTTGGACATCAAAGCATGGCTGTGCTCACAGATGACTCAACAACATATGACAACGTTCGAACCTTGGCTGCAGCAAAATTTGACCGCGTTCAGCCCCAAGTACAACTATTGATGGACAAAGCCTGCCAGGTGAATATTTTGTCACCTGCTTCTTTGCTCGAATACTCATTACGTCAGGAGCTGCACTCGTCGGATGCCCAGCTTTCCCCTATTCAGCGGGAGGCGGTCGTTCGGGACCTACGCACGATCCTCACCTCGGATACCGTCCCAGACTCTGTGCGGCTTCCGGGCGAGCTGACTATCGACTACAGTACCGCAATTGTCAACCACGGGTCAGACATCTACAAAGGCGAATGGCGTACTATCGTGCGAGGCGAACCGCGAAGGAAGGTCGTGGCAGTAAAGCGCTTGCGAGATCCAAATCCTAGTGCAGTGCGAGTGCGGGTACGTTGACCACTTCACGCACTCCGAATAAATCTCAAGGCCTGCATCAGAGATTCTTGTATGAGGGAACACTGTGGCGCATGCTCGCTCATGACAACGTCGTGCCCTTCTACGGCATTCATGCCGAAGGTAAGGTAATCGAACTAGTGACTCTTTGGGTGGAGAACCGGGACGCGATGACCTACATCCGAAACGTTCCTGGGTGCCACCGGCGAGCGATAGTCAGTCAACCCATGCTGCTCCCATATCACTCGACTGATCATGAACCATAGATTAAAGGCGCAGCATATGGCATCTCTTACCTGCATCGGTGCAACATAGTTCATGGTGGAATCTGTGGTGTGCGTCTTGTGATCCTCGTGACACCTTCGTCGACTGAATCTCGATCTCAGAGTAACATACTCATCGATGATAGTGGTAGACCCATGATGTGTGACTTTGGGCTAGCGACGGCATCCAACGCAGACGGGGACCTGATCAACGCTGGAGCCTCCACTTCCCAGACGACGACAACCGCACGATGGATCGCCCCCGAGCTCACGTCATTCAACTCCCCGGTGCCCGTTCCAGCAAGCGACGTCTTTAGCTTTGCGCGGACGATCTTAGAGATCTTGACGGGAGAAAAGCCTTTCCCGAAGGAGAAGAACACGTTCAAGCTTATTGCCGACCTGAGGGATGGCAGGCTGCAAGTTGCTAGGCCTGATGCGCCTGAGGTCGTACTACGCGGATTGACGGACGGCGTGTGGGCGCTGATGAATGAGATGTGGAAACAGGATTTGAGGCAGAGGCCGATGATGAAGGACGTGGAGGCTCGGTTGGAGCAGCTTATGTAGTGCCGGTGCGTCTGTGGTTGGCTGTAGAGCTCAGACACAGCGATACCAGTTCAATCTTGTATGAATTTTGGAAGAAATGTACTTGGTTACCAATGAACACTCGCGTCGGTTTGGTTTGCGGGCATCATCCGGACGTCTAAACCATCGTTACGACGTCAGACGCGTTTCAAGTACGTATATATAGATTGGCTAGAATACAAGAGCCGTGCGTTTAGGATGCTTCCCATTCTCTTCCTTCGCGAGGATCCTCCACTACCGTCTGAACAGGTCCAAAGAGCGCTGATAACGAACTTCGAGCGGCCTAAGCTTGGCTGTCAGAGCCCGTGCGGCAACTGTTGGTGCGGGGTGTTCCCCGGGTGTGTGCAGGTCACCGTCGGGTAAGGGCAAGCTTCCCGGTCCGGGCGGGGGGAAGGCGTCACCTTTCCCGTGCTCGTCTAACCAGACGTCCATCTCGTCAGCCTTGTCCTTGAACGGCCGCTTCCCAAGGAGGTTTATCATGTCCTCCCTATCCAAGCATCAGCACTGCTACACCTGACGCATATGAAGAAAGAACGCACCTCGTCAAAACCTCCTTCTGCAGCAACAGCTGCGCAACCTTGACGACCGCGTCCTTCTTCTCGGTCAACAGCTCCCGTGTCCGCACATGCGCCTGGGTGATCATCTTGCGCACTTCGGCATCCAGCATCTCGCCCGTTTTCTCGCTCCAGGGCTTTGTGAACGAGTCCTCGCGACCACGGGCGCCGCCATATGAGACAGGGCCGATGACGGGGTTCACTAGACGCATGCATCAGCACTGACATCCCATTACATATCCTATGAGAAGGCGCACTCACTTCCGTAGTTAGCGCACACTTCGAAGGCCATCTTCGTGATCTTCTGCAGGTCGTCCTGCGCGCCCGTGGTGATCCTGCCGAAGAAGATCTCCTCGCTCACCCTTCCCCCAAGGGTCATGCACATCCTATCCAAGAGCTGTTCGGTCGTATGCAGAAATCGTTCTTTAGGGAGATACTACAATTTTCGTCATGGTCAGCTCTTTCTGTGCCTAACAAGACCTAGGGGGACGTACCTGCGCATAACCGAGAGCACCAACACCGCGCGGGATGATGCTGACCTTCAACAGCGGGTCCGCATGTTCCAAGAACCAGCCGCACACGGCGTGCCCAGCCTCATGATACGCAACGGTCTTCTTCTCATCCGGGGCCAAGACCCTGCTCTTCCTCTCCAAGCCAGCGATGACCCTCTCGATCGCACTGTCAAAGTCCCTGTCCTCGACCGTGGCATGATTATGCCTTGCTGCGTGGAGCGCTGCTTCATTTGTCACATTGGCGATGTCGGCACCTGAGAAGCCGGGTGTGAGGACGGCGAGTTTCTGCGCCAGGGCATTACGGTCCTTTTCCAGTTCTGGGGAAAGCTTGAGCGGGCGAAGATGGACCATGAATATCTGCTGCCGGCCGCCAATATCAGGTGCGTCGACTTGAATATGTCTGTCGAACCTTCCGGGACGCATGAGGGCGCGGTCGAGCACGTCAGGCCTGTTTGTACCGGCGAGGACGACAACATGTTCGTGTGTTCCAAATCCGTCCATCTCCACCAGGAGCTGATTGAGCGTGCTTTCCCTCTCGTCGTTTCCTCCAAAGTTGCCGCCTTTGCCACGCGACTTGCCGATAGCGTCAATCTCGTCGATGAAGATGATGCAGGGAGCGTGCTTCCGCGCCGAGGCGAAGAGGTCTCGCACACGGGAAGGGCCGACACCGACGAACATCTCTACGAACTCGGAGCCGGAGACAGAGAGGAAGGGCACGTTCGCCTCGCCAGCGGTGGCCTTAGCGAGCAGGGTCTTACCTGTTCCTGGAGGGCCGGAGAGGATCGCCCCACGGGGAATTTTAGCGCCGAGTTTTTCGTACTTTTGCGGGTCTTTGAGGAAGTTAACAAATTCCATGATCTCTTCTTTCGCTTCGTCCATCCCTGCTACGTCCTTGAATCGCACTTTGACGTCGTTGTCCTGGTTATAAAGCTTCGCACGGCTCTTGCCTATGCCGAAGATACCGCCAGTACCACCGTTCCCGCGGCCAGACATGGCTCCCGTAGCACGGCGAGAAAGATAGATGAACAAGCCGGCGATAAGCAGGGTAGGTGCAAAGTGGAGCATGGTGCTGAACGCGCTGATCTCCTCGTGGTACGCGACGGGGATACGCTCGCTCTGCGGGATACCGAGTTCTTCCTGGGCCTCGTCCAGTCTGCGCTCGAAGGCTTCTACGCTGCCGATCGAGAAATAGTAGTTCGCAGATCCGGGATGGTCCGCTATCGTACCCGTGGCATTGCTGGTAAGATAGATCCGGACACGGGAGCGGTTGACGACGACGAGCTTGTCGACCAGGCCTTTGGAAAGGAAGGCGGAGTGGAATTCTTGCCAAGTGATCTCCCGCGCTGTACTCTGCGGGGAATAGTAATACCAAGCCAGGTAAGCAGCCGTCGCCGCCAGAGTGATATTCTGCATGCTCATGCCGAACATCGGCTCGTTCTGATTGTTGTTGTTGTTGTTCTGGTTATTCTTCCCCGAACTCCCCGAAGAGCCGCTCCCGCTACCGCTCATCTGGCTTGACAAAGGTCCCTTATCATGGTCCTGTATCCTCGGGCCCTGGTGCTCCCCCTCAGGCGGAGGGCTAGGCTTATCCGACCTGTCGCCGAAAAATCCTGCGAGGGGGTTGTCTTCCTTTTTCTCCACCGGTTGGTCGACTTTCTTCTCCGGCTCATCAACTTTCTGAGCATCTACCTTGGAGTCGGATTTGGATGCTTCGGCTTCCTTGGCTTCGTTGAGCTTTGTTGGTTCCTCGGCGGAGGAAGGAGAAGTGGAGGAAGGAGGCTGGTTCCCATCTGCTATCTTGTCATCTTTCTTCGGAGGCGTAGGTGTGCTTGTAGGAGTGGCATACATGCGGATTGGCGCTGAGAGACGAGCATGTTGGAGCGCCCTTGAATGGCGAGAGAACGCCCGTGGTAGTTGACGAATCATTGCCGGTTAGTGACAGCGAGTGACAGCAAGCAGCGAGTTGAGTTTAGTGGACAGGTGAATGGAAAGATGGGGAGTGCAAGAATTAGACAGCAAAAAGAGCGATCTGAAAGAGGGAGAGATTTGGGAGATGGTGGTCGTCGTCGACAGGAAGGAGATGGTGGTGGTAAGAGATGAAGAGAGAGGAGTACTAGTAAAGGCTTGGTTGACTGCCGACGATGACGAGTCGAACGAACGCGGCCGAACGACCAAAGCGCTGAGCAATGAATGCAAACTGTCTCCGCGGACTTTAGAACCGGGATCAATCACTTCCGGTCACGCCCTTCATCAGGGTCTCTGAGGGCTTATTGCCAGAGACGTCTTCTATTTCATTGTCGGTGATCACAGCTCCTTCCAATTATACTCCTTCTCCCAAGCAGCAGCAGCTCTATAAATCATTCCTTCACCCCACCACGGCCCCACCAGCTGCATTCCAACAGGCAGCTTTACCCCCTCCCCACCTTCTGTCATCCATCCAATAGGCAGATTAAGCGCCGGATGCCCAGTACCGTTAAAGGGGCAAGTGTTAAGTGTCAACCCCGCCGATTTTCCCACTTTGGTAAGGATGCTATCCGAGGGATCCGGGTTGGTGTTAGCGACAAAGGGGGTCGTAGGGGTGATGAGCACGTCGTACGAATCAAACACCTTGTCATACTCTGCGCGTAGACGGCGGTACAGGTTCTGGGCTTTGCCGTACAGGTGCGGGTAGTGTTCTTGCAGGTACACGTTGTTCAGCATCAGATTCTGCGAGATGGGCGAGAACTACCGCATAAACAGCGTCAGAGCTTTCACTCTCTTCCTTCCTGAAGGATGAACGCACCTTGTCCCATTTCTCCTGCGTAAGAGGCCTGATCAACCCCGGTAGATCAGTAAGGTACACCCCTCTCCTCCCGACCTGATTCGCGAGCACACTCTGCTCCGCCATCCCATGCCTCATGCCACTCCATAACACCGGCGACAACAAGTGCATCGGCACAGACACCTCTTCCACTACCGCGCCTAGCTGGGTGAAGCGAGCAGCTGCTTCGCGCACTTTGGCCTCCATACGCTGCTCCATGCAGGGCAATGCGAAGCTCTCCTTCAGCACACCGATCTTCAACCCCTTGATCCCATTCTCCTGAGCATCCCTCACCATCCCCGGGTAGTCTGGTACACCATCAGGTGCAGGTGTTCCCATCTGCCGATCATCAAGCCCGTCCGTACCAGCCATCACACGCAACATGAGCGCGTTATCCAACACACCCCTGCTCATCGGCCCAGTGTAGTCGATACTCGCATCAAGGCTGATGATCCCGGTGTAAGGCACAAGCCCAAACGTCGGCTTCATCCCCACCAGCCCGCAGAACGCCGCAGGCAGGCGTATACTCCCCCCCTGATCGCCCCCAATACCCAGGTCCACCTCCCCCGACCCTACGAGGTACCCGCAGCCCGAGCTGCTTCCCCCAGCTGTCCACCCTCTCGCATACGGGTTCTGAACCGGCCCTGACGCCGCAGTGAAAGACGACCCGGACATGGAGAAGTTCTCGCAGACCGCCTTGCCGACTACTGTCCCCCCCGCTTCGAGGACGCGCTTCACGACCGTAGCGTCGGTCTTGGGGATCCAGTTGCTGAATACGGAGGTGCCGAGCTTGCAGGGGACGGAGGCGACGGTGATGTTATCTTTGATGCAGATGGTACGACCTGATAACGGCCCGGAGATGGGAGGGTTCGCTTGGATCGTCACCTGCCCACTGTCAGGATATACCAATTCAAACTTTGAAAGCAGCGCACCTTATACGCCCAAGCCCCATTATCATTCTCCCCCTCCGCCGGCTCCCGCCCCCCAACCCTGGGGAAACGAACAAAGTCAACTTCAGGCACGTAATCCTCGAGCTTGTCGAGTGCCTCCGCGCTTTCGTGTAGCGCTGCAAGGAGGATGTGCAAATCGGACTCGGCGGCTTGCGTGAGGGTGATCCCGAGCTGGGAGGCGCAGTGCTGGACGTCTTGCACTGTTATGGGAGTGTTTCTGTTATGCGAGAAAGTGGTTGATGGTTAGGGTCAGTGCAAATATACGACACTGCCGGATCACGTACGGGGGTAACGAAACTGAGGCGACCGACATGGCTGGCTCTCCAGAAATACACTCCAGACACCTTGTCAAGAGTTATAAACAGGAGACGAGTATCATCTATGATAAGATCGCTAGGCGGGGTGTCGGATCTACGGTCGGAGATCGGGATTCGGCAGGATAGGTGCTGAAACGAGACCCTCCACTTTGGTAGTCCAATAACGTACACATCATGAGCCGCTGAAAAACATTGATGAAGGGGGTATTAATGGATCCAGCAGGGTAGCGTTGTTGCTGGATGTCGCAAGTATTTATGAAAGACCTTCCGGAATTCTGAAAGGCTGGCTCGAAGGAAGAGTGCTACGTGTCACTCTCAGTTGGCCAATCGCAGATGTGAAGTTACAGACAAGCTCGTGAGGTAGATTCGCCCGTTTAAAAAATATCCAATGCTGGTCACAAGCAATAGATACACCAGGAGAGGTCCAACATAACATGATCTGCCGAGACAGAAGCCTGGAACGTGATGTGATCACAGAACACCTTGGCGGAAGCAGGTGAATGTGAGTCAACATTTCCCTCGTGGCGTTCCTCTGACGTCGTCATGCAGCTAACACGACCAAGGTATTAAGCGCCTGGGAGCTGGACGCCCAGCGCACCCATCTCTCCCTCCCTCTCCTTCTATCTGTATTGGTACACTCCAGCCTGAGGCAACTGGAATCCGTTGTACATACGCCCATCAAACAATATACCCCGTCGGTTGAGTGCGTCTTCCGAACTCCCTGGCTGGCAAAAGGCTCCAGCTTATCTTTAGCTGCACTGTTGCGGGCAACCCATCAATATCTCTTGTGTTTACTCCCTGTCATCCACGCCATGAAGCCCGATTTCCGCTCCCTCGTCGCGGAAGAGTCTGCAGAGCCCTTGTTAGCAGCCTCGAAAGCCGACGAAGGCTCCTCCCAACTACCTCTCTACACCTCCGACGACACCAGGCCCTCTAGGGCATCATGGAAGCTCATCCTAGCTCGCTCCATAATCGTCGGGTGCTTCCTGGCGTTGTTTCTCACCTGCTACTGCTTTCGCTCTGGACCCATATTCCCTGCCTTCAATCCCCTATCCACTTTTGCAGAGCAAGGTGCAACTTATCAGCTGGGCCTGGGGATCGCTGACATCACAGGCCCAATCGTGGAGATCAACATGGTTAATCATTTCACTTATCCCTGAGAGGGTAGTTGTTGATCCACTTGCTTAGATGGGCTACGCAGACCAAAACCAACTTGGAACCGGCCTGCATATGCGTCTTCGTGCAAGAGCGTTTGTGGTTGCCAGCGACGATCTTCAAGATCGATGGGTGCTGATCAATGCCGATATTTGCATGGGTAGCTGTATTCGTTCCTCTACGCATACGTCGATGCTCATCTGTGGTCAGGGGATACCGCCGTAAGGCTCGGTGTTCTGGAGAAGCTAGCAGAGCTGTACTCTGGCTTGTATACAACACAGAATGTAGCCATCGTTGGCACGCACTCCCACGCTGGTGTAGGCGGGTATCTACAGGTACGTGCATTCCACTAGCTATGAGCCTGCTGACGTGCGCATAGAATGTGCTCCCTCAAATCACCTCCCGAGGCTTTGTGCGCGAGAGCTACGATGCAATCGTGCAGGGTATCGTGCTCGCCGTCCAGAGGGCACACGAGTCTCTCAGGCCCGGTAACCTCGAGCTTGGGGTAACAACCCTGTTGGATACGAATATCAACAGGTCGCCTTATGCATATAATGCGAACCCTGAAGAAGAGCGTGCAAGATATCAGTATGATCAAGACAAGGTACTTTTCGCGTCTGCCTTATTAAGCATGTTAGTTTATCAGCATACAGGACTTCGTCCTTCTCCGATTTGGGGATGAGGAAGGGAGGGATAGGGGTTTCGCCTCGTTCTTCTCCGTTCACGGTACTTCGCTGTTCGTGGATCTCATTGCCATTTGATCTGCTCTCACATACATCGCAGGTATCGGAACAACACGTTGATATCTGGGGATAACAAAGGTATGGCAGCGTACCTTTACGAGAGCTATATGGAGCCAGACACCCCACCCGGAAACAACACGTTCGTGGCTGGCGTACGTTCTCCCATGCTCATGTCCTTCTGCACTAACATTAACGTATAGTTCTTCCAAGCCAGTGTTGGAGATACGAGCCCTAATACTTTTGGAGCTTTTTGCGAGACGGGTGCCGATGCCGGCAAACCTTGCTCATATATGAACAGCACTTGTAATGGTCAAGCGCAAGGCTGTCAGGGAAGGCAAGGACAGTCGATTCTCTGGAGATCCAGGTCCTCACCCTTTGCAGAGGTCCTGGATGGCAGGTTTCTGACTATGAGAGCAATCGGATAATTGGATACAGTATGTTGCTCCTATATTCGGGTTATGGAAAAATCCTAACGGGTAAACGTCAGATCAGTTCCAAGCGGCGCGAAGCGTCCTGAGCAGCCTAACACGAACCAACCTTTCTGGCAATGTTCGTGCCGTGCACCGATATGTTGACATGTCAGTAATTTCTTTATATCGCCCCGCACAATATCTGACATTGCAGCAGGTCAGACTATCAGTTCAAGCTGTCCAATGGATCAGACGTGTCTACTTGTCCTCCTGCCTTGGGGTATGTTCCTCTTCCATGTTGTTTGGCTCACTTCTCAGAATTATGCAGCTATAGCTTTGCCGGCGGTACCTCAGATGGTGAGTTTAGTGTATAAAGCGAAGGGTTCATACTCACGTGCGTAGGCGCCGGAAAGCTGGGCTTCACCCGTGGGTTCTATCCGAAAAGATCTGAGACCCATCGTTAATGCGTATGTAGAGAACCGCAATGGCACGGAAACGAACCCCTTCTGGCAGTATGTGAAGGTACAACTCTCTCGACGTGAAGTGACAAGGAGACGGGCTAATTTGAACCACAGGGTGCTATCGGAGGCACCCCTACTGCCGATCAAGCGGATTGTCACTTCCCAAAGCCTATCGTGAGTCAGCAGGCACAACATACTAGCCATTTGCTGACATTGTCGGTCAGCTCTTCAACACAGGATTGTAAGTCATGTACTCATCACCGCGCTCCTTTCTCATGACTTGTTCTAGTGCGCACACGCCCTATGATTGGTCCCCGTCGATCGTCGACATGCAGATGTTCCGTATTGGGCAGATCATCATTCTGATCGTTCCAGCGGAGTTTACGACCATGGCTGGTCGCCGATTGATGTCAGTACCAAGCTCGTCGCATCCGACTCGCAGCCTAGCCTTACTACTGTGCAGGGAATCGGTCCATAACGAGCTCTTTACGCAGGGCGTTGTTGGCGAACACTCTCGTATTATCCTCACTGGTCCAGCGAATACTTATACCCATTATGTCTCGACGCCGGAGGAATACAGGTAAGCGTGTCAATCAATGGCATCTTAAGTTCTTTGTTTAGACGACTCTGTGCAGGATCCAACGATATGAGGGCGCATCCACGCTCTTTGGTCCATGTCGGTTGTGTTTCAGTACTAAATCGATCTTGTGTCTGATGCTCTGCAGGGACGCTGGATGCGTATAAGAGCATTTTTACCTCTCTCGTATCGTATGTCGCCGACACAGCAATGCCTATCCCAGATCCTGGTCCATCGCCTCCCGACCTTCGATCCCAGCAGAAGTCGTTCCATGTATGTGGGTATCCTCTGGCATGACGCATGTATGCTCATCAACTTGGTGTAGCTACCTGTGGTGAATGACAATGCGCCATCCAGCAAATCATTCGGGACGGTGCTGGAGGACGTGGAGCAGAATCGAACCTATCATCGTGGCGAGTCCGTTTCTGCTAGGTTCCAAGCAGCCAATCCGCGGGTACGTGAAAAATGAGACTGGCCATAGTTCCTTCTCCTGACATGCTGCCGTAGAATAATCTTCGCTTAGAAGACACGTATCTCCGTGTCGAAGTTACGGACGGAACAACGTGGAAAACTGTTCGAACAGATTCTCACCCATCGACCGTATTTGAATGGACGAGAACCTCTGTACTACTTGGAACAAGTGAGGTGAAGGTAGGCACTTGTCTCTTGCATCCTGTATCAGGCATATTGATAATCCGAAACAGATCACATGGACGGTAGAAGATGCCACTCCTCCGGGAGTCTATCGCCTACGCTATTTTGGTGACTCCAAGTCTATTTTCGGTCGTAATACGGTTCCCTTCGAAGGCGTCTCTTCATCCTTCTCAGTCTCTCTCTAGCAGAGTCGGATTTCCATGAGGTTGCTGCATGTATTGTCTCATCCTATGCCTTGTACAGTAGCACCCATTGTATCATTTGCAATCTAATGGCATCCTCTGGAAATGTGTGCATCGAAGGGCAAGTTCCGTGCTTTCTGGTAAAGTGTTCTCCAAGCTCTTCAGTTTTCAAAGGAGGAAAACAGTGGTGTGTGCTCACTGGCGGTCAAGCATCTTTACCTCACTCTAGACAATCAATCCAATTACATACAGTCGACGGAGATCCTAGTGTGTAAGACAAATTGGGAAGGAATGTACAGAAAAGGGAGTGCCTCCGATTGTGATGCACACAAAGAGCACGGGATGTGATTGGGCAAGCACGTGACCGTGATAAGTGCGCGTCCGTTCCCATAAGAACCCAACCATGGTTCAGCCTGAGCTCTCCCCCTCACCCACCTTCATCGACTCAAGCCCTCTCAGCCTTTCCCCTGTCTCAGACCTGCGCTCACCTGCATACCCTGTTGGACTTCATATTCTCCCATACTAGTCAAGGTACGCACCTCCTTCGTTACTCTCTCCCCCCACACATATGTCTCATGTTTCTCCCTATTGTAGATGCCCAAAGCTGCCACCCAAAGTCTCACGAAGACTACCAAGTCAAAGTTGCCTAGCACCACCAAGTCTTCGGCAAAGTCTACCTCTAAGGATACTAAGACCACCGGAAAGACGAAAGTACCTAGGGTGAGCTCGCTGCCGTTACCTGATACGACGCGTATATGCTGACAGCATATATGCGTCTCAAGGGTAAGAAAGAGAAGGACCCGAACGCGCCAAAGGGTGCCAAGAGCCCGTATATTATTTTCTGCCAAGATAACAGGGAGGAGGCCAAGAAAGAGGCTGAGAACACCAGTAAGTTGCCACAGCACGGGGTCATTCGCGTACTCAATATCCTCCAGGGGAAATAATGCGCATACTTGCAGACATGTGGAAGAACTTGTCAGAACAGGATAAAGAGGTTCGTGATAACAGTCACTTATCACCGATCACCACTGACATCGTTGTTGCAGCCCTACAAAGCTAAGAGCCAAAAGGACAAGACGAGGTTCGAGCGCGAGATGAAGGCATACAAGGGCAAAGAGGTATGGTGCTACGATGTGCTACACAGAAGGCTTGACTAAGCTCTTTCTGCAGAACCGCTCTGAAGATACGGATTGAGCTGGCTGCCGCTCTTGCCGTATGTTTTCGCTCCTTCTGTCCTTCCCTTTTCAGGTCTTTTCTCTTCTCTGTTGTATGATTTCTATGGTTTCCGGATTCAAGAATGCTTCCCTGTCATGGTGATCAACATGTAGTAGTAGTCCAGCAAACATGTAATCACGCGTAACGGTGCGCATATATGCTGGCCCATATCATGGCTGAATCAGAACTGGGAGTTCGTCGTTCTCTCGCCTACAACCGCGAAACTCACCGAATCTAGGATGCATTAAAGTTCTCTTCTAAATAATCGACAAACTTTTCCGCTATCTTGCCCTCACTCCAGTCCATCTCCGCTCTGCCAACGACACTCTGCGACATCGCCTTCTTGTGCGCTGTAATGAACTGGCGCTTGAGACGCTGCAGCTCTGCTGTCGTCACGTTCCGGTTTGGAAGCGCCAAGGTGAACTTCAGTACCGGGGAGAGTGGAAGATTAACCGCGCCACCGAAGTCGGGGGATGGTAACGATTGTTGTGCGGAACGGATCAAGCTGACGAGAGATGTTGTTGTTTGCTCAAGCGTGTGGAGAATGTCCGTAGGCGGCTTCGCGGCCTAGAGGCAGTGTCATTCATCCACATCCCATTAGGCAAATCTCATGCCCTTACAGTCTCGGTCGCCCGATTGGGCGGTCTCTTCACCCCACTCATGATAGCTTGCCAGATCGCATCCCCAGGCACATCCTCATCATCGCCGGCGACAGTGAAGAGAGGCGAGTCCCACCGAACCATGGAAGACGGTTCCTCGTAGCGCGTGATGAGATTATCCAGTCTACACGAGCCCAAATCCGGCGTCAGTCCGTTTTTCCCAGTCAGGAACGAGAATACAGTACATACGTGGCAGGGTCATAACGTTCCTCCGCCGGTCGAGCATCGTGCCATTCTTTAGCTTGTTCCGGAGTACAAGCGACGAAAACCTACTAGATTAGTAGTAAGAGACGGTCGCACGCAAAGGGCTATAGAATCAGGCATACGGTACAGACCCTCACTCCCGCTTCACGTGCTGCACAATAGATCTGGTAACGGTACCCCTTGATGTAGTTCATCCCGTCTAGTATCAGCAACGTGTCCTTGCTGAGACGTCGGTTGATCGCTGTCAAGTAGGCAGCACGCGCTGGCTTTTCGACCCGTTGATCTGCGCAGCCGTCAGCCTCCACAAACTGAGGGTGTGTGAGAATGTACGCACCGTTGTAGACGGCACGATCAATATTCAAGTCCGTGTCGCTAACCACCGATACATTGAGCTTCGGCCCTTCGTAAGCAGGATCCTCAAGCCTCTGCTCCAGATAGCTCTTGAGCTGATGCGCGCGGCGTGACTTCCCCGAACACGGATACCCGGAGATGGTGATGCAAGCCATGGAGATTGTGAGGTAGATTCGAGACCAGGAGAACGAGAAGTCGAGTGGCACCCTTCGCTGGAGCGATGGTTTTGCCAGCTACGAGGCAAGAGTGTATGAAGCGTGAGGCTGCGCGCTGTTGATAATAGAACCAGGTGACGGGCCGAGTGTAAGATGCCAGGTCAAGTGAACTAGCACAATCTGGCAAGAGAAGAGGACCGTCACCAGATTGTGCGAGTATAGACTCGAGGAGCGGCGGTTGAGATGGAAGTCCTCGGAGTTCCGGCTGAGACGGGATCGAACGCCACCCCCGCACTCACGTTTGAAGTTTCTTTCCATTCACTCCGCATTCACTCACCACACTCGTGGGTGTATTGTACCCAGAGCAGCCTCGATCGTTATTACTCCGTATTGACTTGTCCCGACCGCCGGCCGTAGCCATTGTTATTTCCGTCTCTAACCTGTGTTTGATCCTCGAATGACCTTTTTTGCGGGGTAATTCGCCCTGAACCATGTGCAACGACCTTCTCTTGCATGGGCGCGTGGATCTATGTGGGGATCCCTTGCCGAGCCTTCGGCGTTGGATTGGTTCGTCAGCTATCTGAGTGGGTGAGCTATTCCTTGGAGGCTTCGATGGTTCTTCCTTGCTAAAGTTGCCATGTCTGGAAGGCGCCCTCTCGTCCTGTGATATGGAACAGTGTTGCTCCTCTTATGCTTATGCGCAAGGCCTTCGTCAAGACTTGTCTATTGTCTGGACCTCTCTTGTGCGAAGTGTGTATCACCTACTGGTGGACCGGCGGCTCGTCGTGTGCTCATGACCGGATGACTACTCGGCCCAAACTGTCAATGATCCTGACCTATGGACCAGCATTGCCTCGTCTATCTGATATTAGGCATCCAATGACTACCGCTTTTCGTGCTGGAGACTGTATCCTACCTCGTTCTCTAAAGTCTGTTTCGTTCTTCAGCGCCGTTCTCCGAGGACCTGCCTTTCTCAGCACTCTTCCCGGCTTCTGTGCTCATGTGGGGCCCCAGGGTAGAATCCCGCACCAAGGCTTCCCCTTCTCTCTCCAATATCTGAACATGATCGAACCATAGTATTAACATCAGCTGACGATGCTCCGGTATTGTTATATCTCAAAGCCGCCTCCCGCCGGACCCGAAATGGGCAACGAGAGAACGATCGGTCCATTTTTGAACCGCCCTTTCGACTCTGAATGGTATAAAGCACGGCGATTCTCGCTTGTTGAGCACCAAGGTCGTCCAAGACTCCATTATCCCGGAATCCCTACCTCTTTTCTCTCAAGCTTAACATGGGTCAAGTCAAGGAAGTCGATGTCATTGTATGCGGTGGTGGTCCCGCTGGTTGTGTCGTTGCCGGTCGCCTGGCCTTCGCCGATCCCAATTTGCAAGTCATGCTCATTGAGGGTACGTTGTATGATTGTATTACCCGTCAATTACTCATTGCCCCACAGCCGGTGCCAACAACAAGGACGATCCGTGGGTCTACCGCCCTGGTGTCTACGTCAGGAACATGCAGCAGAACGGAATGTATGCGCTCCTAAACCTATCTCTTTCCTCCATAGACTAATGGATATAAAGCAACGACAAGGCTACCTTCTACGTTGACACCAAGGAGTCTTCTTACCTCCGTGGCCGTCAGTCCATCGTTCCCTGCGCAAACATTCTCGGAGGTGGTAGCAGCATCAACTTCCAGATGTACACTCGTGCTTCTGCTTCTGATTGGGGTGCGTATATTATTCGGAAATGTCAAAATCAAGCTGACTCGCCGAAAAGATGACTTCAAGACTGACGGCTGGAAGGCTAAGGGTACGATTCACCTCCTGAAGGGTCATATATATCAGCTGACGCCCAATTATAGACCTTCTCCCTCTCATGAAGCGCCTTGAGAACTACCAAAAACCCTCCAACAACAACACCCACGGCTACGATGGCCCTATTGCGATCTCCAATGGTGGTCAGATCACCCCCCTCGCTCAGGATTTCCTTCGGGCCTCCGAGGCTATTGGTGTCCCCTTCAGCGGTATGTAAAGTGACATCATCACGTGCAACCATACTAACGCATTCGCAAGACGATATCCAGGACCTCGACACTTCCCATGGCGCTGAGATTTGGGCGAAGTACATCAACAGGCATACGGGTCGCCGCAGTGACGCCGCTACCGCTTACGTCCACAGCGTGATGGATGTGCAGAACAACCTGCACCTCCGTACCAACTCAAAGGTCGCTCGTGTCATCTTTGAGGGCAACAAGGCTGTCGGTGTCGCCTATGTTCCCGCTAAGGGCCGCACCCACCTCAATGAGGTCCACGAGACCATCGTACGTGCTAAATATGGTCTCATCCCTTTGAAAGTCGATGTTTAAGCGAACGGTTTCAGGTCCGCGCTAGGAAGTGCGTCGTCATCTCGTCCGGCACCCTTGGCACTCCCCAGATCCTTGAACGCTCTGGTGTCGGTGATGCTAAGCTCCTGAAGAGCCTCAACATCCCCATCGTCAGCGACCTTCCGGGTGTTGGTGAACAATACCAGGACCACTACACCACCCTGACGCGTACGTGCTGGCCTATCACCATGATAGCATCTAGCTGACTCCATTGACAGTCTACCGTGTGTCCAATGAGTCTCTTACCACCGACGACTTCCTCCGTGGTGACAAGGAAGCCCAAGACAAGCTCTTCGCACAATGGGAACACAGCCCTGAGAAGGCGCTCCTCTCTTCTAACGCAATCGATGCTGGCTTCAAGATCCGTCCGACTGCTGAGGAGCTCAAGGAGATGGGTCCTGAGTTCAACGCACTCTGGGACAAGTACTTCAAGGACAAGCCCGACAAGCCAGTTATGTTCGGCTCCATCGTCTCCGGCGCATACGCCGACCATACCCTGCTGCCCCCTGGCAAGTACATCACCATGTTCCAGTACCTCGAGTATCCCGCCAGCCGTGGAAAGATCCATATTCAAAGCTCGAACCCGTACCATGTCCCCAACTTTGATTCTGGCTTCCTGAACAAGAAGGCCGACTTTGCTCCCATCCGCTGGAGCTACAAGAAGACCCGTGAAGTCGCGCGTCGCATGGACGCCTTCCGTGGCGAGCTCACCTCGCATCATCCTCATTTCCACCCTGCCTCCCCGGCCGCGGTCAAGGACATCGACATCGAGACTGCTAAGCAGATCTACCCCGATGGCCTCACCGTCGGTATCCACATGGGCACCTGGCATCGTCCTGGCAAGCCGTACGACGCCAGCAAGGTGCACGAGGACATCAAGTACACGCCTGAGGACGACGAGGCGATCGATAACTGGATCGCAGACCACGTCGAGACCACCTGGCACTCTCTCGGTACTTGTGCGATGAAGCCTCGCGAGCAGGGTGGTATCGTTGATGGCCGTTTGAACGTTTACGGCACGACCAACCTCAAGTGTGCTGATCTCTCCATCTGCCCGGACAACCTCGGCACCAACACGTACTCGTCTGCCCTGCTGGTCGGTGAGAAGGCTGCAGATTTGCTTGCGGAGGATCTCGGCCTCAAGCTGAGGATTCCCCATGCCCCGGTCCCCCACGCTCCCCTCCCCAAGGGTAAGGCCTCTGCTGCGCTTCCCCGTTATTCTGCTTGAGCCGTTGGTCTCCTGACGTTCTACCCCGCATGTACTTGTTCCGATTCTTCCCAAAGTTGGTTGTAGTTGTAAAATTGCGAGTCTATGAATTGCCGTGCTTGTTTCCCATGCATTTATGAAAGCAAATGTCAACAATCTTGCCAATGATCATCGACCATCTTCTGATAGACCCTGACCGGCTGCTGTCAGTATCTCGGTACCGGCGAGAAGAATTCCATCATAGAGGTGCTGGTGGAGGGGATTTGCTGGCGCTTGTTACTGAAAGCCCTCGATCGAGGACATGAAGTTAACAAATGTGATGCAGTAGATCTACTCTAGAGCCCTGCCGTGATTATGAGCCCGATATGACCCGGGAATACGGAAGAATAGAGTTGCCGGATATTAAGCCAAGTCGACCCTGAGTACCATGCGACGTTTGCCGTCAGTGCGCGGGGTCCCCGCATTCGCTGACCATCACCCGCCGTCGGTCATCCGGAAGGTGCTTGTACGACACGTATATTTCTTTCGGTCTCCGTTAACTTTGCTTAACTCTCTGTTCCCTTTTCTCCACTTTCCCTGGACGATGTCTCAGCCTGCTGCCAACCTTGCTGTACCTGGATTTGCCCCCACCGCGGCCAGCATTCCTCCGAAGGATGTCAACTACCGCCGGCCGATGGCAAAGAATCAGCCGGTCTGGCATACTCCTCTGGTCAGTCTTTATCACGAGTCAATCACATTCCAGGGGAATTGTAAATGCCTCTACTAGGATCCAGTCAACTTCCTCTTGCGGGCGGCCTTGATTTACCCTAAGAAAGTTGCTCTTGCGCATCTTGACGTGCCGTATCCGGTTTCCTACACGTATGATGTTTGGGCCCAGCGAATCCAGAATCTAGCGTATGCACTCATAGAGTCAGGTATTAAACCGGGCGATCGCGTAGCCGTTATTGCGCCGAATTGGTCTGTCTCTGCTACAAGCACGTCGATCTCGTCTGACCGCAATGGGGCTGTTTCAGTCCTATGATGGCAGATGCGCATCATGCGATCTTAGCTGCACGTGGTATCATCACACCCCTGAAGTAAGTACTTCATCTCCTACTCGTCCTTGGTGCTCATATCACCCAGTTACCGCTTAACGAAAGGAGAGATCCAGTATATCCTAGAGCACAGCGGGGCGAAACTCATCCTCTGCGACCACGAATTCACGCATCTGCTGCCGGAAAATCACGCTCCCGTTATCATCAGTCAAGATACCGGTCGTGTAGGCGATCCGTACGAGGACTTCCTTGCGAGAGGACGCCGGTTCAGCCAAGAACGAGGCTGGTCAGGCTTGCCTATTGAGCCAGATGAGAACGCAGGTTCTTGCTTGTGCTATACGTTAGTCCGTTACTGTCCCATATTTCTGTTCTAACTTGATGTTAGATCCGGGACGACCGGACGAGTGAGTTTCTGTTCTTTCTGACTAAGAAGGGATGGTTGATGATTGCAACAGCCCAAAGGCGTCTTGACGACCTATCGAGGTTCGTACCTCGCAGCAGTCGCCAATGCCTACGAGACGAAGTGCGCCCTTGCCGTTCCGGTTGTCAAACACGTCTAACGATCTCTAGGATGGACCTGTATTCTATCTACCTTTGGTTAGTCATGGATCTCCGATGCATATAGTTGCTTACGCCAAGTTCAGGACTTTACCGATGTTCCATGCCTGTGGTTGGACATATCCCTGGGCTATCACCTTCTCTTTCGCATCTCAAGTCACTTTGCGAACTGTCAACGTAAGAATCCCTCGACCACAACAGAATTAATTATCACTAACAAGTCACAGTACGATCTAATCTGGAAGAACTTTAAGAATTCCCGTATTTCCCACTACTGTGCAGCCCCCACAGTCCAGATTGGTATCGTCAACGCCCGTCATGCCAGTTATGTCGAGCAGCCGCTTCGGGCTATCATTGCCGGTGCCGCCCCCACTGCGCATCTCATCGGTTCCTTGGAAAAGATTGGCATATCCGTCTCTCATGTGTACGGGCTAACCGAGGTCCGTTTTCCTGGACGTCTATTCTTTATGCTCATGTTTGGGAAAAGACCTACGGGCCATTTACGATCTCGTACGACCGGCCGGAGTATAAAACCCTCACGGTGGACGAACGCTCTGTGTTCTTCGCGCGGCAAGGTCACTCTTTCGCTACAGCAGACGAGATCCGCGTCATCCAGCATGACAACGACAGCAAGGATCTTGTCGACATCCCCAAGGACGGCGTCGTCCTAGGGGAGATCACTGCGAGGGGCAACGTGGTCATGAAAGAGGTGTGCAGACAATCATTTTCATTGTTGGGATTTTCTGACCACGCTTCAGTATTTCCGAGATCCTAAAGCCACCGCGGAAGCCTTCAAAGGCGGATACTTCCATTCTGGAGATCTCGCCATCTGGCACCCGGATGGCAGTATCGCCGTCCAGGATAGGTCGAAGGATCTCATCATTTCCGGAGGAGAGGTACGAGTTCCGTATTGCGCGAGACTCTTGATTGAGCCAATTGATAGAACGCCTCTTCCCTCGCTATTGAGCAAGGTATGTTGGAATACGACACAATCATCCTCGGTACTAACATCTGTGTAGTTCTATCCAAGTTCCCACCCGTTTTGGAGGCAACGGTCGTGGCTCGCCCACATGAGAAGTGGGGCGAGAGGCCGATGGCGTTCGTCATCTTACACTCGCATGAAGAGGGCAAATGGAAGGGCAAAGACAAGGAGTTTGAGATAGAACTGAAGAAGTTTGCTAGACAGAGTTTGCCGGGGTTCGCGGTTCCTGAGTGGGTTGCTATCGTGAAGGAGCTTCCCAAGACGAGGTACGTCGTCCTTGTCTTTCAGGAAGAAGCTCCATGACTGACGGCCGTCCAGCACGGGTAAAATCCAAAAGAATGTGAGCCCTGTTCATTTACTTGGTCTTCCCCATCTGACAATTCTCTAGATCCTTCGCCAACGTCTTGCCAAACTTTAGAGTTCACAATGGGAAATGGGCGTATACATTGGCACGCTTGGAACTTCTAGGTATATAGTCAACTGTACAAGGTCCAACACGTTCCGGATAATGCAGAAGACAGGAAGCATGCAGTGATGGATGTATCGAACAATGCGTGGACTAAGCGAAACCACTGGAAGAGACACAAGACGAATAAGTAAGGGTAAGGAAAAATAAAAGCCTATGGGAGTCTATGCAACGGAGGGCTGTAGGCAAATGACGCGGAACATGTGCGCACTGCGCGTGCACATGTAAACGCGACTCCCCTCACGCCCCAGATAGGAGATAAATTGATTATTGTGATAGTCACGGCCTGGTTGTGTAGCCGAGCGGATTGGCGAGTTGATTACACCATTCAGCTTCGCTGCGGCCAAGGCTCGAGGATCCGTAGGGGAGGCAGAGTTCGGGCCAGCAGAATCGGCATTTGAAGGAAAGGGGTCTGCAACATCCCACGACCATGTCAACCGACGACTATAAGACCCAGCCGCTGCCGGGGCGATACCGGCTGTGGTAGAAGGGGTCAGCAGGGCATCAGCGATGTCGACTGCTTCAAGTCCTGAGTCTCGAATAGCAACAAGTACAGCACCATTATTGTGGCCATCAAATGCTTCAACCTTCTGAACGTCGCCGAGTCCAGCTGGACGTCGAGCATATTTATCCTTCAGAGCAGATGTAGAGGGCGAGGACCAATGGAACTTGTCTAGAAGAACGGATTTCCCTTTGTGGTCCACGATGGCTGTGCTCAATCCACCACGAGAGCAGAAAAAAAGCGAAGGTGGTCCATAGTGTGACGGCTGGGCAAGGAGAGAGACAGGGGGTAAAAAATAGTCCTCCAAGGTAACGGTGCTGGACTCCGGAAGTGTCTGTAATAGTCCCTCCCTAAGGCTGCCACGTCGAGGCCACGAGTTCATAATGCCATGCCAGAGATCTGTTACGTGATGAGTACGAGTGCCTTCATTCCTATCCTTATAGCATACGTACTGTACATATACTCAGCTGGCGGCTGCGTAACGTCCCTATCTTGATCACTGTCATCTTTCTCCAGATTATTTTGCAGCCATTCTTTGTGTTTGACAAATGACGGATACGAAGGGGGAATGATCCAATCTTCTGCCAAGGTTCCCAGAGGGAAAGTGGGAGAGAAGAATAATTGCTGAAACGTCGTGTAGGAGGGAGCACTGGGGCTCGACTTCTGATTCGGTCCGCGCAATTCAGTTCCGTTCGTGGTTCCTTCAAATCCAGTGCTCCGCCTGCGTCTCCTCCGTCGGGCACCCTCTCGATCCAAGGCCGGGCCAGCGGTGACAGTGGATGTCACTTTCGTAGTCAAAACGGGGGCCTGTGTGGAATAGGGAGGTGGCGGTGGCAGGAGAGACTGCATTCTGTTCGGTGTGGGATCGGGGAGAGGGAAAGAATTAGCAACAGGGGTCTGTTGTACGTTGTTCAGCTCTGCAGCATCGCTCCCAGCCCTTTCTCGTTCTCTGCGTCTCCGTGCGGCCCGTCGTTCGGCCCGGGCAATGTTGACTTGACGCACGCGCACGCTGGCAGGCTCCAAAGCAAAAACACTATCTGAGAATATTAAGAAGAGCTCGGCCAGATCTTCGCCCTGGACTTGCAACTCCAATGAGAGAGGAGAATCGGGAAGGATGAATGTTCGAGCCAGAGACAATGAGGCAGATTTGGACGACCCCGTGAAGAGCTCAACCTTCTTCCCATCTTCACCACACAGGATGGCAAGGAAGCTAAAGGACCATTGTTAGTGAAACGGCAATTGTGGATTGAATTGATTTCGCACCTCTTTCGGTTCGTTTGCACCGACTTGATCAGGTAAGCGCCTCTCGTTCCTTCTAATTTAATGTGCTCCAACTTCCCGTTCGCCTGGATATAACCTTGTCCTTGAGGGGTCGTCGCTCCATTTCTTTTCGGATTCGGTTCAGATGAGCCCTTTGGCTTGAAACCATTCGTGAATAGCCGAGGGAATAATCCCCTCGAGTGACGAGGGGTGGCAAGGGGGGTCGTAGAAGGAGGGCGCGGGGGTACAGACGGTGGTCGGCTGGGTGGAAGTGACGGGTTAAACTCAGAGAGAGCACTTTCAGGGGGCACCATGGGTGATGTGGGGGGCGAGCTGGTGAGCAATCCGTTCCCTCCCAGGAGAGACCACCTTTGTCTGGCACTCCTAGGCGTTGTAGCACTTATAGGTGGCGCAAGGTGGACAGCACTAAGGCTGGCTTCGGCATTTGCACCCCAACGCATAGGGGCGGTAGCAGGTGAAATTGTGTCTGGAGACAAGCTGGTCGGTGTTGCCGTACGGCCGGTGGTCACAAGGGTCGTCGCGCCAGTTGTTCTATCGCGCGTGAATGTAGTGTTCTGCGGTAGCCTGGTCCCAGCAGGTGGTAGATCGGGAATGCGACTGTCTCGCAAGAGGTCGGCAAGGCCGACAACTTCGCGACCAGAGGTACTTGGATTAGTGGAGCGGGCAGGCGTGGGTCCAGCAGCAAGCGCCTCCCGCATGCTGACCATGCTAGGGGCAGGAGACGGCAGAGGGTCCGAAATGAGGACCATCCCATTGTGTGGGCTGAGAGTGTCGAGTTGTAGATCAGCAGGTCGTCTACGACGACCACTGAAACTATTGCTAGTGCTGATTGGCGGAATCGGAGATGGTGTTTCAGTTCGTTCACCAGATGGCCCCGGAACAGAGACATAGCCTTCGTCCTCGCTTTCGCTGTCTGCACGCACTTCAAGCGTCTCATTCTCTACCCATTCGGTCTTTTCTTTGTCCTTTCCCGTGGCAGAGAGGCGGGAAGTGCGCCCTGTACTCATTCGAATGCTGCTCACAGAGGGTTGGTGCGCAAGGGAGTGGACAGGGGAGTCCGCACGCCCAGATACGTTACTCCGTTGCGTCTGCAGTCTAAGGCGAGGCTGAACACGCTGGGAAGATGATGTTGGAGGAACGGGCGGCAGTTTTCCGACAGGTCCCATTGCTGACGGAGACCGAATGGGTGAAGTCGCGCTTTCTGGCCTTGAAGGGACCTTTTTCATCTTGTTCGACAAAGGCTCCATGAGAATGGTCTTCCGCTTCGCACTTTCTTTTTGACGCTCGGCATCCATTCGAAGCTCTATGGCGCGTTTGATGTCAGAGAGAGCATACACCCGTACTCCTTCGCGACGTCCAGCGATTGCAACAAGAAATCCTAGCATATCCATGACGAGAACGCTCTTGAACGGCACCCCGCGAATCAGTGCATATGCCCGTGCTGCTGGTGGGGCGTAGAGGGGAACAACATCCAGACCATCATTATGACAGAGTAGCAAGTAACCTGGACTCAGAAGGCATCCGCTTGTTGGGACGCCTCCCAAATGTGCTGCTGCAAGAAGAGGGGTTACTGGTTTGAGCTGAAGGCCAAGCTCTGTCAGTGATGGCGCCGGTAATGGTGGTGGTGGTGAAGTTGGTGTTGGGTCGATTCCACTATGAGCAGGTGAGCGAGAACGTCCATCAACTCTTCGGCGGCTACTTGGCGGGGTCTGAGAAGGTGCAAGCGGGGCGGGCGGGGGAATAGGCGGCACGGGAGGTGTGTCCAATATTTCGGTAGAGCGGGTAGTTCGTATGAAGTTCAATTTGCCCAAGGCAGTTCGAGGCTGGAACAGAGTCAACGGAGCAGAAATGAATCAACGTATTGTACGCACATCAAATGACCGCCGTCGCGCTTGTCTCTCAGATCTACTGGTGGGCGAAGCATGAGGAGCATCCTCCCGTCTCTCTACAATGGCATCTGCAGATAATCTTGGTGGCGGAAACAATCCGTCTAAAGATGTTCTTCGCATCACGGGTTCCGATACTGTGGACATTCGGGGAAGTGTAGATGTAGGTATAGGATGAGGAGAATCGGAGGATCGACCGGAGGTGGGGCGACTAGGTCCAGCCCCAATGTCCTGAGGTAATGGTGGCAAGTGGTCTCCCTCGAATGATGCATGCGATGGCATAGGGGTACTGAACACGTCGTCCTCTTCGTCTTGTGGATGGACACCTCTGACCGGCGCGTCCACCGCGTCGCTCCATTCTTCCCCCTCCTCAACCTCCATATCCTCTCCCATATCACCCTCTCCTTCTGAATCACCTTCAACTTCCCCATATACACGTGTTGCCTCCGGGTCTGTCACCGCCATCAACAGCCCGTCGTCCGGATGGTCTGCGACCGCGTCGTCGATTGCAACACCAGGCGTATCATGGGTATTCGACGTATGCAGCTGTGTACGGAATGATGCGAGGCGCAAACGATTGTTGAGGGTGCCTTCTGACATGGTGCTGGTCAATTGCCGACTATGCCGGTCGTATTACAGCGAGCGCAGAGTGCGTTCAACACTCCGAGATTCGAGACCAATGAACGAAAGAACAGACTGGTATCTGAATGCTCTCCCCATTCAGGTTCTTATGGACGATGGCTGTACCGGTAGTGGGAGAAGAAAATGAGGGAGTCGGTGCTCGCCAGACGGGGAGTCTGCAATGGGGGGCCGGATAGGAACACGAGCGGCAATCAGTGCAGAAGCCCACATGTCCTTCCCTCCCTTGTGAGGACCAATCCATAAGATTTGACTCCGGTCCCTGCCATCCATACAATTGTTATTCCCACCCGTCAAAAAAGAGTCCTTCTCTTGGTGACAAATATTCCATTGGCAAGCAGACTGGCATGCTGAACTATTGACTGACAATGCCAACTCATCGAACAACCCTTGAGCTGTTCTACACTATCAGCAAACCTCGCCTTCCCCGCGGAAAAACGGTTGCTATGCTCAGTCACGTCCGCGTCATCATGCATCACGTAAACATTCCGTGCAGTGACTTTCGGTCGTTCTGAATGACAACAGTTGGTCAATTGACTTTACAATCAGGTCGGTTAATGGGACCGTAGACATCGTGTCACAGAAAGCAATGCTTGACCATGTGAACATTCATTGCACTGCAAATCCAATCAATAGGTTACGGAGAATCTTCGGAAACAGCCCTAAAACAATTGTGCCAGCATGCCTTTCTTTGGCGGTGTCAAAGGAGACGTCTGAAGCTGCCCTGAACGAATGATCAGCTTGATCAAGCGTCGAATTGTCCAACAAATCCCAACCTTTCGGCATGAGCACACTATCGTTACCTTTAACTGTAACAGGGGAAGCAGCAGAATGAGCTGACGTAATTGGTTAGTCTGACTCTCCGCACGTTTACTTCAAGACATACACTTGTGCACGCGCCCATCGATCAAGATGTAGTGCAGCTTGTCCTTGTCCTGAAGAATACGGATATCGTCAAGAGGATTGCCATCAACCAACTGGTATGGCATTGTCGTTGAGGCCCATATGTGTTGCAGAATACAGTACACGTACAATCAAGTCGGCGTAATAGCCGGGAAGCACCTTGCCCAGCTCATGAGGCCGCATGAACACTGTAATTACATCAGCGCAACCCAGAACAACTTTGTCTCGACACACAATCGCCTCCGAGCTGTGTGTCATGAATGAGTGCAACATGCATCGTGCCCAGAAATTGTACGCACAGCAGTGGCCGCAATGATGGCTTCCATGGGCGTGTACCCGAACAAGTTCACGAAATGTTCGAGGTCCCTCGCATACGTCCCATGCGGAGTCCAAGCAAACCTGGCCTAGTGGTGAGCTTGGTGCGTACTTCCTGCATTGTTGTGCTCACCCATAATCACCCCCAGGGAGGAGCTTGATGCCACGAGCTTTCATGGCCTTCATGGATTTGATTGCTTCCTCAAGCTCATCCTTGTATCCGATCTACTTCACCGTGAATAACACGCTCAATCAAATTTCGAATGTGTCACCTCAATCGCATGCTCTGGTGTACAACCCCATTCGGACGCAGAAGTCAGCTATAGATATTTGAATACACTGTTGGCTTCGCTGCAGAAGGCTTACTGTCTCGGTGATCCACTGTTCAAAATCAAGTCAGCAGAAATGCATGACGTCTCAACAATCAAGTCTCACGTTGATAGCCGGTGCAACCCAAATACGGTCCTTCTTAGATTCGAGAAGGTCCAGTGTCTCTTCATCCGTAAAGCTGGCGTGGTAGATGACGTCCACTCCCCAACGAGCGCTCATCTTCACGGAATCCACGCTCCTGGCATGTGAACAAACGCGTTTACCTTGCTTGTGGGCGGCATCACATGCGGCTTTCGTCTCTTCATCGGTGAAGAAATTCTCATCTGCCATCACTTTTTCCGTGATCTGGATGTCTATTAGTGTACATTGTGTCGCGGGATACGTAATCAAGCTGACCGATTCCCCGGACATGGATAGCTTCACTTGGTCGGCTCCTAAAGCAACGTTCTTCACTGCTCGATAAGTCAATCCCAGACCGTTAATTGGTGACATCGGACAACGAACAAACAGCAATAGTTATATCTTCGGGTCCATCAGCGAAAGCAGATATCGAGTCGATCAGGGCACCATGCCGCCGAGCAATTTCTTGGGCGTTGGCCAGGTACCTTGGTCCGGCTGCCAATAATTAGTCAAATCCATGAATTTGCCATCGCTGACTGTATTTCTCACCGATCTCACCAGCATTGATGGCATCGCGGATCACACAGTCCAGACGAGCTTTGGCAGATGCAGCACCAAAGCACATCGTATACTGCCAATCGATATGAGCAGGCGCATGAAGCAGAGGGAAGAAACTGACACCGTAATCCAGGTAGGTACGAGCGGCTCGAATGGCAAAGATCGTGTGCTCCTCTGGAGGAAGATGTCCTAATCCTTCCAGATCTGGAGAATTGTTCCATCTGATTCATTTCAGTATCGCCGTCATTCCTCGCCAACCTTATCACTTACGACAGATGGGTATGCGCATCACATAGTCCGCTCATCAGCGTGCGACCTTTTCCCTCGATAATGTGAACCTGAGGATCAGTTTCCTTCACTTTGTCTTCGTTGATCTTGGCCGAGACCTTGACAATCCGCTCTCCTCTGATCAGGACATCGCCCGGGAACGGCTCCCGTCCAGTCGAGTCGAGCACCTTCACATCCTTGAAAAGGATCACGCTCTGAGTGCCTTCTTCCAGTCTCTCTAACAAGCAAACATTAACGAAACGGCTCACGTTGCTATCTGTGCCCTTGATCTCGTGTTTCACCGGCAGCAAGGGTGAGTCTGCGTAAGTATTTGCATTGGTGACAGGGATTGGGTGTTTACGGTAAGAGCCTCGGGTTGTAGGATCAGTGTATTCGGTCAATCCTAGCATCGCCAGAGATTCTTCGACGGTCCGTGCAGTAGGTGAGCCAAGCCTGGACCTGGTAGTCACAGGAGAACTCAGGACAGATGGTGCGTAGGACGAAGTCATTGCGCTGGAGAACAGGTGTGTCTAGTCGGGGTGGAAGACTTGCGTTGATGCCATTATCTACCCCAGGATACGCCCTACGGCAGGCGGGCGGGAGAATGTCTGCGAAACAGAAGAGTCGCCGCTCCAGCTTTGATGGTATAGCCGGCTCGGCTTGTGTGCCTCAGTCCCAAATCAAGCACAGTCAGAAAATCAGCTACGGTCGGAAGCCTTCTGTCAGGACACCACCAGCGCATCACATGTACAGCTTGGGAAGGGGCTCATTTGTATTGCCAAAGAAGCACGATGACTCGAGAAGCACGAGGAGGGCAAGGGCGATTGATGTCTGGTGTATTATGCATTGCCAGCAATGCAATGCCATCATCATCTGCGGTTTGAATGGAGCAGCAAACCGCGCTCTTTCAGTGGAGCAACCAGTTCAGAGAAGATAAAATCAGGTCGTAGACCAGGACCTGGCATCTTGTCACGTACCCGCGTCAAGATAAGTGGGCACGTGGGCACTCTTCAGGTAAGCAATTCTCGTCTGATCCCCATCTGGGCGAGTCTCTGCACATGGATGGATAATTGTATTCATAGCTCGAAACGTTGTGGTCCTAGACTGTTCAATCGATTTGAATCAGATCCTTTGCTTTGCCTCTCCTGCTATGCCTACCTTTGCTGCTTTTACACTCTCTGGCTCCAGCAACTTTCCCTTCATCGGCCAAGTCTCACCAGATCGGACAACGATACAACCGATCACTTTGCCCGGACAATCCTCGGTGCTCAATGATCTAACTGTCCTCATTCTTCTATGGGACACTGTCAAAGATGAACTCGAGCTTGGTGAGGCGTTGTCTCTCCAAGACGTGGAGCTCAATGCGCCGTTGCCCTATCGAGACGTACTTTGCGTAGGCAAGAACTATCGGGAGCACGCAGCTGTATGGAGCTTCCATCACCGAGATGTTATCGAAACCTTACTGTTGTTTGTGATGTAGGAGTTTCACGCGTCGGGCTATGATTCCTCGGATAAGGCACTGCTTGCGCTTTTGAATCTCGGTCTGGTCTGAAGATAATCGCAGATTGCCATGCCTTCGCACCCAGTGATATTTACGAAGCGATACACCTCAATCATAGGTCCATATGATGACATTTATGCACATCCACAAGCAACCCATACGCTGGATTATGAGGGTGAACTGGGCGTTATCTTCGGCAAAGCCGGGCTTGGCATCAAGAAAGATGAAGTTGATCTCAATGGAAAGGGTGGGTGGATCTGGGGCTACACGGTTGTGAATGTATGCGAGCTTTTGGAAGTGGCATCAGGGCAATTATCAATCTTTAACAGGATGTGACTGCTCGCGAGCTGCAACGTGATCATAAACAGTTCTTCATTGGGAAGGTACGACCGCACACACTCCAGCGCTCATAGCCTGACGTTGAAGTTTCAGAGTTTGGACACCTTCTTCCCTCAAGGACCATTCGTCATTACCGCAGACATGCTCCCTCCGCCCCATCTTGTGGAGATTTTCACTAGGGTCAATGGTGGATTTCGTCAGAGGGCTACACTTGATCAGCTGATCTTCGACATTCCAACTCTGGTCGAGACCATCAGCAAAGGAATCACAATTCAGTAAGCGAAATCTATTCAGAACGCTCAAGACATCTGAGCCCATCATAGACCGGGAGATCTATTAGCGACCGGTACCCCCGCTGGTGTTGGCTTCGGACTCAATCCGTAAGTGGACTTTTCGAGATTTGTCGCATCTCAGTCTCAAGGCGATTTGGCAGTCCGACCTTCCTCCGGCCTGGTGATGAAGTGGATGTAGCCATCACTGGCATCGGCGTACTGAGGAATAAAGTAATGACGATAGACAAGAGGCCAGCCAAGCCTCATCCTTCGATCCTCGCTGCGTCCGTTCTTCGGGGCAATAGCAATTGCGGTTTGACGAGGATGCGGAGCGGCAAAGATGTACGATCTGCTCTCAAATTGCCGTTGACAAATTCTGACTGCATCACAGTTGTACGTGGAGAAAATGGGAACCGGTCCTCCTATTTTGTTCAGTACGTTCACCACGTCACCAATGTGCTTGATGCTAACACATGATTCACAGTTCATGGGCTGGGCGGCACCGTCAATTTCTACTCTCCTATCGCCAACGAACTCGCCAAGACGAATACACTGATCCGCTACGACGCAGAAGGTGCCGGGAGATCACCGCTGGTCGATGAACTCGTTCCCAACAATAGAGTCGCTCGCAGAGGATGCATCCGATGTCCTCGAATCCCAGTCCATCAAAGGACCAGTGCCTGTTGTTTCCCACTCCATGGGAACGCTCGTTGCTGCACATCTCGCCGCCAGACACCCGAGCCTCATCTCGTCCCTCATAATGCTGGGGCCAGTCAAAGCAATTCCTGAACCAGCCAGGACTGCAACTTTCGGACGAGCGAAGACGGTTCGTGCGAAGGGTATGGGCGCAGTTGCTGATACGATCGTCGCCAATGCGACTGCGCCTTACAGTTCACCTCTGGTCACCAGCTTTGCAAGGGAGATGTTGACAGCACAGAACGCCGAAGGGTACGCAAGACATTGCGAGGCGCTTGCGACAGGGGAGAATCCGGACTGGGTGATGCTGCGAGGCAAACCAATTTTGTGCATCGCCGGAGTCGCGGACAAAGTCAGTCCTGTTGCGATGAGCGACGGGTATGCCGAGTTGGTCGGGCACGCTGCAAATGTCAAGGTCGTTCAAATTGAAGACTGTGGGCACTGGCATTGCCTAGAGAAGCCTGAAGCAGTCGTGAAAGCCATTAAACAGTTTATTTAAATAAAAGAACCAAGAGGAAAGGAATATACATGCTTGGTTTGCTGATGGTACGGAGGCTTTATAAGGACACGTCGCGTCGCGTCTGCTCCTTGCGTCTTACCGCCATCATACCATGGGCCGCCGTCTGAAACTCTTCGCTCCTCGTCCGCTGCTAGACTACCTCTCAGATGCTGATGCTGACCCATCGCTTGAGACCATCCCTCCCCTGCCTCCCCTCTTGTCAACCCCTGAGATCCTTCGCTTGATTATCCAACACTTGAACGCGCCTGCGTTGTCTGCGTTGGCATGTTGCCGCCCGGGGCTGATGGCCCCTGTCAGTAGGCAGCTATATAAGACACTGGATTCGAAACAACTAGAGAAACTAGCAAACAGATTTCTTACGTATGCCCCTGCTGTGAGTCCCACACGTGTCATGTCCTGCACATTCTTATGGTTTCAGCCTGATCCAGGTGCAAACGCCCGTGTAGATCGTTTCCGCCAGCTATATGCGCACCATATCCAGCATCTGCACATCATGACACATTCTACTCGTAACTCTGACGCGCCTATTTCCATCTGGAAACAGCTGCAACGTCTCATGCTGATATGGCCAACTGAAGCATTGTTCCCCAATCTGCGGTCTCTGACTTGTACAGCCGATGAGCCTGAACACGTGGAGACGATGCTCAAACTGCTTGTCGCGTCGCTCGAAGAGCTCAATATTACGGGAAGCTCCTTGTCCATCGGCTCAGAGCAGGACTAGAATGTCCCTGTCAGCTTTCTGCTCGCTGCCTTGCCTGAACGCTGTCCGGTCCTGCGTAAGCTGGGGCTGAACGTGCAGGCCATTTCACTCGATCACGTCGATGGGTTCTCTCACGCTATCTCGCACATGCCGCATCCTACATTGCTGGAATGCGACTACATCGCCTACCACCCGACTGTCTTCCGGCGTCTTGCGAAGCTGTCTCATCTCACGCGCCTGCGGATTGGATGGTCTGCTGAATGTCTCTGGCCCGAGTTTGGCCCGCCTCTCCCTGTTTCAGAGGATCATTTTTCCAAGCTCAAGTCGCTCTGCCTAGGCGGGACAAGCACGGTGCTACTTGACGCCTTAAACTCAGTCCGTTGCAACCTGATCGAACTTGACGTGGGTATAACGCTAACCAAACTGGACGAGCGGCACGGACTCACCTCGCTCGCCGCCAACATCCAGGCGTCCTACTCTAACCTGCGAGAATTGCAGTGCCGTGTCACCGACGCGTCAGAACGTGATGCAGGCAATATGCACCGTCCTGCTCTGCTCGGGTCTTTCCTCAGCTTGAAGCATTTGGAGCGCTTCGGATTCTTGTATACGACGATGCAAGCTGAACAAGAGCAACTGCTGCAGTTGGGAACGAGGATATCTTAGCTATGGCTCGGGGGTGGCCGGCACTCAGAACGCTGCATATCGACCCCCCCTAGCAGAGCCTACGTCACTGACGATCGACTGTCTCGGTGGCCTAGCACTGCACTGCAAATCCCTCGCTTCACTCGAGCTGCCCATGATCTGCGCAGACGATGTCCTCCCCCCACCGTGCAAAGGCACCTCCTCCGTGCTGGAACTAACGCTCCGCCTCAGCTCGTTCACGAACGCCTCTACCTCGCACTCTTCCTGTCTGTCATATACCCAAGTATACGGTTCAAGCACGTGTGTGGGTATTCCGTACAGGTGAAGATGTTGCATGAGATGCTGACCTATGGGAAGGTGATGGGGCAACATGAATTGGGGGCGATCCCGAGGGAGGCTATTGGACACTTGTCGGCGAGGTATAGGGTGCCGTTCATAACGAGCTAATTGCTTGACTCGCACATGTGCAGATGGAGGGGACTATTATTCTTGAGATGAACTAGGGGACGCACAGTTTTTTGTACTTGATAGGAATATAAAAGGTGTAGTGGTCAATGCGTGAGAAAGAGAGTTTCCTAATATGACCAATGTGGGAGAATGTAAACAGGCGTCGATGTGTTGTTCCGCCCTTTTGGCCGGATCGGAACGGATGACATCATGCAGTGCGGGGATAACCACGATGTCGTGACCATGCATATATGACCATCCCATATGTACCTGTAACACTACAACTCACAACTGTCTACTCTCCTCTCACCATGTCTATCCTCGTCCCTCTCCTCATTCCACCACTCGCAAACTTAACTGCAGGTCTAGGTACGCCCTCCTCACTCCCCTCTCCTAAACTCCCACTAACCTTCCCCAGCCGTCGGACTAGCCAATGCCAGCCAAGCCGACAAGTCCTCCTTCTCACTCACCATCGGCTCACATGTATACAGCAACGCCGAGCCCTTCTCCTTCCCCTACCTCCCATACGAACTAAGGGAGGAAATCATCCTCCTCGCCTTGGATGCTTCTCGTTCTCTCCTCCCCCCTCCGTTGCCTCCAGGGCACCCGTTCAACGACCCCGAATCACCTTTCTACCAACATCCGATGAACCCCAACCACCCGCTTTATACGAACCCCGCAACAGGGGAGAGGAACATAAACGGCCTCCCGACGTCAACATGGCGCTGGCTCCTGGTAAGCAGGGAATGGTGGGCTATCCTCCGCCCACACCTCTGGGCACACACCCGACTCCAAGGGCGCTGGGCCTACGGGGGGTTCACCAAGCTTCTCGAGAGGCCGGATAGCAAGGCCGTGCCGGGATTCGTGAGAGAGTTGAGGCTGGAAGAAGGGTTTACGGATCAGGCGCAGCTCTATCAGGCGTTACGGGCCTGCCAGAAGCTGGATACGGTGATATATGCGCCTGAGCCGAAGATAAACTTCGCTTTCCCGTTCGGGGTACATCTCCTCTTCCCTCTGCATGCAACTCTAACGAAGCGCAGATCCATTTGATACCAGACAACCCTGGTCCTTCGTCGTTGACTATCACCCTCCCCCTGGAGCTGATCACCAACCCCCACACTCGGACACACCTCCTGCACCTCCCCCGGCTAACAACACTCACACTCACCTTCTCCCGCTTCACACTCGACATGGCGCAGTTCCTCGCTTCCCTCGTCCACCTGAAAGAGTTGTCTATCCGTATGCCCCGCCTTCTAGGCGCGGAGCTCCTCAACCCGCTGATCGCGGCCAACACGCATGCAGACAACCCAGGCCAGACATTATCCAAGTTTGAGCTACATGTGCTGAGCCGCATGCCTGAGGGGATCCTGGATCCTCTCAGGTCCGAACTGGGGTACTCGACACTGGGAGCGGTGACGACGGTATATAATGGCGTGGGGGAGTACAGGGAGGTCGTGTATGCTCCTACGAGGGAGGCGGTGCTTGCGCTTGCCCAGGCTGGGGAGGAGGAGAGGGAACGAGAAGGGGAGGAGGGGCAGGCGGGTGCTCCTGCAGAGGGAGAGGGAGGGGGAGAGGGGGAAGGGAGAGGCAGGCAGTGGGAGCGGACGACAAACTTGAGACTGTTTGGGGGATTGATTGGCCTGAGGATGGAGGCGAAGAAGAAATGAGCATCGGGATTTACGGGATTTACGGAGTTGGTTGTTTGTTGTACAGTGAGCTGCCTATTTGCTGTTGGAGGTTGCACCGCTGATTCTTGTACAGTTATTTTGTTTATCTGTACTGGGTTATTTATGGATGTTTATTTTGGTCCGTCTGGTACAGAGGACGTGAACAGGTGTCCACGTTCATCTGAGTGAAAGAGAACCTGTTGTGGTGTTCTTTGTGTCGCTGCACATTGAGGCAAGCTGGGATTACGGGGTAAAGTCCTGATCAAGAGCTGTTCTTTTCTTGCTGTTCATCCCAGCGACTTATTGTGAGTCTCTATACATTCTCTAGAAAGTGGTCGAGAGACCTGGATGATCGACGCCGCGCAAGCGGGGGATCTTGTTGAGGGACGGCCATCACTCCTGACCGTGCCTGCTCTTCCTCGTCCATGTCGCCGACGAAGATGTCTATGGATGCTATCGCTTTTCTCAAGTATACTGTCCAACGAGACCTGGTCATGCAGTCAATATTGCTGTGCACGTGCGTCGGTCACGTACATCGTGCGTGTTCTCGCTGGACTTTATACTAAAGAGACGTCTGCTTGTGAATCGGAACATTTCCCACTAAGGGAAGGGTTTCTGGCAGGCGAGGGGGCCAGGACACCAACCTTCTGGATGGCAGGGAGCGGACATTCATCGCCAGAAGACAGGAAGGATGGCTTGGATCCGACGCTCAGGGGGATGGACAGTGTAGGTAAAGAGATTCCGCCCCAGATGGATGCGGCGCTCACAAAAGCAGGTCATAGACCATAGTGACGAATGTCGACCTGGAAAGCTGCTGGCAGGGTAGGTTCGGTTGCCAGTCTGTCTGAACATGATAAGAATCTATCTTATGATCGTGCAGATGACCCAGCGCACATACCGTGTCAGGCGGTCATAGACAAACAGCACATCATACGCTGATGATTTCTATAGGATCAGCGGATATTGTGCAAGGAAAAACGACCAGACATACGCGCCCACTGTGATTCGTGGTTGAGATGTGTCGCTTCATAAATCTCACTGGTTGTGGAGGCACGGCAATCTGCGGTGATCTTTATTTAGACCAGATTGAGACTCACAAGCGCAAGCAATGCCTTATCCGAAGAATTCTAGTCCGTGGCGTTAAATTCCTACATAAAGCAAGTAGTGCAATCTCAGGAATACTAGTAGCCCGGAAATGGAAGCTCCATACCACTGCATGCTCCACATTGTTCTTGCCCATGCAGAGTACGTCTCGATAGGGCAACGGCACTTTGAGCTCCACGTCTTGGAGAGACAACACTTCACCAAGTTCAAGTGCATATTTGACAGTGTCCCATAGAATAATGAGAACAGTTAGATCATTGAGCAACGAGGATTGTCCAGGCAAAGTGATCCATTGAAAGTTGCCGGTGTCGAGAGGGGGCAAAAGCAGCAAAGGCAGGTATAATAGCAGAGGCAAAGTATCTGATTCAAATCGATTGAACAGTCTTGGACCACAACGTCTTGAGCTATGAAGACAATTCTCTATGCATCGCAGACTGAGCCGTGGATGGGCAGAGGTGAATCTGACCAGGGTCACGTGTCGACGACCCACCGCGGGGAGATTCTGAGGGTTTCGGGCTGCGATAGAGTGCCAGTTTAGTACTGGTACTACGAGCTGTGTTTATCTTTCATGAGCTGGTTGCTCCACAGCTATACGGCGCTTTGATGCTCCATTCCATCCACTGAATATGACATCTTCGCGTTGTTGGCAATACACAATACCCCAGATGGCAGTTACTCCCTTTGTCCTTCGTCTTCTCATTGCGCTTCTCGGCAGTACAAATGGCCTCCTTCCTAAGGTGTATGGGATGCACCGGTGATCTCCCTACAAGTTTTATGCGACCGCACTTGGTTCCCTGACTGTGCTTGATTTGGGACTGAAGCACTCAGGCCGAACCGGCTATACCAATCAAAGCTAGTGCAACAACTCTTGTGTTGAGCAGACATTCTCGCGGCCGCCCACCATGGGTTTCTTCTGGGCATATAATGGCATCAACGCAAGATATACCGCGGATGACCAATCTTCTACCCCGACCAGACACACCTGTTCTCCTGCGCAATGACCTCGTCCTACGCACCATCTGTCCTGAGTTCTCCTGTGACTACCAGGTCCAGGCTTGGCTCACCTACTGCACGGACCGTCGAAGAATCTCTGGCGATGCTAGGATTGACCGAATACACTGATCCTACAACCCGAGGCTCTTACCGTAAACACCCAATCCCTGTCACCAATGCAAATCCTTACGCAGACTCACCCTTGCTGCCGGTGAAACACGAGATCAAGGGCACAGATAGCAACGTGAGCCGTTTCGTTAATGTTTGCTTGTTAGAGAGACTGGAAGAAGGCACTCAGAGCGTGATCCTTTTCAAGGATGTGAAGGTGCTCGACTCGACTGGACGGGAGCCGTTCCCGGGCGATGTCCTGATCAGAGGAGAGCGGATTGTCAAGGTCTCGGCCAAGATCAACGAAGACAAAGTG